CACCTGTAGTTTAACGTTAAACAAGTTTTATTTTTTTTTTTGGTTCCATGTTGGGTTTATAACACCGCTCTAATAACACCCGCTATTGTCACTTTTCACGATAAATAATGAAGTTGTGCTAGGTTAATTTAGAGTAAAACTAATTTTCGGATAAGTGCTGGAAACCTGGCTGTAGTAAGGTCAGTTATCACCCATGGGAAGCAACTTATTTCATTTTTAGATTACTCTCCCTTTATTTTTATTTTTTCGCAAGCAGGAAATCAAGATGAAGTTTATCATTCAGAATGATAAGAAATCCATGTTCCGGGCCTTTAACTAAAAAGTTGTTCAAAATCTTAAATATTTGCATTGTTCACGCCCATTTTTAAATACTGGTGTCTAAACTTTGAATTTCTGGGCTGTGTAGCTTGAAAAATAAAATGTAATAATAAATAAAAACAACTAGAAAAAAAAGTTAACATATAAAGTGTTAAAACGTAAATAAACACATCAACAAAGGACGCTACTGACATTGGATTTTATTATCATATTTGTTAATTGTAAAATTGTAGATCTACAATAAAACATAAAATTATCTTACAGTAATTTCAACTTAATATTTAACTAACGGCAGGCTACTACTGCTTTACTTATTAATTATTATTGTTTATATTTTAAAATATTGCCCTATCAAAACAGACACAATTTACAGCTAACAACAACAAAATGGGGAAAAATTATCTTTCCGAATTAACAAAAAAAAAAGTTTCTTAACTAGAATCTAGATTAATCTTCGATAGTTAAGAACAACAGCACCCTACGTATTATTATATAAGTTCACTTATTTAAGGGCCATTATAATACTATACTATTGTGATTTAAGACAGTGAAAATATCGCTAGTCGCACTTAATTTTTTATATTATAATATAAGGGCGTATTTAACAAAGGGGCGTGGCAAGATGCAACTGCCATCACAATATAGTGAATATACACTGCTAACTTAAATAGCCCTGTGTTTTCAATAAGTCAAACTTGCAAACCCATCTTTCTATTGTTCTCATATCTTGTAGGTCTACAATGGGTATAGGCAATGAGGAATAGTCTGCTTTTGGTTCATAATTAAACTTGTACGTTTCAATTTATTTAAGTCTAGATCAGAGGCGTATCCAGGTTTTCGTTGTAGGGGGAGCGAAAAGAGCAAAAAAAGGCGCCGAATTTTTAACACGGATATTATATATATATATATATATATATATATATATATATATATATATATATATATATATATAATTACTAGCTATATGTCATTACTTCGCTATGATGTAAAATAATTGAAAGTAGCACTCTGAAGAAATAAAAAAAAACACACAATGTAGGCCGACAAAACAAAAATAGTATCAATCTAAACAAAAACAAAACAAATATACACACACCACAACCAAAAACAATGAACGTAACACAATCTGATTTGTAATTCTTGTAAAACAAGGTAATTAAAAAGTCTAGTGACAATTTTAGCGCAATTTCCTTATGTTATCTAAAAATAGCTCTGTCGTAGCGTAAATCAAGAGCAGGGTTAGTAAAACCATTGGTTAAAATACATGTTTTATTTACAATAGAGTTACATGACTAAAAACCATTGCGCGCCTAGCTACTGAACGTGATGACGCACCATTGAGCGTGATGGCGCAGCTAATGAACGTGATGACGCGTGTGGTGTGGTTGGAAAAAATGCCTACTAATTCGGTCCAAATTTTAATTAATTAAAAAAAAATTTTGTGACCGAACGAAAGGATATTTTTAAAAACTTTCTTCGGCAATATTGTTCTAAGTTATGGCAGGAATCGATTGGTAAATGTTTCAAGTCGCTAAGTGGTCTGGTTGCCGAGATATGGGCCAAAAACTGCTTTTTTTTGAGGTTTTTTGGCTTTTCCGGGAAATCCATGAAAGAAACCCGGAATTTTTATGGCCTATGTTCATCCTCGTAACTTGCTTAACATAATTACTTTTGGAACTAGTCATCGATATTGCTCCGTTGAGGAGGAGATACGACTTAAAGCTGCGGACACACATCCATCCATCCATCCATCCATCCATCCATTCATACATTCCCAGAAAAGACGAGTTAATAAACGCAATTCTCCAGAATGGAAATTGCGCTAAAAATTTCTTACATAATTCCTGGGAAACTATTTAAGACAAGTGAAATAGGGGAAATAATCACTCTCTAAATATAAATATGTATATATCTACACATTTAATTATAAATGTCAAAACAAATAAATAATTACTTTAGAATATAATGAAATTGCTTAACACTATTCGTGTTTACAAAATGTTTTTGTCTATAATCAAAATTTAATATATCGTCAGCATAAATGCTAAAGTGTCACAGCATAATGAAAGTTTTTAAAATCAGAGTTGGTATAAAACCACGCTTTCCCACATAATAGCTAAACATTCGTAATAGCAGCCTACATTTAACTAAACATTGGTCTTTTAGTTCATCAAATATTTTTAATTAACTACTGCTTCTTTGTGTTCTTTAAAGATCATTTTTTAACATAGTGATAGGTATGGGTTAGATCACTGTATTGCGCACACACCTTTTTACTGGTAATTGCAAAAACAATATTCACAAAGTTTTACGTTTAAAAAGCTAATTTTTCTGGCGGCATGGTACTTTGCTACATCATTACGCATTTACATATCAGTTCAGGGTGGGTTGGGGGGGGGGTGGGGTGGTGGGTTCAACTTCATTTACCACTGTCCGGTCACTTTAGGTCGATTATCCAACCCAGTGTATTACAAGGTGTGACATTAATGTCGCTCTACATAATTGTGGTGGGGGGGGGGGGGGAGATAACCAACTCAGAGTGAACATAGCGTCAGTTTTTAGATGACTATTCTAAACATACATATATATTACACAAATATATATTACACAAATATATATTATAGAAATAGATTTAAATAAGTAGCAGTGGTATTATGACAATATTTTTTTTTACAGAGGGGTCCATGGGGGAAGGGGGTTGTAACTGTTTCATACAATTTGTAATCGTAATCACTATCGCCCAAACTGTAAGAATACTACTAATTCATCGTGATGACGTTGTTGACCGTGTCAAAATTTCCCCACCACTACGCAGTTTGCTCATATGTAAATTTAAATAGAGGTGCCACCTCAGTTGTATTTGTTTCTGTATTGTAATTTTTAAAAATTAATCACACGATTCGAACTGTATATATAGAGTAATTATGTGTAAAGTTTCATGTATAACATTTTCTAATTCAATTATTCGTAGGCAAATACATTATACAGTTGCCTTAAACTTAACACCCCTCTTACCAAGTAGTACTACCCGTAGAGTTTTTTTAAACTTTGCAATGCATCGTAATGGTTATTTTAAGAATGGCAAACTGATGCAGCTGTTAATACGTAAACGTAGAAACTACTAGACAGGTACAATAATGATTAATTGCTGCATGAAAAGAAATCTTGTGATTTACATAGATGTGCCGAAAAAAATAATTTTTTAACAAATATCATTGTTTAAACCTTTGAGTTAAAAAAGTTTCCAAAAAGGCGCCACTTTGCTGAAAATGGCCAGAGGGGGAGCGGCCGCTCCCCCTGCTCCCCCCTGCGTACGCTACTGGTCTAGATCTAGACTAGTCTAGGTCTCAGCTAAACAGATAATAAATTGCGCACAGTCGCCGTTGCTTACACTTACAGACAACGGTACCCGTTGTCTTATCTTTTGATGCCAGCTTTTAATCAGCTGTTTAGTATTTGCGTATAGCTGTTAACGTATAAGTCTTTTTTTTTCCCTGCTTGGTGGCATATATTCTTTTGTTATATTATGTTACATGATATGGGGTGGTGTTCAAATGCCGATTTTTAAAAGAATTTCACTTTATCGTCTCTGTTGTAAAAAGCACAGCGGGAACTGTATCCGACCCAAGTCTTATAATTATAAAAACTATTTTCTATAAGCTTTAAAAATAATAACATGCTCCAAAAATTTAGCGGTACATTGTTCATATATTATGTTTGAATGTTTGTAAAAGAAGGGGGGGGCGGTTTTTGTGTTAGTTGAATAATAATTAATATGGATGTTGGCATTCCACGAATTTCTATATGTAGACATAAATAAATACATACCGATCAGTTAGACAAAATCAAAATACTAAGCTTATAGTCTATGTTTTTTATTATTTGTATCAATAGTGTTAATGTTATTTATGTTCGCCTTATTGTAGAAATTAAATGATTTGTCAGATTTTATTGAGTTTTATGAAGTTAAACTATATATCACGTTATAAAGAGGGGGGGGGGAGGTGAGAGGGTGATATTCTTTGTTTTGTTCAAAAACGTTTACAATCTGTATTTCACATTGAGATTTGACAAACAGAAGTAACAGTTGGAGAAATTCTGTTTAATAAAACATACATAGATCTATATGAAATTGTAAGAAATTTTGAAATTAAAGTTTAATAAGAAACACGGGCGTACTATCATTGGCGGGTTATTTTTATGAATATTCATAGTCACGGCTTAAACAGGATTATGGGAAGATAAATAAAAGAAACGAAAGCAGCGTGCTCATTGAGTTCTCATCCTGTATAACGTTTAAACATTTATCCCGGACAGGTCTACCCGTTACTCGTTAGAAGTAAAATAAATACAAGAAACACTTAAACAATAAAACAAGAATTAGAATGAACTAAGTCTTCTGTATCATGTGTACTAAAAAATTGGCGGGGAATTGTCTGGTGCTTATTGGCTGTTTACACATACCTGAACATGCATTTTGATCAGTTGATTTTTAAAAACATTTTTATCAACTATTTTAGATAGCTTGGCTAATCATAATTAGTATACATTAAACCGTTAGGTTTTCAACCATCTACAGATGCTAATAGAATTAGATATATATTGTCTGGGTTTACAAAAACCTTAAATTTTCTTAAATCTTACACCCGCTTTCCGCCATATTGGACTCGCGACATCTTGGAGTTTAGAAAATCAACATGGCGCGTCTGCGTTTCCCTGGACGGCCTGGCTATCGATTTGATAGAATTGGAGTTAGATATGGTGCTGATGAAGCAAGACAAACTACAGATCCAACATTAGCTATTGTTGCCAGCATTCATAAAGGATTACAGAGGTTCAGGGATCTGTTTGGTGATTCAGACGAGGTAAACAATATACACATTTTTACGAGTACGCCATGTCCGATCAAAAATGGCTCCTTCCGATTTGTCATAATCAGAAATTTTGCGATCGATGCTCAAATTGCCATAAATTTTGCTATTGTTAAGCATCTGCGTTTAACTGAACAGTTTTTCTAAGTACCTTTACCATTTATAAACACGAACGCGTTCTGATTTATGCTTATGAGCTTAATTTTGTTCATCTATCTATATACTACTAAAAGTCAAGTTTGTTTACATGTTTGAATATTTATTTTTTTGTTTTTTTGTTTGTTTGTTTGTTTGCCTGATCAAGTATCCTGATATGTTCGGCTCTATCTGGAGAGCTGTAAAATAGTATGTAGGTAGAGAATAATTTTTTAATGCAGACAGACTGTTAATCACAAATTTATTTAAAGACGTTAATTAATTTATTGATTTATTCATTGTTAAATTAACCGTATTTTTTTAAAAATGTTAATACTTTGAATAAACTTTGTGGGGATAGTGACGTCCCTTGATGTGTTTACATTTTTGGTACAATAAAAATGGCGGACCCCATCATAGACTTTGTGGCCCATTCAAAAGTTTCACGCGTTACAAAGCTAATTTTCTGCCGGCTATAACTTAAACAATACGTCCGTTTGCTGTATTTATTACGTTCCAACACTTATATCAATTTTCAACTGTCTTTTTCATTTAGTTTTACGATAAATTTCTCTAGATCTAAAGATCAGCTATCGAAGGAAATTTATGAATCTAGCCTAGATCTAGATCTAGATCTAGCCTAGATGTAGGTCACTAGATTCAATGTAAATTCTACATCTAGAATCTATTTCAGGCCTTAATTATTTTATATAAATCTTTGTTTGGCTTATTTAAGATAAAATTTAATTTGAAAGTTAGTACTACTAGACTTATTTTTAGATCTAGATCTAGAATCTATACGCGTAAATCAAGTTGCATAAGGAGACACATAGTATAGTATAAAAATTCACTTGTGACGTCACGAGTAAATAGCTAAAATGGTAGCGTAGTCAGCTCTCATGCAGGAGGCACGGGTTCTAGACCAATATGTCAATGAAATTTTTTTTTTCAATTTTTTTTTTTAGATGTGAATGATAACGTTGCCTATCTGAACTTGGCAAGATACAGGGCAGGTGAAGTAGAGTTCATCTGTTTCTTTGTCCTAAGCATATGAAAGGATAGTGTGGTCAGATACATGCTCGGCTGGAATTGTTTTTTAAACGATAAAAACATGTTGTCTGAGACTTGGCAGGACACTGGGCAGGTGAAGTAGAGTTGAGTAGGTCACCTGTGACGTCAGTTTATAAAGGGATAGTCCGAAATCGGTGTTTTCGGTGTTTTTAAAAGATAAAAAACATATATTTGAATGTGGGGTCTGTTTTTTGTGACGATAAGTGACACTGCAGTAGCGTACCGAGGAGGGGGGGGGGGACGGTAGGGGAGGGGAGGTGGGGAGTGGAGGCGGGGGGGGGGGAAGGGGAGGCGGGGGGTGGGGAGGTGGAGGGGGGAAGGGGGGGGGACATATGTTGGGGCGCCAAAATGGTTTGGAAAAATAAATTGATAGGTTGAGGGGGGTTCAAATCGAAAGTTTGAGTGGGGGGGGGGGGGGTGCACATCAAAAGTTTGAGGGGGGGGGGTTCAAATCGAAAACTTTGTCCCCGGGCGCCGGAAAGGGTCGCTATGCCTCTGAGTGACAGACGTGATGTTTTTTGATGGATGACCCCCGAAACCCACAGTTATCCAACGGATGACGGGTATTCTAGTATACTACTAAAAGTCAACTTTGTTTACATGTTTGAATATTTATTTGTTTGCCTGATCGAAAATTGTGATATGTTCGACTCTATCTGGAAAGCTGTAAAATGGTATGCAGGTAGAGAATAATTTTTTAATGCAGACAGACTGTTGATCACAAATTTATTTAAAGACGTTAATTAATTTATTGATTTATTCCTACGCAGAATAACCCATTTTTTTTTAAAATGTTAAAACCTTGACTAAACTTTGTGGGAATAGTGACGTCACAGGTTTTTGTTTACTCTTTAGTACAATAAAATGGCGGCGTCTATTGAAGAAAATTGTGTTCCCATTCAAAAGTTTAACGCGTTCTAAATCTAATTTTCTGTCGGTCATAACTTTAACAATACGTCCGTTTGCTGTATTTATTACGTTCCAACACTTATATCAATTTTCAACTGTCTTTTTCATTTAGTTTTACGATAAATTTCTCTAGATCTAAAGATCAGCTATCGAAGGAAATTTATGAATCTAGCCTAGATCTAGATCTAGCCTAGATGTAGGTCACTAGATTCAATGTAAATTCTACATCTAGAATCTATTTCAGGCCTTAATTATTTTATATAAATCTTTGTTTGGCTTATTTAAGATAAAATTTAATTTGAAAGTTAGTACTACTAGACTTATTTTTAGATCTAGATCTAGAATCTATACGCGTAAATCAAGTTGCATAAGGAGACACATAGTATAGTATAAAAATTCACTTGTGACGTCACGAGTAAATAGCTAAAATGGTAGCGTAGTCAGCTCTCATGCAGGAGGCACGGGTTCTAGACCAATATGTCAATGAAATTTTTTTTTTAATTTTTTTTTTTAGATGTGAATGATAACGTTGCCTATCTGAACTTGGCAAGATACAGGGCAGGTGAAGTAGAGTTCATCTGTTTCTTTGTCCTAAGCATATGAAAGGATAGTGTGGTCAGATACATGCTCGGCTGGAATTGTTTTTTAAACGATAAAAACATGTTGTCTGAGACTTGGCAGGACACTGGGCAGGTGAAGTAGAGTTGAGTAGGTCACCTGTGACGTCAGTTTATGAAGGGATAGTCCGAAATCGGTGTTTTCGGTGTTTTTAAAAGATAAAAAACATATATTTGAATGTGGGGTCTGTTTTTTGTGACGATAAGTGACACTGCAGTAGCGTCCCGAGGAGGGGGGGGACGGTAGGGGAGGGGAGGCGGGGGGTGGGGAGGGGAGGCGGGGGGGGAAGGGGGGGTGGGGAGGTCGAGGGGGGGAGGGGGGGGGACATATGTTGGGGCGCCAAAATGGTTTGGAAAAATAAATTGATAGGTTGAGGGGGGTTCAAATCAAAAGTTTGAGTGGGGGGGGGGTGCACATCAAAAGTTTGAGGGGGGGGGGTTCAAATCGAAAACTTTGTCCCCGGGCGCCGGGAAGGGTCGCTATGCCTCTGAGTGACAGACGTGATGTTTTTTGATGGATGACCCCCGAAACCCACAGTTATCCAACGGATGACGGGTATTCTAGTATACTACTAAAACTCAACTTTGTTTACATGTTTGAATATTTATTTGTTTGCCTGATCGACTATTGTGATATGTTCGACTCTATCTGGAAAGCTGTAAAATAGTATGCAGGTAGAGAATAATTTTTTAATGCAGACAGACTGTTGATCACAAATTTATTTAAAGACGTTAATTAATTTATTGATTTATTCATAGTTAAATTAACCGTATTTTTTTAAAAATGTTAATACTTTGAATAAACTTTGTGGGGATAGTGACGTCCCTTGATGTGTTTACTTTTTGGTTCAATAAAAATGGCGGACTCATCATAGACTTTGTGGCCCATTCAAAAGTTTAACGCGTTACAAAGCTAATTTTCTGCCGGCTATAACTTAAACAATACGTCCGTTTGCTGTATTTATTACGTTCCAACACTTATATCAATTTTCAACTGTCTTTTTCATTTAGTTTTACGATAAATTTCTCTAGATCTAAAGATCAGCTGTCGAAGGGAAGTTATGAATCTAGCCTAGAATCTAGATATCTAGATCTAGCCTAGATCTAGATTCTAGGTCACTACTAGACTCAGTGTAAATTCTAGATCTAGACTTAATGTAAATTCTATATCTAGAATCTATTTCAGGCCTTAATACATCTAGAATCTATTTCAGGCCTTAATTATTTTATATAAATCTTTGTTTGGCTAATTTAAGATTAAATTTAATTTGAAAGTTACTACTACTAGATCTATGCGCGGAGACTCAAAAGTATAGTATAAAAATTCATTTGTGACGTCACGAGTAAATAGCTAAGTTGGTAGCGTAGCCCGCTCTCATGTGGGTGGCACAGGTTCTAGACCAATATGTCAATGATATTTTTTTTTCAATATTTTTTTTTTTAGATGTGAATGATAAAGTTGCCTATCTGAACTTGGCAGGATACAGGGCAGGTGAAGTAGAGTTCATCTGTTTCTTTGTCCTAAGCATATGAAAGGATAGTGTGGTCAGAGACATGCTCGGCTGGAATCGTTTTTTAAACGATAAAAACAAGTTGTCTGAGACTTGGCGGGACACTGGGCAGGTGAAGTAGAGTTGAGTAGGTCACATGTGACGTCAGTATATGAAGGGATAGTCCGAAATCGGTGTTTTTAAAAGATAAAAAACATATTTTTGAATGTGGGGTCTGTTTTTTGTGACCATAAGTGACACTGCAGTAGCGTAGCGAGGAGGGGGGGCGGGAGGGGGGAGGTGGAGGGGGGGCGGGGGGGACATATGTTGGGGCGCCAAAATGGTTTGGAAAAATAAATTGAAAGGTTGAGGGGGGTGCAAATCGAAAGTTTGAGGGGGGGGGGTTGAAAATCGAAATCTTGGGGGGGGGGGGTTAAAATCGAAAAGTTTGTCCCCGGGCGCCGGGAAGGGTCGCTATGCCTCTGAGTGACAGACGTGATGTTTTTTTATGGATGACCCCCGAAACCCACAGTTATCCAACGGATGACGGGTATTCTAGTTGTACTTAAACTTAACAGTGTGACTGTGTGAGTCGTAAGACGACCTCCGGTCGTAAGCATCCACTAGACCTAGATCTAGAGCTGGAGTCTAGACTAGCTCACTAGATCTAGATCGAGATCTAGACTTAGATTTAGATCCTAGATCTAGAATCTAGATCTAGTAGCTATCATTCATTAGATCTATTCTAGAGTCTAGTCTACCACTGTACTAGATCTGGACTAATACTCACTAGAATCTAGATTTCTAGATTCTCTAGATCTAGAATCTAGCTAGATTCTCTAGATCTAGACTCTAGTTGCAGTAGGCATATGGTCCAAAATAGTAGGCTAAATAACTAGATCTAGTCTAAATTGAAGTAATGGGCCTAAACTTCGACTCTGGTCCTTATAAATTATAAAAATAAGGCAATAACATACCTACACAAATCCCCTTACTTAGTAAAAAATCTAAGATTTAGATTGTTAGTAGGCTTTATAGTTTATACCTATATACTTAAAGAAGGATTTTAGATACAGATGTCCGATATAGACTCTTCCATAAAATCTATGTGTTGGGTTGTTTGTAGTATTGTAATCTAGACAAATTTTATGGTTAGAAATTAGGGTTAGGCGTATGGTAGAACTAGGGTCGGGGTTAGGGTTAGCATTGACATTAGCCAGCAATGTGTGTATTTAGTTGACTACCAGTAACCTAACAGCCCTTTTTAAAAGAAGATTCTATTATCGGACACTGTTATGAAAATTCTCCCTTTTTTAATATAGGTTTAGGCCTATTTATTGGCTATTATTTTGGACGATGTCAATAAAATACACTAAGCAGGTAATGAAGCAAGTCTAGTAGGCTGTTATTATAAAAATCCAGTAGGTTAATGTTAAGCCTAAGTAGTCTAGAGACAAGTGTTAATTGTATTGTCATTTAATTTGCAATTTGAGTTTATGAAAGTAAAAGTGTCATTGTCTGTGAAAAAAAAAGGGCACTTTATATTCTATAGGCATCTAGGCTAAAAAAAATCACAATTTAGGCTGATATTAATGATTACAAACTCAAACCTAACCCTTGATACTAGAACAATAATTCAAATCATTGTTATCACTGTATATTGTATATCATTAACTGCCATATGGATGTAGGCATTACTAGCATAATTTAGTTGGACTAAATGGAGCTAAATCACATGCATGTGCCAGATAAGTAGGCCTATTTTATTTTTGGTAGTTAAGTATTAGTTCAGGTACCTGAATAAAGTAGCTTTAAAAAAAAATTATGGTACAGTTTGAATCTCAAGGTTTAAGGTTAATTAAAATGGAGTATTTACTAAAGCTAGTTTTGTTCTTGTCTTGCTCTAGACAGGTACTGTTAACTTAATAACTTGGCCGTGTGCAAATAATTTTGTAACTAGCATCAAAGTTAGTATTAATCACTTAACTTATTCCAATCTCTCTCAATGTTATTTCAGGCTTTAATGTTTTATTGATACAAAGTTTTTGTGGTTTACATTTTTCCATGAGACATGCATACACAGCCATTGAGGTTCTTTCAATATTATAGTTCATTTAGACCCAAGCCATCAAATTGATCCCTGTTTTTTTTTTCCCAAACATTTACTCTAAAATCTATTGATCTTGGATGTAATGTAACAACATAAACCAGTTCAATTAAGACACTCTTCTTAGTGAGCTATTATTTGCAGTTCTAGAACTGAACACGTTATCTGGAATTTAATGATGAATTTGAATATCTTGTTATATTAGAATTTGTAAGAGTAATGTTTCTGGCAATATCAAGTAGATGATAATGTTTTTCCACTTTTCTTCTATTTTAGGATGATATTGAATTTGAAGGTTTTACCTCCAATGAAATAAGAGTAGCAGAACAAAGTCTCCAGCATGCAATTAAAAAGGAGAAGGAATATTTAGAACAACAGGCAGAAGAGCAGAAAGTTCGGTTTGAGCGTTCTAGGGCAACACTGGTCAGCCTAGCTGCATCAGGGGTTGAGCTGCCTAAACCAGCTTTTTCTAAATTCAAGAAAACATACAAAGCAATTGTTGATACTGGACTTGTTGTGGACTCGAGTGCTAAGTTAAAACCAACTTTACTACAAGAAGTGACAGCAGTGAAACAGTTATTCCATAAACAAAACGGTGAAACAACCCATCCTAATAAGCCAAGCGAAACACATGTCAAGTTAAAGAAACCAGATGAGCCTACTGTATTCCGTAGCCCAGTAGGCAGACCAAGGAAATTCAACAAACCATCAAATGAGTTCACAAATGGATTTGAAAACATTCATGGGGCCCCCTATGTATTCGGGACTAAGCCAGTGTCAAAATATGCATCGGCGGCTAAACAGATCCTGGCTCGTGCTACCAAAAAACTCTTACAAGTGCCTACTCACAAAGTTGGGAAGTTTGTACTTCCCACAGTAAGCTCGAGGTCCTCTAGAGTCATTAAACCCAACAAAAGATTCCTAGAGGATGACAGTATTAATGAACTAGTTACCAAACAACCCAAGCTAAGCCCTACCATGCCAACCCCACCGTCCACATCCCTTTTTGGAATGGGTATCAGCGAGACAAATACTTTTTCTCCATTCCAGTCACATGGGCTTACCCTTTCTCCTTTCAACATGAACCGGGAGAAAGGCTTCCCAGCATTTTCTGCTGCTCCCCAGCCTAGCGGAACCTCCAGCTTTACAGATGGGCTGGCAAACCAAAAACCTTTAGGGTCGCTTGACCAGCCCCTGATTGTAGAGGGCAAGCGTCCTCGTAAGCCAAGCTTAATCATGAGGATGAAACTAGTTGAAGACGATCCCGAGGATGAAATCAGACTTCAGCAACAACTCTCAGATGCTATCACACCAGCCAAATCAATTGTAGACAAAATAAAACCTGAACCAGTACCTCCTTTGGACCCGACTACAAGTTACAGCAGTCGGGTAACTAAGAGCTTAATTGCCCCTGCCAAGTTGTTCACAGACCCCACATCGCTGACTAAGTCTTTCAGGCACAAACTGGGGGTACCACAGCCATCCAAAAACACTGTTGTGATTCGCCAACCAAAACTTCAGCTTAACAGGACTGCCCTGAACCGTTCCAAGGCTGCCTTAGCAAGGTCCCTTAAAGCTCAGTTGAAAAGGGAGGCTAAATTAGAGAGAAAGAAAAGAAACTCTGAGACCAAATTAGGAGTGTTATCTTCAGCCCATTCCCCTAGCTCAACATTAAATCAGCTCTCGCCGTTCTCTAAATTGGTTGGTGACTCTGCCATAGAAAAACAAAAATCTGGATTATTTGAGGGTATAGAAGGAGGGTCATTTTCTCCTGGAAGCTTTAGTAAGTATTTGTATTTACACTAAATTTTACTTGTCGTGTTTTACATTTATCTTGGTTATGTAATGTAAAAATTAAAAAGTTCCCTATTTCTGACGATCTATACTACATCTGTTTCTTGACCACAGCATATGAAGGGATGGCGTGGTCTACTATGCTGCATGTACTTTTCCTAACATGAGTTAACTCTCCGCTGCATTTACTTTCCCTACCATGAGTTAACTCCCCACTTTTCCTAACATGAGTTAGCTAATTAGAAAGGCTTGAGTCCAAGATCCGAACTTGAGACTTTCATGTTTGCAGTTGAACATTCTTCCTTCCGACCATGCAGTTCCATGGTGCTTGATATAACTTTTCTTTTGTTTAACAGCAAAGATTTTAAATCCCTACCTCAGTTTAAAATGTGTACAGACTAAAAAATACATTTTGTGAAATGTTGCCATATTTTTTTTTCCTATTATCATTACCTACCTTAAAAGTAATACTGGGGGTTAAATAATGGATGAAATTCTGCATTTTCTATCATTTCTAATAGAACCAATTTTTCTAATTTCATGTTTACTTGTTTATCTTTATGAAACATTTGAGACAATCATATCAGTAAATTTTTAATTTATTCTGATAGCTAGTCCACCTGCAACTCCAAGCACCTTACAGAAACCAAACTGTGAAGAAAAGTTTGAAGATTATCATGCATCCACCATCAATGACAAAGACCTGCTTAAACCCTATATTGGTGGGACAAAGTCCAGATGTGTAGTCTGCTCTGATGTGTGTTTTGTGAAGAAGAATCGCAAACTACCAGTTGTACCATTTTGTAAACGTTGTCGGAGTAACTATTTCTTAAAGAATTTGATCACTCAAAGTAAGATGACCATATGTCGAAAAGGAGGTAATTGTATAGCTTTTATACTCAGTATTTGGTGTTGTAGATATTGGCTTGCTCATGTTTTGAACTTTCGGTAATGTAATGTTTCCAAAACTGCGATGCTGTAACTGCTGATTTCTGTTGTCCATAATTTTAATGTTGTCTGAGTCCATGTATTTTGGTTCTATTAAGTAATTTGTTGTATTTCACATCTCTGGTATTTTCTAATAAATAGCATACCACACAAATACATTTTACAGGTCGCTGTGTAATACACTACATGGAAAGGAATTGCCCAGACTGTAGGTTTATGAAGTTCAGGGCTGTTGTCTTTAAGTGCAAACAGCTAGGCTTAGTCAAAGAGAAATTTCTTTACTATGGGGATAAGCCTTCTCAACCCAGTCAAGTAAGTCTGTTATTCTTTACAAACTAGCTTTACTGTTGTCCATCAGAAACAAAGCATTCTAGTGCTATAGTTTGCTTTCTGAAACAATCGAAATAACCTCTTACTTATTTTTACAGAAAGAAACTCATGCTGTGGATCAGAAGGATGAAATTAAGGTTTGTACTTATTTATTATTACTAAAATTTTACAATATAAATTTTTGTACAGTGTGATGCATTTTATTTTGTTCTGAATGTGTGATACATTTCTTCTGATAATGATTTACAAGCTGAGTATAAATACTAGAATAAACTAATATACCTATTCAAAACAAAACAGCTGGAGCCAGTGACACCTTCAAAGAAACAAAGACACAAAAGTGAAGAAATTGTGCCATCAGAGAAACGCAGGAGACATAAAAGTTCAGAAGTCTCCTCCACCAGTGCCTCTACCCCCGTGAGACAGAAGCACAAAAGTGGAGACAAAATGCCTGACTCGAGTCTCAGGAGACCTTCCAAAACATTCAGCCAGAGTAAAGAGTTTATAAATGCCAACAACCTTGATCAGCCCCTATCTGTAGATGTTGGCCAAGATGCTGAACCACTAAGTAAGGTTTTTATTTTTACATTTAAAAATCAGGCTGGTTTTTTAAAATAATGCATTTTAATGTCTAAAATCTAATTTTAAGTTAAAAATGTTTTAAAATTTCTTTTGTAGGTCTTTCACCCCCACAAACCATTTCCTCCACAAAATCATCCCCCGGTAAAGGCTCAAAGAAAACTGGTGCAGGTCACAATGACAGTGATAGAGCCTCTGACGATGATGATGACGACGACAAAGAAGGCAACCGGCCGAGGGGCGTTTCCAGAGGTCCACGTATCAAGCATGTATGTAGAAGGGCAGCAATGGTGTTCCCACAACAGAGAGCTACATTCCCTGAGGAGCCTCCAGCAAGAAAAACTTTGACCCTTAGTGCACTTCCTAATGAGGAGAAGCAGCAGTTATGGGCTAAAAGTAAACAAGAAGTAGTTGAGGGTAAGAATGAGGATGAAGATAGGGTTTACAATCTAGGATATTAGAAAGTACTGTAGATATGGGGAAGGGTTTAAATCCTGAAATTTTTTAAAGCACTGACACAATCTATCAAACTACATCAAACTACAAAAAATAATTACAACACAATTGTCAAATGGGTCTGGTTTTAAATGCAGTTGACTACATTTTTTATGATTGCAGTTGATTAAATTTTTATTTACTGTTGGTTTAAGTTAAATATGTTAACATGGTCAGAGCTGAAATATTGAGGTATTTTTTCTCAAGTTGTAATATTAATTTGTTTTGATTCCAAATAACTGATTTGGTATTCAGTTGTTACCAATGAATATAGATGATATAAATTGTTCTTAATTTTTAAACTTAGATTCCTCAAGTGAAGAGAGTAATGATGGCAAGCCTGTGATTAGACCACCCGTTGTCAAATCACCAGAAAAAAAACTTGCGTCTCCTAGAGATGAAAAGACAGATATAAAAAAAGAGACAAAATCATCTGGCAACTTTAAGGAAACGGACACACAAGTTCAAGGGCCTTGCAAGTCATCTAAGTTGTTATCTTTAGCACGAAAAGTGAGGAAACGAAGGTAATAAACAATTAAGAATGGATTTATTAATCTGGGTTGCGAAATATTTGCAAGTGATAAGTTACTTATGTTAAACTTCTTTTTCAGCCATCATTTGGATTTCAAAAGTAAAATAAAAAAAATTAGGAGAATTCGATGCCGTGAATGTAAGGGCTGCAAAACACCAGAATGTGGCGTTTGCTACTTTTGCAGGTATTTTTTTTTCCAATGATTTGTTCAAAACTTTTTGGATTAGATTAATTATACCGTGAGTGTTGTGTACTTTTTTGTTTTGTTTAAATTTTTTTCCAAGTTTTTAAGACGTGTATATTTTAAAGAATGCATTTTTTTAATCACTTAAACAGAGACAAGCCAAAATTTGGAGGGCGTGGCAAGATGAGGAAAGGCTGCATGTATGTGTTGTTTCTCCTATGTTAAGCATGTCTTTTTTAAATAGCTGTATTATATCTAGTTTTTAAAATCTTTGACTTCAGAAATGATTACATGTGTACATTTTTTTGTTGTTGTTACCCAGTCATTCAGTTTGTCTGTACCCCAAAATACCAAGAAGAGCCATAGATGCATTCATAGAGCCCAAAAGTCCAGTGAAAACATATCGCAGGGATGATGATGACAACAGTGGTGATTATCGTCCTACTGGTCAAAGCTCATCAGTCATTGGTTCAGGTGGGCCCACCACCAGGTTTCAGGAGAAGAAGTCAAACAGCCACAGGAAAGTAGATGGAGGTGGAGAAGGTGCCAAAGATGCAATAGGTATACCAAATTTGACATGTTTTCTTCATGTGTGCCTACATGTTTTGTTGCAGCTTGATTTAATTGTATCTGTAATGTACTCCTTAGCGTATTTTTTTTAAAGTAATATTTTTCTCTCTGAGAAAACAAATTATTCTGTAGATATATCTGCTGTTTCAGTTTGAACTGAAAAAAATTGTTTTATCTGTAGTTTTTTCACTTAAACCTTTTCTGTACAATAATGTATGTATTTTGTTTCCCTTAGAGAATTCAGGTAATGAAGATGTTTCTGGCATGACAAACAAAGAAATGAAAGAACAGAATTACCGTGGTCTAGATATGGATGGTTCAGCAATAACAAAGAGAAAGTACACAAAATCTAAAAATGGCCCAGCAGTAGAGGCAACCATCCAGATGGCACTGACAGAAGTCAGGAACCCATTCATGAACAGACTTGGGGAACCTTATCACAGCAAAATTGGATTTAAGAGAAAAGAAAAAGTAAGAGCTGGATTTTTGTCTTGAAAAAAATATTTTGTTTCCACAGAGTTTGGTGGGCTGTCTCTGTTGTCAGTATTACAGCTGTTTTTCTACAACTTGTTTTTTGTTTTTTTATAGATGGCTCTGTCACAGAAGCAAACATGGTCAGACCTGAAACCTATTGAGAATGAAACAGCTTATTGTTTTGATGTTCCTCTCAAAACACATTTGATAAAGGCTGACTACAAGGTACATATTACTATTTTCTTTTAAGCCATCTCTAATTTTGCCAAATGTTATTAATTTACATCAAAACAATATTTCATCAAGGAATGCATAAATGTTTTTTTAAGTCTAAAGAAATGCAGTGGGGATTGAAACATAGAGGGTCGTAAGAGGTTAAGGGTACCAAGCAATAGGAAGGGAAGCCATCAGTTTTTATATTGTGTGAAATAACTAACATTGTTCCAATAATTTATCCAGGAAAACTATGATATCGACACAGCCTGGTCTCATGGATTTGCACTGACCATGACTGGACCAAGCTGCATCAGAACATTGTGTTATTTGTGTGGCTCATCTGGAAAACAAGAGGTGAACATTTAACTGTCATTACACAATATGTGTCATTTTAGTGATGGCTGCATATTTTCAAAAACTTACTGACCAGTTGATCTTCTGTAAAAGTGTGCAGTGAATTCTGCTAGAGCTGTTCTCTTAATAGTTGAATTTTTATTTTCCAGTTGATCTTCTGTAAAGTTGTGCATAGAATTCTGTTAGAGCTGTTCTCTTAATGGTTGAATCTTTATTTTCCAGTTGATCTTCTGTATAGTGTGTTGCCAGTCCTACCACAGCTTCTGTCTTGAAGAAGAGGAGAGACCAGAGGAGTCAGACAGTGAAGATGGAGAGGACAACCTCTCTGATGACAACCACAACATTGGTGTTCGCAGCAGCATCATGTCCTGGTGTTGTCGTAAATGCCAGTTTTGCCACGTTTGTGGGCAGCAAAATGGGTTACTTAAGGTAAATTGACAATAAAAAACAAAAAGGTTTTATTTAACATAATTCACAAAAAATGTTAAATAAAATTTTTTTTTTCTCATTTAAATTAGTTAAAGAATGTGTAAGAAATGCTATTTGCATGGCAATATGTTGAACCAAATGTATATTTTATTCCTTTAGTGCCACCGGTGCAAAGATACTTACCACCCAGAGTGTTTGGGTCCAAATTACCCAACACGCCCCTCAAAGAAAAACATTTGGGTCTGTACCAAATGTGTACGCTGCAAAAGCTGTGGAGCAACAACACCAGGGGTTGGTACTAATGCCACCTGGACATACGACTTTTCTCTTTGTTATGAATGTGGAAAGCTCATGGACAAAGGTACTACTTAATTTCTTTAAATTAAAAAATATTTTTTGTAAAATTATCAATTTTATAGAAAACTAAGAAATAATTGCTTGTGTTTAATCCTACATTTAAAGATAGAAAATCTTATATTCATTGTTTTTTCTTGTAAAGTTTACCATATAAAATTCTAGTTTTTGAATTCTTTCAGGCAACTTCTGCCCGGTGTGCCACAAGTGTTATTCTGATGATGACTGGGAGTCCAAGATGGTCCAGTGTGCTATTTGTGAGAGCTGGGTGCATGCCAAGTGTGAGGAGTTAACTGGTGATTATTTTTCTAATACTTCTGTGTTAAACCATTGAAAAACTTGTTTTTACTTTATGGTGTTGTAGTAGTTTTTCAATAGGACTCTCTGTTTTTGTTAAAAGCAGTTGTCTTTTACAATGGAAATGATTTTAACAGAAAAAACTATGCTAATTTAAACTGTTGAATATCTATGATTTAGTGCTGAACATGTAATAGACCTAAAAATGTTCTGCTAAGCTTGTATTGTAAAAATTTATGTGTTAACTTGTTCATATCAGAGATATATAGACGGAGTTGTTTTTTGTCCCCAGATGAAATGTACCAGTTAGTTTCCTGTCTACCAGACGAAGTCCAGTTTACATGCCGAGTCTGCTCGACAGAGAAGCCAGCATACTGGGAAAAGGTGCTGAAAGTGGAGTTTTTCAATGGCTTGTACAATGTCTTGAATGCTTTGATGAGTTCTAAGTGTGCTCAAATGCTGCTAGAAGCTGGGCCTCCAGTAAGTATTCATTTCTGTAAAGGCTAACGTACGCTAATATTTTTTTAAATTTCAGGAATTATTGAATGGTATGTTTACGTTTTAGATAAAGTAACTTTTAGGGGAAAGTGATCAGATACATATCTTTGTGGCACTGTTTGTTCCCTCTAAGTGTTAGCTCAAAGACTGTTCCTGTAGCAGTCTTGTAGCAAACTATAACACGCTAGCTCAACAGTAGATAATTTGTTTCATGACTTCCAGGTCCCTAGCTTGATCGTGTACTGTGTGCTGATCTGGATGCTTGGTTTATCTTCCCTTTCCACAGGTAAACTTAGAACCCCTTCATCTTCTTGTATTAGAATATTTTGCCACCTGAATAAACATTGGCCCATTAGATGAGCTTAGAGGGAACAATAGTTTGCTATTTTTTAAAAACTCTTTACTGAAGTTGTTGGTTACTTTTGGTAACCGCTTTGAGACAACTTAGAACCTAAACAGCAAATCCTGCACAGTTTCTCAATGAGCAAATTAGAAAAAATCCATTTAAATTGTTTTTTTTTTTTTTGTGTGTGAGCACTAATTATTTAGAAATTAATAGGCATGCCTTGATTCATTGACACTGGACTGAGTTTTTATTTCCTTTGTTGCAGAGGGAGACCAAGAAATGTAAACAACTCAAGGAAAAGAATTCAGATGATTCCCAGATTTCTTGCAGTGAAGATGACATTTCAGCCAATGAAATGACTCCTTCTAAACATGTTTGTGATAGTTCAGCCAATGAAATGACTCCTTCTAAGAGTGCTTGTGATAGTTCAGCCAATGAAATGACTCCTAAAAGTATTTGTTGTTCTAGAAGTGGAGACAGTGGAGTAGAAGAATCAGATGGGCAAGTCACAGATGGATCAGTGGTCTCATCGTCCTCTGTTAGAGGAATTGATGAGAAGATCGTAGAAAAATGTGACTGTGCCGCTGGGCTGACCATTGGCAACAAAAACAATCAGAGTTCCAGCATTTGTGAACAGTCTTTCTGCGGCCGGGGCTCGGTGGTGAGCCACCTAAACAACAACCAAATATATTCTGATATTTCTGTGATACAGTCAGGAACACAGCCTGTGTGTGAAAAACATGGTAGTGAAGCCAGTCCTGTGGCTGGTGCCTATGGTCACATTAACAACACTCAAGTCATGGCGAATAACAAAACCAGCGCCACACCGCAGCTCAACCACTGTGATAGCGGACACGACACCACCCAGACACACGTGAAAGACGACACGCAGGGCCTACTGGCAGTGTTGGCGAACAATTTGTGCAATAACAAAAGTTGTAGTAGGATGAACATGACCAACAGCATGCTACTCACTTCCACATCGTTAAGAAAGGACTGTGATGTGCTAGACAAACAAGCGCCCAGTGTAGACTCCCCGGATAAATGTACGCTGGATAAAAACTCAAAGCCTTTTTTAGTGGAAACTAATTTAGATGCCAACAGTTCAATGATATCACCTGTTTTGACGTCAACAGAGTTAATACCATATACTGGAGTTTTGGGTAAGTTTTTTTTTTATATGCGTAACATAAAATACAACACCAAAAGTTGTTTTATGTTTGACATTCCAACACTAGCAAATAAACAAGAAAATATATTTTACTAAGCAAACAAAAATACCAAGATAGTAGTTAAAATGCAGAAATATAAATAAATTTTTTATATTAAACAAAAAAGCAATTACTGTAATATATTCTGATAAAAATGCTACTTGATTAGGCAATCAGTACCCATTAGACAGACAAGTGAGTATCTGGGAAACTCTGGACAGAAATGGTGAACACCCCAGAGACTTTTATGCCATCAAAGAGAAAATTGACTCTGGGATATACAAATCTGTAGTAAGTTAGCTTTCTCTCTCTCTCATTGATGTACCCGTTAAATTTCTTTATTTATTTTAAGTTTTCTTTCAGTTGAATATTTAAAATTTGTGAAGGTCTTCTATTCCCATGTATATTTTCAATAAAAAAAAGTTCTCATTCATTTCAGGAAAATTATAGTCAGCAATTAAGTTTTCGCCATAACTTAAAATAGTTTGCTAATACACATCACTCAAAAACACCTATCAGATAGTCATTCTTGACTTGGTTTACTATAGCCCTTGTTGTTGTTATGACAGGAAGAGTTCAGTGAAGATATGGTGCGAATCATTCAAGCTCTACTTTTTGAAAATGAACAGTACCCCACTAGAAAGAAACAAGCAACATCAGTCCGATCTATATTTATAAAGGTAATCTGCTTAATTTATGCCCTTACTTTCCCGTTTTTAAAACCTTTCCTAAACACATCAATGAGATCTGCTATTTCCAGAACATATATGTATATATATAAGTATAAATTGGTTTAAGTGTCTAAACACCAATTATCATTTTAAAGAAACCACTGCACGAAGAAGTGGACAAGCTGTCAGAATTATTTAATGTTATTTAGGGGGGAAAACAGCATTTTTGCAATTACTCTTAATTGTTTATTTCAAATTGACAAAAAGACTGAAATGTTTTCTTTAAATTTTGACATAGCATGCTTGAAAATTGGAAATAAGTGAAATTTAAGAAAATATTTTATTTTTAATTACTTAAGTCTCATGGATTAAAAGATTGAATCTCTCAGAACCTCTGAGGATGCATTTATTTTCTTCAGGCAGGAAAAGGTTATATTAATTATCCTAATTTCTTTACAGTTCATGGACAGATGCTTCCCTTGGTTCAATGTCAACACATGTAAACTATGGGAACACAATAGGCGCTTGCCAATGTATGTCAGCTTATATTCTGTTTAATTTATGTACTGTTACTTACATTCTAATCATGGAATACATATTAACCCATATTAATTGTTAGATTATTGACTGAATATTTTTATGGGAACGACGATGTTCACTGTTGAATGTGGCTTATGTTTTCTTATAGAGGAATGTTAAAAGATGCTGTGCTGCCTCCTACAATAGACCACACCTATGCCCAGTGGCTTGAAAGGAAAACCATTCCTATGTCACCCCAGCCATCACCATTTAAGAAAATCTGTAGCCCACAAAGACAAAGTGGTAATTATAAATCTTTCACCTAATAATTGCATGTGAAAAAATGGATTAGCTTTAATTTAAAGAAATATTTTTTAAATACATAAAAAATATTCCCATATGAAACTGTTGTTTTAGAATTGTATATTCACCAAATCAGGCATTATATATTAAACTGTGAATACACAACCTTACAAGTGTGTTTTCTCTTGTCAGATACTAACTCTCAAATAAGGAGAGCTGTTGGAGCAATGGAACATTTGCAGCATAGTGAAGACACAAGAATGTGTGTGCTGTGTTCTACTCTAGGGGATGACCTGCCTGATGTAAGTCATGCATGCTGGTATAAACAGTCTCCTTTTTTCTTTTTCTTTCCCTTAAATTACAATTATATTTATTATGACAAATTTTTTTAGCATGCTGGACGACTTTTGTATTGTGGACAAGATGATTGGATACACATAAATTGTGCTTTGTGGTCTGCTGAAGTTTTTGAAGCAGCAGATGGGTCTCTACAGAACGTGAATGAGGCTATAAGCAGAGGCAAAAAATTAGTATGTCATTTTTTTAAATACCTTAATCATTCTGATCCAGGCTATTAAACTTTAATAAATGTTTAAGTCCATCCATAATCTTTTATCTAAAATTTATAGTAAATTGGCTTTAATAACTCGCAAGTTTTATTTGTTTTCATTTCTTTTAAAGGCTCAACTTAATTATATTCTTAAACCAATAATGTTTAATTTAATAAAACTACTTTCAACATAGTTGTCTAATTAATCCTCTTATATGCCTTATTTAAAATTGGAATAATTTTACCAAACCCCCTACAGCGTTGTGACCTGTGCCAGCAAGCGGGAGCCACTGTTGGCTGCTGTGCCATCAACTGCAAGTCCAACTACCACTTCATGTGTGCTAGGGTCGACAGCTGTGTGTTCCAGGAAGATCAGACCATTTACTGCAAGCTCCATACATCCAGTGTCAACATGGGGGTAAGTTGAAGCTTTTAACATATTTTAAAAAAAAATGCCATTTTTAAAAGTGATGGTTTCATGTAGCAGTTGGAGTAGATTTCACCAGTTTCTGTGATCTCAGCATATGAAGGGATAGTGTGGTCAGCAGTATGTTCAGCCACCTTTACTTATCCTTTCTTGAGCCAGGTACCCATCAGTGCTGGGTGTACTCAGGTCAGCCCCTGACGTAAATTTGAGATCTTTGTGTTTGTGATCCAACGCTCTACTACCCAACCATGCGCCATCCCTTTTTACCTGACTTGCTGTCAAAAAAATGTTTATCCAACTTTATAAAAGTGATTTAAAAAACAAGCAAATTTTGGTGTGCTTTCAGCTGGTGACAGATGGCAACTTTGAAATCTTGAGGAGAGTGTGTGTGGATGTGGACAAAATTAGGGCCAAGTCAGCCTGGGGGAAGCCAGTGAACCCTGCTACACTAAATGTTATCATTGGTAGGTTATTGTGGGGGTTTTTTCTAAGAAAGACCTTTAGGTGATCATTTTTATCAACCATTTTTTAATATATTTATGTATTAGATTTTGTTAGTATAAAAGAAAGTCAACACTTGATTGCTAAGGCATCAAGGCATACAGTGTTTCAATAAGGTGTTGCCATTGTGTCACCAAAGAGTAAAATATGTATTATATTCCTATTCCATTTCAGGCTCATGTACAATAGAAAGTTTGGGCATCCTCAAGTCTTTTTTATCTGACAAGGAAGACTGTCTTTATCCTGTAGACTTTAGGTGACTACTTTGTTTTGTATCTTGCTAGGTACATAAGATCGTTATAAGAAATTGTTTTATTGCAGTTTTTTTTTTTACAAAAAAAAATCAATATTTTATCAATAATAAATTGTTTTTAAACAACTATTCTTGCAGCTGTGCCAGAATATATTGGAGCACACAAGATACCAGAAGACGCTGTGTGTACACTTGCCGCATTGTGGAAGTTAAGCCAGTTGAGCTGCCAGAGCTACACATTCAAGACATGAGGATAATCCATGACCAAAATCACCCAGAGTACCTTCCCCTGGAAAGTTTAAACCTTGAAAGTCTGGGTATCCCAAACTTCATGAAACCACTCAACAGGAACACTGCGCAGGTAGTGGCCCTGTCAGAGCTGACAGATGACATCATTTACACAGGCACTGATGAACCTGCTCTACCAAGTTATAATTCATCCGACCTCTTATGTCTTGGACATTACTCCTCTTTTCAAGCTTCACAGGATACCATATCCACTTTTGAACATTCACAACTCTCTGGATTAAACAGAGGTTCATTCATAAAGGAGCAAGCAAAAAAACTTGGCCCAAAACCTTTGGATTTATCTGGCCTATCACCCAGCACCCTGGCCCTGCTAAGTATCAAAGACCCATGTCATTATATCCCACCAGCCAAATATTCAAGAACAGACAAACCTTCCATTCCCCCTGTGGATGAAGAACTAGGCCTGGTCAAGATAGCTGAGCGATTAAACAGCGCTGCATCAAGCAAGCAACGTCAGACTTGCGCTGAAAGGCCTGTGCTCAGATCACCCCCGCTCATCCGAACTTCATTTGAACACTTTAAGTACACTCAACCACATTTGGCTGGGAGTAAATCTCTCTCGTCTTCACCTGTTGGTTTCAAAAGCCAGAGCAGACAAAGGTCTAATAGTGAGGAGAGGTACACAAGCCCTTTGTCCCCACTGGCTTCTCCCTACGCTTGTGTCAAAGTAAACATGGCGGCGTCCCCGCCCTTGTTGCCCCCGCGACAGCGATGCACTAGATCTGAGTCTCCGTTCACTGTAATTAAAAGCCAGGACGCTTTCGGCAGATCTGCGTCATTGTCACCGTCATTGTGTGGTATGCCAGATGTACAGTCAGACGCATCAGGGGACTTGACTAGTGTTGGAACCCAGACCATCACTGAGGTGATTGATGAAGAGGATCCTATCGGGGACGGTGTGGAGAAAGGAAACTTGGAAGAAGATCCTATTGTGAACAGTGGGGAGAAAGGAAACTTGGAAATATTTAGTGATGGTGATGAGGAACTGAGCGAAGAAAAAATTCAGTCTATTCTTGAAACTGTTCCATCAGAGGTCCTTCAGGGTAGTGATGTCAAGGTCGTTGTCCTGGCAACGGATGAGGCAAATCTCTCAGAGGAAGAAATCATGAAAATTACCCTCTCTGTTATTGGAGAATCAGGGGAGGCTACTAGCAACATTGAGGGGGAAGAATCAGGGGAGGTAACCTCAAACATGGAAGGTGTTGAATCTGTTGATTGTAAGGATGAAGACGAGGCAAATGAAAGCTGCCCTAGTCAGGAGGATGAAGGCATCAGCGGAGACGATGAATGCCAGAACAACACAGGTGGTGAGAGTAATGAGGTGAGAACTGTTCCGGACAGAAGGTCAACGACCTCTAGCAGCCCTGGGAGTTCCTGTAACAGGGGTGGGACTGAGGACGGTAGCGGGGATGAGGATGAGAAGAATCCTTGCAAGAACAGAGAGAAAAAAGTCTTGGCAGACTTCAGTGGTGAGGAGAAGAAATCTGAAGATGAAGCGGCGCAACAGGAGAAGAAAAATGAAGATGAAACTGATGGGGAGGTGTCATTAGAAGATCCGTTGTTGAATGAGGCGGAAGATTCTATCACCACAATTACCAAGAACAGTGAGTCAGGTTTTGTTCCAGTAAAGAAAGTGAATGATGAAAATGTTGTAGATCTGACTGAAACACCTAGAGGTGATATATCAGGTGAGACACAGTCACAGAGTGTAGAGACACTGGACAGAGATGTAGATGAAGATTCTGATGTCCAAATCATTGATTTATCAGACTCTGAGAAAGTTCAAAGGTCAGAGTCTGACCGTAACTCTGTTGCCTGTCAGCCGGATGGTGTTAAAACAAGGGGCAGCGCCAAGACAGCGGTCACCCTGCCCCATGGCGAACATGCAGATTCACCTGCCTCGCATGAAAACTTACTTTGTGGCCAGGCAGAAACAGTGAAAAAATCAGGCACGCAGGACACGACAGATGAAGAGAGTGATTTTCTACTGCTGGATGACTTGAGCGTAAGTGAAACTAATGAGGAAGGGAGTCCAAGGAACACAGTAGAGCCTCTCAGCCCTAATAGTAAACCAGTAGTCACTGAACTTAATCAGCTAACTGAAGGTGTTGAGGAAAGGGTTGGTAACTTGAGTAACATAACAGAAACAGAGATCGGCTCAAGCTCTGGTACCCCACAGCTCAAGGAAAGCTGTCAGCCTGCTGGCCCACCCTGCCAGAAGAAACTGCTGGTCAATGTGAAAAGAATGAGTGAAGAGGAGATCAAAATCCTGCTGTCTCCTGGAGGGTTGGAGAAACCTGGGGCTGAGGAGGTGCCCTGTGGGGGTGATGTTCATGATAGGACAGACCTAGCTGTAGACAGCAGTGACAACAGGCTTGATACAGCATCCAGTGAGGTGAGAGATGTCAGTAACTATAAATCTAAACTGAGAAGGCATGATAAGAAAGAAACACAAAACATTGAAGTGAAGCCTGAATTGAAACTGGAAGATGATAAAGATGTCACGATTGTAGAGGAGCCAAAAGAAAAAAAGATGGTGGATGAAGTTAAAGAAGAAAAACCTCTGGAACAGGCTGAAATGATTGCAACTAAAGAGGAAGTGACAGTTGTCGAGGATGATGTAGACTCACTGGGTGAGGAGGTGGATAAACCAATACAAAGACTTGTGGATAGTTCTCCACACTCAGACCAAAGTAATATACATGAGAAAATAGTCAAGAAAATAAAGGCTGAGAGTTTAGCAAGAAGCACCCCAGGTGAGGAGGGGCCATTCAAGTGTCCCACGTGCAAGAGGCTGTACAGGACTAAAGTGAGCTACGACTCGCACGTCCGTGACTGTGACTTTGAGGTCAGCACCAGCGATGAAGACGAGAAGCCCACAGAGCCCAGGCAGTCCAGGAGACTGGACAGGCAGGGTCACAGTGGTGGTGATAAATCCTTGCCTCCTTCCACTCCCCCCTTGAATGTCCCGCTGAGCATTATCATCAGTGATGAGTACAAAGATGACAAGCTTTCCCCCTCAAGCAGGGACCTCTCTGATGACTGCAGCAGTGTCCAGAGTCAGGACTCCAGGCGCTCGTCGCTCAGAAAAAGCACGGTGACTCAAAGAAATGCTGCTCCTGCCCATTTAGCTAAAGTGAGAAGAAGAGACTCCAAATCTACATTGTCCCCAGACAGCTCAACTTGCTCTTCATTGCTTTCACCTAAATCATACCCCAGACAAGATAAGCCTTCGCCTAAGGAAACAATGCTGGAAGCAGTTGGTTTAGTCAGCAGGCGCTCTTTAGAACTGTCCCCTCAATCAGACCCCGAAACAGTGAGTCCAGTTAAACTTCAGCCCAGGATTTCTCCATCATCTATGGACGAAGCCCCCAAGCGAGAGAAAAAAAGCCCAGCTCAAGCAGGAAGTAGGCCAAGCATCATGGCTGGGGGTCTACCCAAGCCAGGCTCAGCTACACAGAAGAGCATAGCCATCACCTACAACCCAGTAGTCCTACAGGAGGTCAGGATGAGGTCTAACAAACCTAAACGGCCGAGGCTGAAGAGGATCTGGTGGGTGGAGGCCGAAGAAGCCACTGATGAAGAGAAGGATGAAATGTTGGATAAAGAGGACGATGACAGTGGTGATGACACCGGTGTTGCATGCAGGACCAGGCAGAGAGTGTCGCTAGAGAACAAGACCCCAGACCACAAGACCTCAGACCACAGGAAACCTTCCAGATCATGCAGTGAAAATTCCCTCACAAAGGAAGATACTGAAGAACCTCTGCAAGTTTCCCCTTCAGTAGGTAGAAGGTCCAAGTCTTTGGCCAAAACTCCTGACAGTAAACCAGAACAAATGAATTCCCCTGAAGAGCAGCTGGAAAATTTTAATGTAAGAAGGCTTAGAAACTCTCGTGTTGTTGTGTGTGGTAGAGTAAATGATGATAAACCTGCAGACAATGATCAGAGTGAGCAGTCTCAGCATGTAGGCCAGGCTGGGGAAGATGAGAACCTCTTGTCACCCCAGGGAGAAGTTAGAGGACAAGGGGATGTCACCCACAAGTCAGTCAACAGCCAGGAGGTGGAACTAACACAAGGGACTAGTACACACATTGAAACAGTTGATGATACAATCACAGTTGATGTCAACAAAGAAGAAAAAAGTGAATCAACACAAAGGCAGGTTCTTGAAGGAGAAATTTGTGAATCAGCTGATTTACAACCTTCTCAAGAAGAAAGTAGCGAATTATCCCAAAAACAAGCTTGTAATGAAGAAAGTACTGAACTATCCCATATAGATCTACAAAATCACATTGAAGAAAGCAATGAAATCTCTCAAACACAGGCTCACAATGAAGAAAGTAGAGAAATATCCCAAACAGACATTCACAGTAAAATAAATGAAGTTTCTCATGTACCGACTACTAACAAAGATGACCTTGATAACTCCACCAATGAACCAGCTGTTGAAGAAGATTGTGGTACTACCACTACCAAGCAAGATATTAAAGAAGCTGCTAACAATGTCCAGGGTGACAGTGAAGACAGCAATGAAGTCAGTCACTTAGAGACTTTCAATGAAGAAAGTGCTGAAGCCTCCCACTTACAGACCACTGTTGCGGAGGGAGTAGAAGCTGACGATGTACTAGATCGGAGCTGTGAATCTCTAGACCTGTCTCACGAGGAGAATGCTGACGAGAAGTTCACCTCACCCCTCAGGAGGAGTAGGAGACCCCCCAGCAAAACTGCCAAGCTGAGCGAGTATTTGGCGGAGCTGAAAAAGGAGGAGGTGCAGAAGAGAGAAGAGGTGCAACAGGTCAGACGTCGAGGGCGAGGGAGGGGGAGTTTGATGCCTCAGGTGTCTGGTACCCGAAGAGGAAGAGGTAGACCTAGAACCAGGCCACTCATACCCCCTGCTGAACCCGTACAAAAGCCTTTTTCATGTAGTCAGGTTGGTCGAAAAAGAGGAAGAAAGCCGTTGAACAGGCCAATGAATTTTCAGACTAACGTTGGTCACAAGGATGATCCAATACAAGTTGAAGAGGTGGAACCATGTGATGAATATGGAAGTAACTTTATAGATCTGACAGAGGAAGTTAAAAATGAACAAAAAACAGCAGAAAGTAAAACGGTGGATGGAAATAATCTTGGCAGTGACGCTTTACATTGCATTGATCTGACTTTAGACAATGGCGACAATGCACAAACCAGCTCATCTGACTCTAAAGGAGACAGCAGCAATTCACAAGAGAACGGACAAGGTTCAACAAGTGTAACAACAAGCTCAGATGTGTCCTCCACTTCATCGTCTGCTGGCCGTGGTGATTTATCTGTCAAAGATGATGACGCTGGGGAAGCCCCACCACTGGTTAAAACTTTGGCGGATGCGTTGAAAACCGGTGGTCAGAAACTCCGAATCATAATCAGGTCACCGAATGTTGTTGCTGCGCAGAAGATTGGCGAGCTGATCAAGAAAACTGCCATGTCCATCAACTCTCAAGCATCTGAAATCATTGTCACCACAGCCGACCCAGCCAAAGATGATTCTTCAAGTAAAGATGATGAAAAAAGTGAAGTGGTACCACCAGAGAATACATCAGCTGATCCGCAGGATGGTTCAGATGGTTTAAAAAGTAGGGACGAAACGCCATTAGTTTCAAGGTCAGTGACCCCAGACTCTATCTCAGCAGCGTATGATATCCAGAGCGATGATTTCAGTTCCGAGACATCCAATGATGTTGATGACTACCCAGCCAGTGCCCAGGAGACAGACAGCTCATCTGTGAGCAAGAATCAGGTCCCCGCAACAGATCAGCCTGCTAAAAAATCCCAACAGGAAGAAGACGACGATGATGATGTGGTTATTGTAAAAGCAGTGGGGCTTCAGACGCCAGATAAAAACATGTCCCTGAGTGCGCCAGAGACAACCTCAGCCGCTAAAGCTCGGGAAGTGCCCGTGTCTTCTCCATCAAATCTGAAATTTGCTTTGCCGAGGATATCAGACTCCAACAGTACCCATTCCATGTCCACACTGTTCAAGTACATGAACCCAACCACACAGCAGAACATTCTGCCAGCAACTTTTGCACCTGAGCATAGACAAACTAGTCATTTTACATCCCAGACAATGACCCTGAGCCCCACAGGGCAGACTGTGAATCAGATAATGAACATCCCACACAGCCAGCTGTCTCCTCCTAGGAATAATCTTGTCTTGTCTGAAGTCTCCCCTGGTCATTACATTATTCAGAGAACATCAAACCCCAGGACAGACTTGCTTCATCCACAAGACATGGGGCAACAAGGGCTAATGCTTCAAAACCCAGCCAACCAACCTGGTATGATTTTACAAAATCCTGGCCAACCAGGAATTATTTTTCAAAATCCTGGCCAGCCCATGCAAGGCACCAATCAGTCTGTCTTGTTTGGTGGCAGCGGTACATCCGGACTGATGCTACAGCAGGGTAACCCAACCATTCTACAAGGACAGGCACCACTGTTGCAGGGAGGGGCCCAGGCTGGTCTTTCTTTTATTTCACTAAATCCTAACAACCCAATGGCATCAACGATCATATCCCCTCTCCAGCCACTTCAGTCCCACATCAGTCCCCCGTCTCTCCTTCAGACCAACATGGGACTGGCTCCCATCATGCAGGCTGTCACCCTCTCAGCCACCCAGCCCTTAGTGCTCGGACAATCCTTCCTCACCCAGAGTGGCATGTTTCTACCCCAGCTGGCCACTCAAACCATGGTGGCTCAGCAAACTGGACACATGGACTTGGTCAGACAGCCGCCTCCCACCAGACCCTCATCCATCATCATTGATCCCCATGCTCATATGCTCTCCTCCAACTTGAACCAATCTCTTCTCAAGACCACCTTACAGCCGAACCATTCAGTCAACAGGTTCAGCTTACCCACCTCCACGCCAGCCCCCAACCCAGAGGTCTGTATAACCCAGCCCAGCAGCGTAGCCACAGCCAAGTCGGTGGCGTCTATCCTTGCAGCGCCATCTGCCTTGGCCACAAATGAAACATTTTCCTCAACGCAGCTCTCCCTGGCCACTCAGAACAAACCCAGTGCAGTCCTGGCTCCTCGTGTTGAATGTTCCGCCGCACAGGTCAACTACATGGGCACGCTTGACCTGAGCTCCTCCAGCTTCCAGTCTGCTGTTAAAGACCAGCCATTCAGTCACGACGCGTCTCAAACGATTCTTGGTTTAGTACAGAGGGCTTTGAAGAACAAAGGCCAAGAACAGATACCCGGGGTGGAAGTCAAGTCCGCAATTACCAACACACCCCAGGGCCCTAAGAAAGTTTTACGGGTTTTTATTAACGAGGAGATACTTCCTAATAACAATCAGTTTAAACCTCCTACCTCTGTTGCTAGTGTTACCCAAGACAGCACATCCTCGAGCACTGAGTACCCTCCAACGTCACAATGCCCCTCAACTTCACAGGCTAACCTGGAGCCACAGTGGACCAAAATTTTGCCCACGCAAAGCGGCCCACAAAAACAAGAGGATCAAATAAAACCTCAGGAAGCCAATTTGTGGTCGGGCACGAACACGGGCTACATCTCAATACCCATCTCCACAGGCAACAAACCACAGACAAAGTCACCTTTTCGACGTGCACTTAAACCATCCCTACCTCTACAGAATTTTAAAAGGAAACTCAGTTCCAACTCACTAGACGATGCCCCTCCAGCCAAATGTCCGATATACGACAAGACAATGAAGAGTGATGGGACGTATTCCTGCACCCTGCAGCAAGTTGTTGGCCGAAGCATTGTCCCACAGAGTGACTCTGTCACTACAGTCAGTGAAATAAAAGCACTTCTGTCCAACAAGCCAGTGGATGTGAGGAGTGAAACTGTTGTACCATGTGAAGGCTCCAACAGTGAACGCCCGACTCACCACATAGCCCAGCAGGAACAGCATCCCTTGAGCTCACCACACAAGAGGGCTAGCTTCCCTGCCACATCCCAGAAGGGTCAGAGTTCATCACAGGCCATCAAGGGCAGGGCTAGGAAGCAGATAATGAAGAAATCTTCACTGATGAGTGAACCCCAGGGATTTGGCTTTAAACCTCCTCAGGTGGAGATGAGAAAGAAGGCAGCTGGTCCCCGAAGGTTAAAAACAGGTATGTTATCATTACTGTAGTTAGGAATGAACAGTTACTTTCCAGATTAGAAATCCTGTAAGAAACCAGTTTTCTATTTTGTTCTTGTGTGTTTTTGCAATTAAAGGGAAACTTTATATAACTGGTAATGTGTATCTTATTATCAGACCTTATTGTTCACCTGTTTCTGTGACCTATGCCCTGCTCTATGACTAGCCGGCACTTTCCCTAATGGGCTGGTAGGCTCATGGAAGTCTTGCAGACTTGTGCCCTTGAACTGTCGGCCCAGTGACCAGTTATATGCTCTAGCACTCTGCCATGCCATTTACTCCTATAAAACTTTGATTGAAGTGGCGGAAATTTTTGTCCATTAGATTTACTTAGGCTATAATGCTTTTAGTTACACTTCTTTTCTGGTGTCAGACAGTTCAGTAGTAAATTTTTGTTCCAGCAAGCTCCCAAGGAAGCCACCACCCACTGATCCACCACAAAAAAGGCCTCATAACACTGCCCCAGCCAACGTTAGAGGAAGAAGTGGTGGCTACACCATTAGACCAAGGGAAAGACCACCCACACGGACCTGGTGGCAAGGGAGACAAGGAGAAGTATGAGAGCAGGTTGAGGTTTGAGATCAGCAGTGATGATGGTTTCTCTTGTCAGGGTGATACAGTGGAAGGTAATGCTATGTCAATGACTAGAACTTGCTCTTAAAAAACTTAAAACTTTCACTGTCAGTTTTTTAAAGCAAAATTTTGTTTTCCAACATTAGATGCCTGGAACCAGGTCTTGGAGAAAGTGCAAGATGTTAGAGCAGCGTCCCGAATGAAACAGCTATCCTATGCTGGAATCTGTGGGCGTAGCATGCTGGGCATTGACCATGACGCTGTTGTGTACCTGATAGAACAGCTGTACGGAGCTGTCCACTGCCATCGTAACTACAAGTTCAAGTTCCATAAGTACGACTTGGACCAGGCTGATGCGGTGAGCACTGATATTAACATCATAGAATTTTGTTTCGTCATAGTTGTGTGCTATTTTTCTTACACCATAAACTATGTTGTAGGTACTAGTTTTTAAATTTTGTAATTGATTTCAATCTTCTGTGAAAATTTGTGTGAAAATATAATTTAAAATAAACAAACTTTAATTTAGTGTTATGAAGTATAGTTCATAAATTGTTTCACTGTTAGAAATAGAGTAGAACTTATCCTGCATGCTTTAATCTTAGGTCATTTTTCCATGCAATTTGACATGTGGCCCAATTTGTTTCAGGAGGTGGCCTTGAACCCCACAGGAGCAGCCAGATCTGAAGCATTCACAAGTCGTAAACCTTTTGACATGTTCAACTTCCTCAAGTCTGTGTACAGAACTAAACCGGGAGATGAGGAGAGGGAGAAGGAGGAAGAGATGACTTTAAAGTCATCCAGGTGAGAATTAATTTTCAACTTGCAGGTGGTTTAACTAAAAAGTGTTATTTTTAAAAATGTTTATGTTAAGCTTTCATTATTGCACAAAAATAAAAGGACTTTCTTGAAATATAATTCATCACTATTTATCTAATGCACAACCATTTATATAATTTATAAAAAGTATGGGTTGATAAATTGTAAAAAAAAAATTTTTAATTGGGAATGTGCAAGGTCATCGTTTTCTGTAAATGTGCAAACATTTATATGTATGCTGCATATGTGCATATAATTCATTGTTAAAATCATTTGGTAAATAACTTGTCCTAAAGTTTGTTTCATGTTCAATTCCACTTTCAATTTTTCTTATATTTTCTTACATTTTCTTAGACGAGCCACAAGTTTAAGTCTGCCAATGGCCATGAGGTTCAGAAAGCTGAAGACCTTCGCCAAAGAAGCCGTGGATGTGTATCGCTCCAAGATCCATGGGCGAGGCCTGTTCTGTAAGAGGAACATTGATGCTGGTGAGATGGTGATTGAATACGCTGGAGAGGTCATAAGGGCATCCCTCACTGACAAGAGGGAGAAATATTATGAAAGCAAGGTGAGAGCTCTTGACAGTTTTGCTGGGTACAAGTAGGTTTATATGATATAAAATAATTACTGTTTGAAACTTGTTACAATTACTAATGTAGTAATGAAGAATACAAGAAATTATGAGAATAATTACTGTTGTGGTAGTGATAAATAGAAGTTAATAATAATTGGTTTTTATTTATTCTGATTTCATTTTTTGTTTTCAGGGTATTGGCTGCTACATGTTCCGTATTGACGACGATGAGGTAGTGGATGCTACAATGCATGGGAGTGCAGCCAGATTCATCAACCATTCTTGTGAAGTAAGTTTTTTGACATCTCATTCATTTATATTTTTAAAAATATTTTTATTCTCATTGAAAATATTGAACCTAATTATTGAACTTTTGAAAATGAGTGAGATCTCAACTGCGATAAAATGTTAACTCTTACAAAGCTGACATCAAAATGTTTGTCATTTTACTTGAAATTATCTATAATTGATTTGCATTTGGAATGGAATAAATAGTGAACTCATTTATTTGGATTTGTTTTAAACTGGATTTTATTTTAGTAGATTATATTGTATGCTAGTGTATTTTGTGGCTTAACTATTTCTATTTCTTTCTTTACAGCCTAATTGTTTCTCAAAAGTGATTTTAGTTGATGGCAAGAAACATATTGTCATATTTGCCATGAGACCGTAAGTATAATTCGATTCCTTTAGTGATTTTAACTATACATTTGTAGAAATTTTGTAAATTCTCATGATCGACCGACAGTACTTTTTCAGTTTTGAGTTAGTAATATTTTTTAATGTTTTAAATAATTGTATTTTCTCTTGCAGGATAAAACGAGGTGAAGAGTTAACTTACGACTACAAGTTCCCCATTGAGGAAGTCAAAATACCCTGTTCATGTGGATCCAAACGATGTCGCAAATACCTTAATTAACACTTTGTTGGACAAAGCATCAAACAGAGGATATAAACAGCCGAGAGGCCCTTCATGCTACATACTTGGCCATGTGTGGCCGTGTTTTTCATGTTTCCAGAACAAAGGCCTTTTATAGAAGTCGAACCGGTTATCAAAATGTGACAAAAAATTGAAAATAGCCTCAATACCAGGATGCTATCAAAGATAGTCAAAGGTATACCAGGCGTAGAAAATACGAGTCTTACTTGACAATTAAATGGTAACTATAAATGTCGAACAAAATAGTGTAAAATGTATTCCTTTTTCTTTAGCTTTCAAGTAGTTCAAGCCAAAGACTTTTATAAATAGGTTAAATATGTCAAAAGAATTTTCTATAATCAAAAACTTGTTTTAAGAAATTAAATCATTCAAAGACTGAGAAATAAGTTATATTAAGTTAATTAATAGGTAAGAGATGTTTATCCAACTTAATTTTCCTGCTTTACACTAAAACTAAACAATGCAAATATAATGTTAGCATACTTATGACAGACTGCACTTCAAAATACAGCAGTTAACATGGTTATTTCTGCTATTTGTTGCCCTCATGTGTTCTGTTATTTTTTTATTTCTCATGTTTTTTTTAAAGCGTTTGTATGCATTTGTCTATTTTAAACCATTTGTTCCTTTTATTCTCGTGAACATAACATTTGGTTTTCATTATACAAGTATTGCCAACTGGCAAATTGTTTATATAGCCCCGATTTTTGGGGCTTAATGCTTTTAAATATTTTTAAAAAAAAATAATGAAATTTGGCATTAACCCGATTGTGTAAAAATAAATGTTTTTGTTTGTAAATGCTAAACAAACTTCTACCAGTGTGTTTGTACAGGTTATAACACTATAAATATTTACATATAAATGATGTACATAGTTTTGTAATTTATATATATAAAGAGATGTTACAGAATGCAGTGTGTAAATAATGTTTTCTTCAAGATGTCCAAGCAAGGACTTCCACAGTAGCTGCTATTGTTTATTTTTAATGGAACATTTTTTTGTTGCTGTAAAATATTCTATATTAAATGGAGGAAAATAAAACATGATTGATTTTTGATGTGTTTGTATGTGTATCAGTTGTATCACTATAACTGACAAGTTTAAAGCTCACTAAAGGGGAAAAAAAACAGGAACATAAACTGTATGACTGTTTTTTTTTAAAAGAAGTTTAATAGTTTTTACAAAACATTTAATAAGTTTGATAAAATTACCTCTTATGTAATCCAACAAATATTGGATGAAAATATGCTCCATACAAATAACTGATATTGTGTGGTCAAGATGCTGTACTAGTTTGGTTCCTAGGCACAAGTCTAGTACACCCCATGAACCACCTTGTTCTGACTAATAAGTCTTGTGTGATAAAAATATTAACTCAATTGTATCTGCTTACTGAACAAGGTCAGAAAAAAAGGTGTAAAGTCAAGTTCCTTTTTTAGACCTAAATATCCATATGGTAGTATTGGTAGATGAAGTAGACCTTGGCATATAAAGGGATGGTGTGGTCAGCACTATGCCCAGTTGCCTTTCACTAATGTGAGTCATGTATCAAAGCTGACCAAGATCCCAACTCTAGACCTTCATGCTTGCAGTTCTCTACCCTTGACCACACAATCACAATGGAAAACAGGCACCCACACAAAGCGAGAACAAATTTATAAATACTCTTTAAGTCACAGCCATATATGTCATGTAGAAAAAGTGTAAAAAAAGCATTAACAAATATATATCACACATCAATTATTTGGACCAGCCAAAGAATAAATACAATATTATAAGATAAAGTAGAGATTTTGTAAACACAAAAAATTAGTTAATATCTGAAAATGAACACAATGTTTATACAATAAATTTTTGTGCATATTACATTTTAGACTTCCAAAGATCAGCGAATGTGCCAACTGTTGTTCACCCTTAGTCCAGGAGCCATTGCAAAATGTGTATTGGTTCAACCCACACAGCTAGACTAAAAAGTCTCATCAAATCTTGGTCTTTTAGTGAACATATATTTTTGTTTACTAATATCATAATATATAAATGCATATATATTTATACACATAAAATAAAACCTATTGTGAAACCCATTTGTTAAGGTGGCAGTTATTTACTGCCAGAGGTCACTTCCTGTCTAGAGTTGACAACTCTAATCTCTTCATGAGCAGGTGTGTCACACTGTAGTGTAAGGTATTTGGTCACATCCACATTAATAGATGCAAGGCTGGCCAAGTGTTTGACTTTTTGTGCATCTTCTGCTTCTTTATAATCTGTTTTATAATAAGAAACAATTTTTGTATTTAACTTACGTGGATATAATTATTTGAGAAAATGAAGAGTAGTAAATAAGCTTGTAAGGTTTTAAGTAACGCTATCCACTTAATCAGCTTTATTTAAAATTACACATTTAAACTTTGGTTAAGCAAACCTATATTATTTTTAAACTTTGGTTCACTTATAAACTATTTGAATGTTGGTTGAATACCCATTTGTCAAGAAACACATAAGGAAAGACAAACGGAGCTATTTGGAACTGCTGGCAAGAGAAGCGGAAGAAGCACTGTACCATGGTAATATTAGGGACGTGTACAATACAATTAAGAAGATATCTGGTAAGTACAGTAAGCCAGAGAGGCCAGTGAAAACCAAAGATGGAAAGACAATACCTGATGCGGAAGGACAGATGAAGAGATGGGTAGAACATTTTGAAGAACTACTGAATAGACCAACACCAGAGTGCACGCAAGACATACCACCAGCTGAAAGTGACCTCCCTATAGACTGCAACCCACCTTCAAAAGAAGAGATACATAGAGCTATAAAGCAGCTGAAAAATTGGAAGGCTCCAGGAATAGATGGTATACCGGCAGAAGCACTGACAGCAGATATAGAAACTAGCACCACACTACTATACACACTCTTCAAGAAAATCTGGGAAGATGAACAAATACCAGAGGAGTGGAAGGAGGGACTACTCATAAAGCTTCCAAAGAAAGGCGATCTTAGTGCATGCTCTAACTATAGAGGGATAACACTTTTGTCCATCCCAGGCAAAGTCTTCAACAGAATATTATTAAACAGAATGAAGGAAGCCATAGATCCCCAGCTTCGAGATCAACAGGCGGGCTTTAGGAAAGAAAGGTCATGCATAGACCAAATTGCTACCCTGCGCATCATCATTGAACAGACCCAAGAGTGGAACTCATCTCTCTATATTAATTTCATAGACTATGAGAAGGCCTTTGATAGCCTGGATAGGCAGTCAATGTGGAAATTGTTGAGACATTACGGGGTGCCACAGAAAATAGTCAACATTATTATGTCTTCATATGAAGGTCTCAAATGTAGAGTAGTGCATGGCCAACAGACTACAGAGGCCTTCCCAGTACGGACCGGAGTAAGGCAGGGTTGCCTACTTTCACCATTCCTGTTCCTGCTGGCCATAGACTGGGTTATGAAGATGTCAACAGAGAAAACGCGAAACGGTATACAGTGGACATTGTGGAGCCAACTGGATGACCTGGACTTTGCTGACGACCTGGCCCTCCTTTCTCACACACAACAGCAAATGTAGGATAAAACCAACAGGGTTGCAAATTTTTCTACAAACAAGCCTGGGTCTGAACATCCACAGAGGGAAAAGTAAAGTTCTCAAAGTCAATGTATCAAACAACAACCCTATAACACTGGCAGAAGAAGCCCTAGAAGAAGTGGATAGATTCACCTACCTTGGAAGTATTGTTGATAAGCAGGGTGGGACAGAAGCAGACATAAAAATAAGGACGGGTAAGGCAAGAGCAGTCTTCAACCAACTAAAAAATGTTTGGGGTTCGGGAGATTTAACCCTTAGAATAAAAATCCGGATCTTCAACACACTAGTAAAACCTGTTTTACTCTATGGAGCCGAGACATGGAGAATAACTGCTATAAATAAGAAGAAAATACAATCATTTATAAACGCATGTCTCAGAAAGATCCTGCGAATTCGCTGGCCTAAAACCATCAGAAATGATGTTCTATGGCAACGGACAAATCAACTGCCAGTGGAAGTAGAGATCCTCCAGAGAAAATGGAAATGGATTGGCCACACACTCAGGAAGCCTGTATCCAGCATAACAAAACAGGCCCTCACCTGGAATCCACAAGGCAGGAGGAAGAGAGGCAGACCAAGAAAGACCTGGAGACGTGACCTGGAAGAAGACACCAAGAAGATTGGATACACCTGGGGACAGTTGGAGAAACTAGCCCTGGACAGAGACGTCTGGAAAGCTCTTGTCAGCGGCCTATGTCCCAGTAGGGACGACAGGCAAACATGACATGACATGATGAATACCCATTTGATCTTTATACATATCCATTTGAAAATTTGATTAAACACCCATTTTAGCTTTGCTTCTGCACAAATCTCTTTGAAAATTTGGTTAAACATACCAATTTGATCTTTATTTATACACACATTGGAAAATTTGGTTGAACGTACTAATTTGAACTTAGGTTATACACATCCATTTTAAAATTTGATTAAACACTTATCTGATCTTTGCTTATACACAAAACCATTTGCAAATTTGGTTAAACATACCCATTTGATCATTGTTTATACACATCCCTTTGAATGTTTGGTTAAACATACCCATTTGAACTTTGGTTTCCAAGGACGACAGCTCAAGTTGCTGACGGAGTTTCAGTTCTTCCATTTCCAGGTTATGTTTTTGCACCAAAGCTGCCAATCTCTGCTTGTGTTCTGCCCTCTTAATTTCCATTGACTGTTCTGAAATCAGATTGGTACAAACAATATTCATTTGTTTGATTTGTTTAATAGAATGTGTAGTGTGAGAGTGATGGGATAAAAATAGCGATGATGTAGGAGACAAGACTGAAGAGACAGTTGGGGCATAGTGTAGAAGCTAGGGTGTGTATCTGGAAATTTATAAAAGAATATGTAATTTAAATTATGTGTGGAAATAATGCCACAGTCCTCTTACAGAAGCCATTATGATTATAGTTTATAGAGTTCAGACAGTATAATAGAGATCTTCATTAGAGAACCCCCCCCCCCCCCCCCCCCCATTACAGTGACTTTATTTCCACTGCCTGTTGTGAAATCAGATTGGCACTAAACACTGAATAAAATGAGTTTAACACATAACGTAAAAAAAAACCCACTTAGATGTAATGCGACTTACGAATTGAACTTCTCTCCTGCAATTTGTTCAGTTTAAAATTTGCCAACTTCTGCTCCTGTTCCTCTATCTCTCTCTGCAGCCTTAGCTGTGTGCGTGACTCAATGGCACTGTTCTGCATTTGCTGAAAATAAAATTTTATTCTAATAGAGATATTACATATCAATATGTCTGGATTTTATTAAACATAGCTTATAAATGTAACTCATATTTATCTCAATATTTTAGCATCTTTAGAGAAAGTAACAATTATAAGCTTGCACTTTTATACTATTAATGCCAGTTGTTGTGGTAGAATAGAATTCATTGTTAAAAGTTCTGATAATTTTTCAACACCGTAAGTAATTCAATAGTATTACCAGACAAAATAAAAGCATCCATTTTATTCAATTTTATTATTATCAACAGGCTATATGCCTAGAAAAGATTGCATAATGGCCAATGCATACATCTGGCTATTACTATTTCCTATTAATTTAAGCTTTGCAATATAAACTTAGACTCATCTGGATTTAAAAAAGGTATTTGCAATCACAACAAAAACTGCATTTACTATTTAAAAAATAGCAGTTTAAAAACTATCAACCCCCCATACCCCCTCCCCCCACCCCAAAACAAACCTGTAGCTGATCTGAAGCATGGTAACCTCTGAACACAACCTTTTGAACTTTAAACCCAACTCTCTCAGCCCTCTGTTGCAGTTGAGGATATGTGTCAAGACAGCTGATCAGACTTGTCTTGTCTATGAACTGTTCATATCTAGAGAAAAAGGTATCACTATTGTAATGAGACTTTTAAAATTGGGAAACCACAAAAAAAAAAAAACCAAGTCAAGAAATAGTTTTAGGCTTTGATATTTTTCATTTATACATTTCGAAAAACAGTTTTCAACTTTAAATAATTTTGTATGATCATAATAATTTTAGTTTTATTATGGGGAAGGTGGAAAACAAGTATCATCCAACAACGGCTAAAGTTAAAGAAAGTTAGAGATTGTAGTGAGTGCCATTGAATAAGCAAAAAATATTTCACAGTGACTTACATTAAAAAACACTAGATCACATCACAAATACTTACATTAAAAAACACAAGAACACATCACAATAACTTACATTAAAGAAACCTACAAGAACACATCACAGTGACTTACATTTAAAAAATGCAAGATCAAAATACAATAACTTACATTAAAAAAAACCCACAACAACACATCACAATAACTTCCATTAAAAAAAACACACTAGAACACATCACAATAACTTCCGTTAAAAAAACAAACACTAGAACACATCACAATGACTTACGTCAGAGGACCCACAAAAGAGATAACATCGGCACATAGTGCACTGCAGAAGAAAAATTACTGTATTAAACACTTCGCAAGAATTAGAATATTCAATATTTCTACGGAGATGGTGTGGTCGTATTGTGGAACTTACACCTGCTAACCCAAAAGTCTCAAGTTCAGCTGCCAGTCTAGAGTCTGTAGAAAGAAAGTCTACCCCCCCCCCCCCCCCCAGAGAAAAAAGTCTGGAAGAAACACTGGAGTCCACCTGTATCTTACAAACAGGAAAAGATTATAATATATCTATAGATATATTTATAAGATAGACACTTGAGCTTCACCCATCATCAATTTTTTAAAATGGAATTACCCATTATAAGCTAAGAACAACACTACAGGTACTAAACTAAACTAAAATAAGTAATGTTTTTAACTTATGGTTTTGCTCTTAACTATTTCACATTGAAATATTACTGTTAAGGGAGAAAACTCTTACTTGATTAAATCTGCTATTGGATCATGAGTAGTGTCAAGCTGTAAAGCAAAATTTCTTTTTTCAAAACCCTTAACAAAGTAACTTTGAACAAGTAGTAGCTTTGAACAAGTAGTAACGCTGACTAGAAAATAACAGAATATAAGGACATATAAAGCTGGCTGTATTTATAAATATGTTTTTTAATGAGATGAAAAAACTAGAGTCAAATATTAATTAACTGTAAGTATTAATGATAGTTACTACAAATGAAGGGATACAGTTTTAAGATCTTTGAAGTTAGAATTATTTTCTAAGTCAATTCTAAAAATTGTTTTAATTGCAAATAAAAGTATTAAAAAAAAAAAAAAAAAAAAAAAAAAAAAAAAAAAAAGTTAGAATTATTTAAGGAATCTATTTTACATTGTGTCACAGGTAGACTGATAAAAATCTGGTAAAATTATATTTCATTTATAATACACCTGAGGGAGGGGACATGTAGGTCTGGCTCTCAAAGTTCAAATATAAGAATTTAAATATTACATTGTCCCTCTATGATAAAGTGACACCATTTCTAGTATTGTCACAGTAAAAAAAAAAGTTCTATTATTAATATTATTGTCTCACTCATTTTTAAAAAAAAGTATTTACAAAAAAAACATATGTGAGGAAGTAAACAAAACAAAAAACAACAAACCATTTTTAAAATGTCAACAATCTCATAGAACAGCATGACCTTGACTGTCAACATGGTGTCATCACTGGTTCTCACTTCATTCACCTGGTGAAGTCATTCATTAATTAAAGCTAACACAAATGTAAGAATCAGTTTCATTGGTCAGTGTCTACACATATTTAAGTGTCGGTCTCATTGGTCAGTGTTAATAAAAAATAAAGGTTAGTTATCAATGAAAAGTTTTAACAAAAATTGATAAGTCAATATCATTGGTTTGCCAAAAAAATATAAATAGAGATTTTATTGGTTGATCTCTACAAAAAGAAAACACAAATGAACAAATCTCATCCTGAACAACTAATACTTGCTGTTCCTGGTAAAATCATTTGTTACTGAGATTAGTTTAAAAAGTATATTGTGAAATAACAGTTAGTTATTTAAAAACAATATTGTGCACACAATGTAGAGAAAGGTGGGGGTTAAAGTTAGAAGGTCACATGTCATTTTTAGCTCCAGCTTCCCAATACAAATGAGACGGCTAACCTGAAAGTCTCGAGTTTGAATCCGGGTTTAAGTCAGTGGAATTGGAATGTCCCTGAGTCCACCTAGTAACAGTGGCTGAGCATAGTGCTGACCACATTATCACTTCATATGACGAGGTCAAGAAACACATGAACTCTACTTCATCCGCCCAATGGATTGATAGGTCTAAAGAAGAATCTTTACTCAATTTTTTTTTCTCCCCACAGAAACTAATGACAGTTGAACTCACGTTGTAATAAAAGTTGTCTGGGATGATAGACAAACATGTGAACTTGTTCAAGCCTGGCACCATTCTGGTTTTGTTCTCTGGGTCAGTTCCATGCCACTGGAACTCATGGGCCCTGTCAAGAGACAGTGAGAAAAACACCAGTGTGGGTGGTCAACACTTGAACACAAACAGACTTGGTCAAGTAAACATTTACCAAAATAATGGGTACAAGTCTTTTAAATTTGCAAAAGATTGGTATGAATTTTTTCTTACAAAAAATATTGGTCAAACTCAAAAATATTCCCTAATAAAATTTTAATTTATTTATTTCACCAAAAAAGTAGGACTCATTTTTAAAAATATTGTGATAAAAAATAATTAAAATAATAAAAAAGTCTTGGTAAAGTTTATTGAACCAATAATAAGCTTTGACTATAAAAATAAACACCAAAAGAACTGATCACATACAAGATTAGCCTTAATCATTTATTGCATTCTAAAATTTACTGGAAGTACTGGAAAAAAAGTTTCCTTACCACTCTTCAGCCTCTGGGATAAATACAGCTGGGCCTTGTATTATCCGTCTCTGCGCTTCTCCCCCTTTCAGCCTCTTGTAGACAACCATCAGATGATTGGCATCAATGGTCTGGGCATCTTGTTTTGTACAGGCTCTGTGCTCTAATGGGTTGTGAAACACCTGACAAGGGCTGGAAAAAATTATTTGAAAAAATAAATAATTTGTTTTTACATATCTATGACTATAATATCAGTGGAACATCCCTGAGTCCACCCAGCTCTGATGAGTACCTTAACTCATGTTAGGGAAACAAAGGTGGCTGGGCATAGTGCTGACCACGCTACTTCTTCATATGCCGAGGTCCCTGAAGCAAATGATCTCTACTTCATATGTTCCATGTGTTGGGCACAAACGGGAAATGCTGATGCTGATGACTATAATACAAACAACTGTAAAATTAGGCTTTGGGCTTGGAGGTCAAAAGTAATTTTGACAAAATGCATGGCTGTATAGGAGAGCAAGCTATCAGTTACATGCAGCTGCCAGATTAATGTGTAAGAAAAAAGCTAAACTAAAGCACAGGGCTATTGCTTAGTTTGTAGATTTTGTATGGAATTCATGAGATAACTGTATTGTGTAATTCATTTATTTATAACAAATATGTTAGGACTAATTCAAGTGAATGTGGATGTAGGACTAATTCAGGCATTTGCGGGACAACTGTAGCTTATGAAGGAAATCAGTAATACAGGATTGTGTAGGACTTCCCCAGGTTTGTGAGGACTTACTGAGGTTACTTAAATAGGTTTTAGTAGTATGACATACCCAGGTTTGTGCAAAATGCAGCCATTGTTTTCTTGTGTAACAATGTACTTATAACGGTCTGCTGTGTATGATGTTAGTTGCTGAAATCTCTCTCTGAAAAGAAATACCTGGAAAAAAAAACAAGAGAAAATTGTTAATAATGATGAACTAAATAACAATCATAATGGTTCATGTTTGATTAAAGTTATGAGTTATGTTTTTAAAGAGTAGCTTCCCCTTATTTTGGTATTTTTGTTTGTTTCGTGTATGATTTAAATTTTGTAGAAACCAAAAGAGCAAAAGCCAACAGATGATTGTCATTATGTCATGTTGTAGTTTAGATATAACAGTATATCAAAGAAGTAATCTGATGATGAGTGGCAGACGAGGAGGGGTTCAGAAAGTGTGACCACACTTTGGCATTTTAAAAAGTAATGCTAGCAACAAAGTTACAGTCATTATTTTAATGTTTTTCAAAGATTTATTTTTTGTAAACTGCAATAAAAATTGATCAGTTTATTCAATTTCGACTAGGCTCTACAAACTATTAGAAAGAAATTGCTGTTTTCAAACTGGGGGGGGGGGGGGTATGCTGAGGTTTGACATGATTTTATGAGGGGGCCTGGCTTTTTGTGATGGGGAATGGTGGGGAATTCTGGAGGTAAAAATTGATTGTTATACAATTTATGATATGGTTATGGCTGACCCCCTACTTATATTCATGTCCCAATTTGACTATGATAAGCACATTTATATTTGGTGGTGTGGTCGAGCAGTAGAGCATATGACTGCTAACCTGAACTGAAAGCCTTGAGTTTAAATCTGGGTCGAAGTCTATGAGTCCACCCAGCTCTGATGGATACCTGATTCAAGTTAAGGATAGTAAAGCCATCTCACCACAACATCTTTTCATATGCAGAGGTCACAGAAACAAGAGAACTCTACTTCACTTGCCCGATGGACCACCAGGTTCAAAGGGAACTTCCCTACTTGTACATTTATGCCGCATATAAAATATCCCTGATCTAAAACAGACAGCCCCCATACTCACTCGTTCAGGTCCTTCTACTAATCTCCCTTGGCCGAGATGATTTAAAATAACAGCTTGGTCCCCTTCTCTCACAGTTTTGAATTTCATTCCCGCAGTTTCTATTAGAAGATACGATACACCTTAAAAAAGTTTATGATGGGTGTGCAATTAATTATGAAAACAGCGTCAATGAGTAAAACTAATAAACCAGATGTTGTCACAACTTAGAAGTTAGATTATATAGAAACATAATTTAGTGATTTTTTTCATTTATGATTTTATGTATGACTACTATAAAAATGTAAACAATAAAAAGTCTTGAGAGAGAAAAGGCAATACAGAAATAACATTAGTGGTGTGCTTGGTTGTAATTTTTGTCAAAAAAATTTAAAACCATAAGAGAGAGTGGTCTATGTAATACTTTACATATAACAATGTAATACTCAGTAAGTTAAAATGTTATAAATTATAGACCTTCTCTCATTATTTCTGACAATTGAAAATTTTAGAAAAAGAAATGAATGGACTAGCTGTATTTATATGAATGAATTTGGATTTTGGGTTACAGTAATAGGACGTTGATGAGTCCACACAGTTTTAATGGGTACCTGGCTGAACTAAATAGCTGCTCATACATTATTCATTATTCACTGTGTTGTCTGCACTATACCCAGCTAGCCACCTTTACTTTTCCTAACATGAGCCAGGCACCTTTAAAACTGGGTGGACTCAGCAAAATCCTAACTGCGAACTCAAAATCCGAATTCATTCATACATTGTTGATTAGCCCTTTAGTTTTAATTTGATCTTTTATGAGATTATGGCTATTTGGGCTATTAATATTAATGATATTAATGACTTGTTATATTATAAATAAAATAATATAGGCCTATATATATAATAAATAGACTCACTCTAGTCTAGTAGTAGTTTTAACAACTGCATATCCAACAAATAAATGAAAATAGATTAGATCTAGATTTTGAATCGAACTAATAGAAAGTTGGGTAACTATTAGCTACATTAAATTAAACTTAAAAGACCACTACTAAGTAAGTATTAATATTAAGGCAAGTAAGAACTAATAAGAACAGTGAATAATTCAGAATATCGCAGGAAAAAAGAAACAGAACAGATCTAGGTGCTAGAGTTAGAGCATTCGTGATTTCCTGTTTCTAAAAATATACCTTTAACTCAGACTCAGTACAAGAAAAGTAAAGGGTAATAAAAAAAATGTCTAATTATAACAGTATAACACAGGAAACCCTACCCTGGTTGGGGTCTAGTTATGATATTTAATTCCTGCCACAGCTCCCCCTCCCGCAGTATAAACTACTATTAGAATTTATTAGATTAATAAATCAGATTTGTTTGGCACTTCTAGAATGATGATATACTAGACGTTGCAATCTTAGTTAGCAAGTGGGATTTTGTCTTGAACTCTTGTCTTGATCATTAATCTTTATTCTTTAAATTAATTATATAGTTTTACAATAACTTGTTATGTTATTGCACAGTGTACATAGCAAAGCTATACACAACCATAGTTACTAGGTTTCTATTTTTAACAAACGCCCTACTTTTTTTTATTACGGAAGTTTTAAAAAACAACAACACCGTATCAGTCCTAATAAACCACTTCGCTCTAAAATGTATGCCTACTACCCATGCGGGAGCGTTAGTATTATAGTAATTTAAACAAATTAATACAAGTGTAAAGAATATGTTGTGACATATGTTGGAAAAAAAGCATTGCTATTAAATAACATTAATCGTTATTCATTTTTTATTACAGGCCGTGTTGATGTCAAGAAAAGATAGACTCGTTAAATAGCTTTTCTCAAATGTACACATTTTTAGATTAAAGTATATAACACGTTATGATGCTTAATTTTAACTCTTAATTAACATATAATCTGGATGAATAGTTTTTGTGTTTTACTTTGTAAACGTTTCATCGATAAAACAAGAATAGGACATTTTTAACCCTTCTTTTACAACATACATATAAGATTTATAGGAAGCACACTCGACTTTGAGCGCATTCACAATTTGAAAATCAACTTTGAGAAAATATGTTGGCCCGTAATGTCAATTTATTCATCCGAACATTTTTAAAAGCAGAAAAAAAAACTGGAAATAAAAGAAGATAAAGTCTGTGTTAGAGTGACCTAGCGATAGAGAACTAGACTGCTAACCCGTAACTCGAGTTTGAATCCGGGTTTAAGGCAGTGGAACGTCCTTGAGTCCACCCAGCTCTGATGAGTACCTAACTCGCGTTAGTGATCCTCTTCATTTTTTTTTATCTCAGTTTCTGGATTATATTTTGGAAGTCTGCGTTGAGGGTCCATGTCTCGCAAACATACAGAAATACTGACATGACCAGTGTCTAATGGAAGTTTTTTTTATCACGCCAAATTTTTCTGAAGTTACTGAGTACTGTTATTTCATGCAGAGGCGTAGCGAGGGGGGGGGCATATGTCCCCGAGCGCCGACCTTATGGGGGGGCGCCAAAATGAAAGTTTGAGGGGGGGTGTGCAAATGAAAAGTTCGATGGGGGGGGGGGGGTGCAAATCGAAAGTTTGTCCCCGGGCGCCGGGAAGGGTCGCTACGCCTCTGATTGTATAGGCACTTTCTTATACCTATTTCTAGCTTCGTTCCCTCGCCAGACATAATGGCGCAAAGGTACTTCCTCCAATCAAAGCAGTAGTCTATTGTCTTAGCTTTGTGTATAATTTAATAATGCAGCTAAAATTAGCTTTTTAGTAGTTTTTTTTGTCATTCCGTTTGGCGCCCCCCCCTCCAGGGTCGGCGCCCGGGATGGCCACCCCACCCACCGCCCATAGCTACGCCTCTGCTTAGGTAGGTAATAATCCATCCGCCGACATGACATTCCAAGGTGTCCGTCAAGGTCCAGGGTTCGGCGTGGTCGAGTCGGTAAAGCTCATGGTTGCTAACCCTCGGGCAGATGAGGCTCGTTAACTGAGGACAGCCACTCTTCTAGGAGAGACAACTCCAAAATTAAACAACTGCTGCCTTGTAGTTTGTTCTTGGTTGGACAAAGGCTATGGAAGCAAATCCAAATCGGAGTCAATGGCCTCAATGGCGCATAACCAGTTGACACGTAACGCTTAATTGTGTTGGAAGCTCGTGGTTGATAAATTCGAACAAATTCTCGAGTTCAAACCCACTGGCAGATAAATCTCGATCCCCTTCAACCCTAATAATTAAGAACGAAGAAGAAGAAGAAAAGTCAAGTTCCTATGTAGTTATCGAAAAGGATGGGAGAGAGCAGACAGCCTTGTCTAACGCCAGGCTATCGTTGTTCCTAACTAAACCATGCGCCTATAGTTGCTGGTTACTCGCTCGTACAAATTGTTTATAATTTCCGTGAGGTTTGCGCTAATGGTAACCCACAGTGCCTGATGCCATACTCTGTCTTAAAGTGTATTTAAAAAGTGGCAAAGATGGTGGGGGTGGTGCAGGTATTTTTCGCATATTAACACAATTTCAAAGATTTGCTTAGTTGTTCCACCTCGCTATCCCTGCGTGTTCTTCATCTTGTGGCTTTAGTCTTTAGCAGGATTTTTCTTGGAAACATATAAGACGGTAGTTTTGGCAGAGTTGCAAAGTAGTGTTTCTTGTTGATGATTAGAGATTGAGTCATTTTCCTGCCAGATTTTGTTGAAGATATTTAGCAGTGCAACTGACATAGTTTCTCCTCTTGCTAGTACTAATTCGGCTGGTACGTTGTCCACTTCTGCAAATTTCCTTTACTTTTTTGATTTAATGGCTGCCTCTTTTTCTATGTGGATACGCAGGTCTTTGTAATTATCTTTGGCGTTAGAGGGCTTGTAGCAAATCAATTTTGACCTACTTCTAATGCAGCGATTTTGTTCAAACTTTAAAGATACGTAGTTCCACTACGATGACAATACAAGTCTATCTTTAATTTTTTTTAAAATTAGATCTTTAATTAGCCATAAAAAATAATTAAACGGTTTCGAAACCAAGAGTAAGATTACTATATTCAATAACAGAAGGGGAGATATCACCCTAACAGTCTGGTGAGCTCTGGTTGACGAGAATATTTACAATCGTAGAGCCGGTCGATCTAGTGAAGGCTATTAGGGGCAGATAATATAGTTTTTAATTGATTTGAAACTAAAGGGAGGTAGCAAGATTAAGAACTTCTCTTAGCTTTATCAGCTTGCTGTTGTCTGTTAAATTGTGGCAAAGGGCGGTTGCTTTTCACGGTGTTATCTGTTTCGTGCGAACTACTGATGGTAATTTAAAGCAAATATTTTTAGTCGTGTCGACTTCATAAATTATGAATCACAAGGAAAAAAAGAAGAAATATTCTATTTTCACGGGAGACATATCGTAGAATTTCAAAAGATAGAGAATTTGTGCGTTGTATTCTTATTTATATTGTTCTACTTAAATATGATTTTTTTTCTACCTATCTGGAACAGTACTCAAATTATCGTGTTCCCACAGAAATAGAGTAAAGTACCACTTCCGGATACCGGAAATTGTAATAAAATTGATAAATACCTGTGCATACACTCTGTTATATTTTTTTTGAGAAATTTCGTCGTTCATCCAGCTGAAACGGTACTCAAGCTATGGGCTTTTAAGTAAGTACCACTTCCGGTTACTGAAAATTGCTTAAAAGTTGTTAGAAAACTACTGATTTGATGTATTAAATATTTTAATAATTTTAAAGGCTTTTCGTAACCTAAATAAAATCACATTTAAGTTATCATGTTTACAGAAATATAAATAAAAACACAGACATAAGCGTAAATCTACGTTTTTTCCGACTCGTGGAGGTGTAAAACGTCAAGATATATCAAAATGTCGATTTGGATGTCCTGTACGATTACAATGTCGCTCTTTACACCGCATACGAGAAAACATGGCAGCGTAAAAAGACGAGAGCTGACAAAATCACATTTCGATTTTTACATGATTACAATATTTCCTCTATAGATCTAGACCTATTCTGTGTAATATTAAAAAAAAAACAAAAACAAAAAAAATCCGAAGTTTTTGCTTTAAATTAAAAAAAAAGAACTACACAAATGTTGTAATGATTATATGACTATAACACATACGCTTTTATGTTGTAGTATTTTCGTTTCTCAACAACAGTATAACAGAATCGAATGTCAGATAAATGAAATGCTGTCAATTCTTATTTCTATTTTTTCTACAACCCGTGAAACGTGACTTTATGAAGAACATGTTCATGCACGTGCTGATTTTAAAAAATGGACATTTATTGCAGCAAATAGGGTAAATATATTATGACATTTCACGTGAGAATGGAATAAACGGATTTCCCAAACATGTACATACGTACAAAAAAATAATCCCTAATTAAATACTTTTGGCGAAAACCCATCTTTAAGTAAATTTTAATTGTATTTACTACATACTTAAATAGCTAAATACAATTTATATTGACTTGTTTTCACATTCTTTTTTTTAGACTTCACATTTTACTTCAGTGTCTCTCTACTTCAAGAGTTCTTCCGCATATTTAGACAGCGAAAGACGCCATTTTTGTCACATGTTCACTTTTCCATCTCACATGACCTCTTGTTTGGCCCCGTGATCAAGCTCTACTGTCACCAGGCAAATTCAAACTCATTCCTGGATAAAATATCATGGAAATGTTAGAGCAAGCTCTCGATTCCAGGTATCAAAACGCATTCGAAAGGTATTTAGATTGCATTTGCCATTACTGTAAAGCTTGCATCAAATTCCTCGTCCTCAGAAGTTTTGCTGACGCCAAGGTCTATCGAGCATCCGTTCTCTTTTCGCACGTGGCGAAAATCTAAATTTAGAATGTCCAGATCCCTGATTACACTTAGTCTACCCAAATACATTTTGACCCTTTATGTTATTTGAGAACTTATTTTTTTCTGATTGCTATTCAGTCAATGTTGTTGTTTGTCTTTACACATACATTACACTCCACCAGCCACTACTAGACTACAAACCGTCGCTATAGCCAGGCTTGTTGATTCGAATGTTCAAACTCTGAATCAGAGTCTGGTGGGCTTAAAAACAGTGAACACTAGCCTACAAAACTTTATTTACTGCTATTGTTGTGCACATTTTCTCCATGTATTCAACAGAAGACTTAGATAATTCAATTAATCGTCACAACAATCCACATTTACGCAAGTTATTAATTTTAATATGCTATGTTTGTGTTGTATTCTTCACTAAAGGTTCATAAGCTCTTAAGTAGGTCAACAGTTTCAGGAACAAATTTTAAGGTCAAAGGCATACCCCTAGTAATTTAAGTAAATTATCATGAATGCTTTTAATTGAAATTTAAAGGCTTAGGGCCTAATAGATAGTTAAATTTTCATTAGGCCTAGACTTCTAGAGATTTTTTATATAGTCTACTTCTAGAACAATTCATGGATGTCTACATTTACCTACCTTGTAATCTGTAATAATGCATCAAAGTTTAACTTTAAAAAGTTAATAGTAATAATATAGCATAGTTCTATAGTCTAGAATGTCTACATCTAACACTGGGTCTGAGCTTTTTAGTTTGCCCCAACCCCCTCATGAAAATATAAATTTTTTCATTAATGCCTGAGAGTTAGACTGCTAACTCAAAAGACTTGAGTTCAAATCCGGGTTGAAGTCAGTAGAACGTCCCTGAGTCCACCCAGCTCTGATGAGTACCTAACTCTTGTTAGGGAAAGTAAAAGCCACTTCATAACTGATTTCTCTCCGCACTTTTGCCCTACCATTGTATCCTACCGTTTTTTTTTAAATTAGCTTTAGTGTTGAAAATTTGTCTTACTTTTCCCAAGTCTAATCACTAGTTGAGTCTTAAATGATTTGAGGGGTATCAATTTCAAGGGGATCTTGTTGTTTTAAAGCAGGGAAAGTCTGGTTAGGTGAGAAGTTAACTTTTCTTATTTGAATTTTGGATTGGTTTTTACAATAATGAAACAAATAAATAGACCAACTAGTGGCTACGACTGGAGTAATGGCTACCCATGCGTTTTATTCTTGAACCAATAAGTGACATTTAAGGAATTAGAAAACTATACTTTTTTTAGCCAAAGCTATTTCTATGTTGCTTCTCAAGGAAATAAGATCTTTGAAGTAACACATTTATTCATAAGAAGCCTTTATGGTTTTTACCTACATAGCATACAATTTTAAATAAACTTTTAATAAAAAAAATAATATATATTTTTTCATTCAAAATGTGATCCTGATTTTCTGAATGTCTTAATAATCAGTAACATGCGAAGATTATGACAGTTGTTTTTCCATTATAATGCTATCGATTAAAATGTATTAAATAACTGCTTTTTAACTGTGTGGTTACATTCATTTCCTTCTTTTTACAGCCAGGACAAGAGCAACGACTCAGCTGATCCGGATGATATACGCCTCTCTACAAATGTGGATACAGATTTAGGTAAGTTTTATGTTATTCCAGTGACATAATTATCCAAAATCCAACACTCCCTATATTTCCTCCAATTATTTTTCATGTAATTAAAAATTTGAGGGAAAATGTTTTTAAACCGAGTTGAAGATTTTTCCAATCAGCTATCAGATGTTGCTTAAATTTCACCAGTTTATCCTAGAAAACCTACCCTCTCCAGAAATTGTTACATCTTTATTGTCTTTCTGTACCATGAAAAGTACCACCCACTATTAGCTAAACAAGATTAACAAATGTTATAGCTATATCTATACATCACGTTTATTTTATGAATTTGTGAGAGATTTTAGCAATAGATACCTAATGTGAATGAATTAAGATTTTTTTTTTTTTTTTACGAGTGCCTACAATTTTACTACACAATCTATTTATTGGGCTGAACTGAAGTACACAATTAACTGCCACCACCAGTTTTAAAACTTTTACAAAAAGTATTGCCATTTATTCATATATATTCAAAGATTAGGTAATGTTGCTTATTCTCTGTAAATAACACTATCGAATGAATCATAACTTGTCTACATAGTTAAAAATATTATGAACATTGAACAATATAACTAGAATAACCTCTACAACACTGTAACCAGTTACTTTGAGTACTAAAGTATACAGAGCTTAACTGATGCTTGCTTGGTTATAAAAGATGCTGTACGCTTCAGTATATTAAATTACTAAAAAAAACTATATTCATTTTACTTTAAAAAATAGTATTTTGATCTACAATCATTAAAAAAATGTTAAGTATAATTGCAAATACCCGCTTTCTTCAGCAAGGCTAGAATGTTTTTTTTTGTTTGTTTTTGTTACTACACTGATACAAACATACCAGTGGTTTTTTTTTATATTGCTACCCCATGCCAAAGATGACAATTATAAGAGTGGTCCCCTTTTGAATTCACTCTCACTGACAGTTGCAGCATGAGTCTTTTTTATTTTATTTTTTTACATTGGATGAAGACCCATTTACTCTTTCAGTCTGCAAGGTAAAACAGGAGCTCAATCAGTTGGAGAGTTCTAGTATGGAATTATCAGGGACAGTTGAGGCAGATTTAGGTAATGCTTTTTCTTACCCAGGATTTGTGTGTATGTGCTTTATTATTTTTCCCCCCTGTCGTTTAAATTTCTTTGTTTTCTTTCTCTGCTTCCACCCTTAACCATTTATAACAGATATACTTTCATGTAATCAAATAGCCGTGTGATGGTTTTTTAGTTGGGTATTATGGTAATACTATTGAAGACTTACAGGAACAGAAATTAGATCACTAAGTATATTTGGTTTTGAGGTATCCTTGTTTTTTAATTTAACATTAGCAGTAACAATGCCAGCTAAGAACATGATAAGATAAACATGAGTTCTCTCAGATATTAGGTCAGATATTTTAATCAGATCATTTACTAATCCCACATGTCTTCTAGAAGGGAAATAAAATCATAGATTATAGCTTGGGTTATCTGATCTTGGAAGATTTGGGTGTTCTGATTAAACAGGGCTTACATTTATTGATGTTGTGCTTAATGCTTGTTTATGATTACTTTTAAAAACTTAAAAAAATATATATATTAACAATTAAGTTGTGTTACTAAAATTCAAATGAGTTATCGTTTAACCTTAAGTATAAGTTACCTTCAGGAAAATTTAATCAAGTTGGCATTTTCTGAATTAATATTTTAATTTGGTTTTCATATGAAACAATTTTGTTGGCAAAAATTGTCTTCCCTTTTCAATACTTCCTTATTTACTTATAACATCAAGCAATTTAACTGATTGTCAATTAATACCACCACTTTGACTGAGGAAAAATACAGCATGGCAGGCTTTAACCACTGGCTTTAAAAACACATCAACGTTTTTGTGTGTTAGTATACATTTCAACAGCAATACCAGAGCTACTCAGTTTAAACTTCATTCAGAATTTTATTACTGTTTGTTCTTTTCCCTCTGTAGACCACGCTGATGAACAAGCAGCAGCTATAGCCAGTGTTCAGCAACAGCAAGGTACCATCACTCTTGATTCAACTCTTCAGTATCAGATCAGAGCTGATAACAGTGCAGGTCAGTTGTCTCCCCTACTTTACCATTTCATTTTCTAAAAATATCTCCCAGAATAAACAAACAACAGGAAATTTGTTGTCTTGAATGCTAATTCAGTCTAATAATTATAGTATTGACACAGTGAAAAGTGAATTCTGGAAAAAAAATAAATCAATTTGGAAGTGATAGTATTAATCACTTAATGGGTTTAATGAATAAATTTAAAAAGATTAGCAGTTCATGAAGTTTATTCCATTTATGGAGTTTAATTAATAAATTTAAAGAGTTTAGCCCTTCATTGAGTTTAATTAATAAGTTAAAAGAGATTAGAGTAATATTTTTAAAAAATCAGATCTGACTTGAAATTACAGGTCAGGTGACCTATAGAGTGGTTCAAGTCGCTCACGATGGGACAGAAACAGCATCACAGTTAGTGGGAGGTGCTGGAGGCTATGCTGCTCAACAGGTAGGAAACTGCGTATCTGGGCATGGTTAGTCTTACAAAGTTGTCATTAATTAAAATTAATTAAGCGGTAGTTGCTGTATGGGTCAATTGTAAGGCATCTGACAAAGTAGAAGATAATGGATAAAACCCTATGCTCCACCAGGAGTAAAGATGGCTAAATTATGTAAAGTTAATGAGTAATTTTAAGAAAGTAAAGATAAACTCTACAAGTGTAAAGTTCTTATTATTACTTTTCAATTGCTATGAAGCATAGGACAAGATACCACATTGCCGTATTTACAGATATTCTCTTCAGTGAAGAGTATTCAAAGCATAGAAGTAAATTTCATTGTACCTCTTTAATTGTGGTAATACTTTAAATTGCCCAAACATTTTGGCCTGGGAATTCAGCCTAATTTGTTGTGTCTGCAGGCGGTGATCCAGAGCCCCTTCAGCAATGGAGGCAGTCCTACAGGTGAGGGCGCTGATGCCAGATTTGCTTATTTCCCGGCTCCAGCCGCTACAGATGGAACTGTTGTTGCATCACAAGGTGGGGAAACTATAGATTCGGGAGCGTCTTTAGGTAAAGGGGGAGTAAGGAAACATGTTATAACTTTAATGGCGCTCTCAGCCATTAAAGTTATAAAACCTGTCCTGTATAAAAAATAATATGGTGTTTTTTTTATATTTAAAAAAAAACAGGTCAGTTTTATGTTATGATGTCACCCCAAGATGTTCTTCAAGGTCAGAGACAAATTGCTCCCCGGACTTCTTTTTCACCTAAACTTGAAGGGGGCGGGATAAGGACTGCTAGGGATGACAGAAGGCGAGCTACACATAATGAAGGTAGGGTGTACATAGCTATGCTTATGTTCAACGGAAGTAGTTCTCATAAGTTTCCCTACAGATGAGTAGATGTTATCAAGATGCTTGAGTGTTTCAAGTGGTGTTAAATGTGACAGTTCAGTTTTTTTATGTTACACCAACTTAAATTTATTGTAATGTGTTTACAAGAGGGTAGTCATATGATGTTCTTTAAGGAATTTTTTGAAATTTTTAAAAGTAATTTTCTATATTCTACTGACGTTGATTGTTTTATGATTTTAGTTGACTAGTATCATCCATCTTTATATTTAAAATATGCATTATGTAACCTTCTGTATTAATTAGCATTTTAATTGATAAAATTTACTCAAATATAACTTGTAAGTGCCACTCTGTTCCCAAAAATAATATTTTAGGAATTAGAATAGATAGTTTCAAAGATTTTCCATAATTTTTTAGCACCTAGTCACGGAGTTATGTTAGTTTTACTCATTCAAAATCTAATTCAGAAAAATTTCGCAGTTACCTTTTGACATATGTATTCCGAAATGTTGTTTGAAATAAAGATAAGGGTGGTTTGAGTTAAAAAATCTGTCTCAAAGGTGTTGATTGGCAAAGCGTCATTCTCCACTCTGTGCTTCTCCAAGATTAATAATACCACAAAAAATGTTACTTTAAAAAGAAATTAAATTCTTTAAAGTTGCATTTTTAAATTTTTGCACCACAAAAATGTTCTTGTGTAAATTAATTTATAAAAATTGTTAAAATCCTGAAATGCATTCCCCAGACACCCTCCTCTTTTTTTAGCTTTTGCTCAAAAGATCTGGGAGTGGGGGGAGGTCACATGTTAGTTTCAACTCATAGCTCTTCAATTTCAGATGTTAATTTCTTTCTAATGTGATAACAATATTAACATTTTCAACATTCCTTAAAATCTCCAGTTGAACGTAGAAGAAGAGACAAAATCAATAACTGGATAGTCCAGCTGTCAAAGCTAGTTCCAGACTGTGCACAGGAGCCAATAAAACAGACACAAGCGGTAAGTCAATGATCAGGTTAATATTAGTGATAGTAATCACTCTATTAGAGACAGTAAACACTCCTTTAAAATGCTGTCAAGTTATATGGTAACAAGGCTTTTTAAAATAAGCTAATCTGGGCTAAACATACCATCAAAAAAGTTTTCCTACTTTACAAGAGTCCTGAATTTAATTTAATCTATTTCCAGGGTTTAACATGTACTATACCTTTTTCATTCAAATTAAATAGTGTACACTGCAGGTTGATCAATTTTCTGTTTCTTTTGAACTATATTTCTAAACATGTTGTAAACCTTTTTCAGAGTAAAGGTGGTATTTTATCTAAAGCTTGTGAATACATTCAAGAACTTCGAACAACCAACAACCGTCTAGCCGAGACCCTAAAAGACACTGAACGGTACAATGTAGACAATGAGCTACTGAGGCAGCAGTGTGAGGAACTCAAGCAGGAGAACGCCTTGCTCCGATCACATCTTCAACAACACGGCATTGTCCTAGACCTCGGCTCAGGGCCCTCATAATGTTTACCTGCGGTTTATTTTTCCAACTGTTTTTATTCTGTGAATAACTAGGAGTTTTTAAAAAAAAACACAACAAAAAGCCGTTTAAATTCTGACATTGTGATCGATTGCTTGAGTGACAGTGTACAGCTGATGGTGGACTACATTTAAAATTGTTGTATTCTCAGATGTGGTTTTTTTTTTTTTAATGTAAGCAAAAATGTGATGTAGTGTGAGATCACTTCACAAAATATTTCCACGTGTGACTCCCATCTCTTGTTCTGACTAAACAAAATGCGTTTTATAAAAACTGTCAACAAATATTTGTATATACAGTTGTACATAGCGACGGGATGTTTATATCATAAAAAGAGATCTCTCATTGGATAATTTGTCAACAATGTCATTAAATTGTTTTAATAAGGGTAAGTTTGGTGATTGTTTGATAAATTCAATGTGGAAGAAAGATTTTTTTATATTTGTATCACCTGCACTGTTGTTGAAGTTATGATAGATTCACTTGTATAAATAAATAGTTATATATATATATATATAATGTAAACAAGATGTCTTTCTAAAAACAGATTTTTTTTTAAGACTGAGAATTCCATTTGTCCAGCTTAAAAAAACCAATTTGTATGCCCATGTTTGCTAGCATGGCTGTATGATTAGGTTACGTTAGCTGTGTATTGCTGAATGAATTGGCTGAATGACTGGTTCATGTAACCTGTGTTTGGATGAATGATTGGTATGTTTATAAATACTTTTTACTGGTAGTTTGTAAGCTATGTATTCCTATATTAGCACGTTTTAGTGTGTTTATGATTGGATAATTTGATTGAGGTGGCAAATTTAAACCAATTAGGTTGTAAGAGTGATTTTTATGATTCTTAACACTTACAGTGTGGTGTGTATGCAGAATGTTTTATTTATGTGTGGTAATTTATTTTACAGTCAAAAGTTTGATCACCAGCATTCAATTAAGTCATTGATTCCAAAAAAATGGATCTGATCATTTCAATGTTATATTTCAATGGCAGTTCATAAGGATTGTCTAGAATCTGAACAGAATATCTATTTCATATACAATTTTAGTGTAGATCAAGTCTCAAACGTGTTTATCTATAATTATTAATATACTATGCTAGTATGGCTGTTCTTATGCTTGTTGTTACAGTACCTTGCGTTGTAGGCTAGACTAACTACTAGGCAGTTAGGTAGTTCTTGAGATCACAAGGATTAGATGAGTTTGAAATACACTAATAGCTACTTGCTAGGGATGAGGAAAGAAGTATGCTTGATTAATTTATATAACAAATTTTATTTAATTTCAATAGATGTTTATGTTGGGATTAATTTAATACAAGTTATGCCCATTAATGGTTATAACATGTTCATAAATTTTGTAGGTTTGACATTTTTTGGGGAATTTTGTTAAGTATAATATTCTGGTTTAAGGGAAAAGTATCTTTCTAGCTCATCTTTATTTTTATATATATATATATATTCTCTTGAACTATGCTCCACATGATAGTATTAGCAGTATGAAATGTGTCAAGCCTCCAAGAAAAAAGTAGTCACAGAATAAGCTACACATGTTGCTTAAAGTTGTTATATTATAAGACAAATAAGCCAGTTGCTTTTTATCAGGGGAAAGCATTTTGTACCAGTGCCAACACATTAAGAATACATGTGTCAGATTGAATGTGTAGAAAGTATTTGAATGAACATGCTGTACATAGTTTCACTGACAGCTGACATGGTTTTTTGTGTAAATATTTATTGTGTATATAGACATTGTTTCATGAAATTAAAATACAGCCCTGTTTATGATTCATTTCTTCCGCCTTGCTTTACTTAATTGGAGTTTGTGTGTTGGGGATTTCAAACCTAGGTTTAACTTTAGCTTTGGGATTTAATCAAGTCCCAATATGTTTTCAACCAAATTTGAGACAATCACCAAGACACAATAAAAAAAATCTTCTTAAGACCTAGCAATGCTTTGTGCAGATGTAGTGTTTTTTGACATCTGCATATGAAAGGATGGTGTGGTCAGTACTATGCACAGCTGCCTTTACTAAATGTAATCAGGTAACGTTAATAGCTCGGTGGACTCTGGTATGTATAGTCACAAGTCCAAATTAGGATTTAAGCAGCCCAATGCTCTGTCATTCATCCACACCATTCCACCCCCAAGACATACACCTACTTAACTGCATGCATGGTACAATAGAAAAAATGCAATTCAACCGAACTCAGCCAAAACATATCAGTATATTTGTATTGTGGATTAAAAGCCCAGATTTTAAGTTCCGTCGTTTAAACCCGGGTATGTTTTCAATCACCCTACAAAACTATAGTATGCTTAACACTAAGAAGAACCAATGAAAAAGAAAAAAGAATTTCCCAAGCGGGGAATCGAACCCCGGCCGCCGCGGTGAGAGCGCGGAATCCTAACCACTAGACCACTTGGGATCATGGTTGTTAGAGAAAATATTAGTATATAATAAAAATGCAAAATTAAACCCTTTTTTTTTTTAATTTTAAGAATGAAAATATTCATTGCGATAAATGAATAAATTTTAACTTTAAATAACTTTAAGTAAATTTTATCCCGCCTGCTTAACATTACGTCCTTATCTGATACTTTTAAAAATTCTATAGAACAGGAAGCCAGCAACTAACGCATAGAAAAAAGCGTTCTATTTTTAGAATTAAGCGCAAAAAGAGTCAAGGTTGGACGCTCGATAGATCGCAGGTAGTCCTAGATCTGGACTGGAGCTATAATTTTAGAAATCTAGGGCCTATATTATCTATATTTAACCTATCGTCCCAATTACACTAGGTCTAACCTTATTTATCAATATTAATAGGCCTATATTTCAATTTCTTTCACTGAACGTTAGACTAATTCCATTATTTAAAAGAAGGAATAGGCAGCTTCAAATATAAAATAATTAAAACAAACGCCATGGCCGATTATAGTCATTCTTTTGAAGGCCTAAAATTTGCACTAGATCTATAAAGAAGAAAATAAAATTTTTTACTTTACTTTAAATGAATAATACAACACTATTTAAATGACTGGTAGAAAAGCGTACTGAATTTGAATAAGAGCCTAAGAATTTTTACTTTAATTATTGTTAGCTACTGATGGAAATGTAGCTTATTTTTAATTTTTATTTCAAAGGGTTATGGGGCTAGAACGACCCTCCACTGAAACAATGTAAATAAAATTAATCTGTTGAAATAGGCTAATTAAAGCACTTTTGGTTGGTAACTATTAAAACGTAATTTAAAACACATCCTTAACACAAGACATTCGATCGGGTATGACCCCATTTTGTAAACCCGTTGCAGTTTCTTTGCATGTTGCCAGTCCAATTAGTAGCATAACCGACATATTATTAATGTTACCTTCAATTAGTTTCTCTTGAAATTATTCAACCACACCCCTTCCACTATAAGACGTAGACGTATTGTTTACAACCAGTATTTCTTGCATAATTTTTTCTATGAGTGGTAGTAGACACTTCAAACATTCGTGTGGGTGGTAGGGGGCGGCGAACTAAATAAAATATCCGGGGGAGGGGATGCGGACACTGTTAAAAGTATATATTTTCTATGTAAATTATATTTCGTTCGGGGGGGGGGGGGGGTTAAACATTGCCTGGAAGAAACTCAGTCCACCCTTGCATGACTCTCCCATTGTCAAGGACAACGTAATTATCTTCTTTTGTGTGGGTGGTGCTCTCATTGTCATGTAAGGATATACGCAGTGGCGTCGAGGTCGGGTGTCACCCAGTGCGGCACTTAATGGTGTCAACCCCCAGAGGCGTAGCGACCCTTCCCGGGGACAAACTTTCAATTTTTCAATTTGCACCCCTCCCCCTCTAACTTTCGATTTGCACCCCCCCCTCAAATTTTTCTCTATATATTTTACTATTTTTTGCCTTGGTGTCACCCCCTAAATGGTGTCACCCGGTGCGGTCCGCACCCCCGCCCCCTTTCCCCCCCCTCGCTACGCCTCTGGATAGACGTATCTTATAAAATGACTGCGTGGCAGGTTCAAAACTACTGCGTGGTCGCTCCACCTTGCAGCTTAGAGGGGAAAATTGTCTCTAACACAACACTAGGGACGAGGTGGTTGAATGGTAAAGTTTACGACTGCTAGCTCGAAAGCCTTGGGTTCAGTTCTAATCCCGAGCTCGAATATATAGGATGATCCAGAGTCCAACCAGCTTTGATGGTTAGCTGACACACGTCAGGGAAACTAAGGCAGTTGGGCATAAAGGTGACCTCACTATCCCCTTGTGTGGCGAGGTCACTGAACTCTATTCACTAGCCCCTTGTGGCTTAGGTACGGACGGGAAAAGATGAGTGCCCCTCCTATCATTGACTCCAACATCACTACCCATTTGGTTCCCTTTGACCCCCCTCCCCCACCCACTGTGTTGAAGGCGACCGGAAAGATCTGCAAACGGAAAAATGCGCAATGGGAAACTACGAACAATAATGTCCGCTAAGTAATTTGTTTTCTTTAAATCGATAATTTTTAGACGTTAGCAAAGAATACCTACATGTACATTGTAGCATATAAAATAAATAAATTTCCACGAATATGAACAAAATAAATTAAAGTGTATTAGTATAGTTCGCATTTGCATATGTTTTCTGTTCGCGCTTTTGCCGTTTCGCATTTTTCCGCTCGCCCATTTTTTCTGGAACGACAGACTTAACAGATGCTCGCCTTTATTCTTTTTTTTTTTTTTTTTGTACTTAAGCATTAAAGTAACAACTATAAACAAGCCACACATTACGATGTTTCCAACTTTATTTAGTTTTTATAAAACTACTTTATTTAAACTGGCAAACGGTGTTTAATAATGAACTAAGTATACAACTGTTAGGTAGCTTATTTCGTTTTCTTTTAATTTCCGTATAAATAATTGATTATATGAAAAAAAAATTCACATATCAAAAGACTTGAATGTTCCGTTTTCCGAGACCACGGTAGCTGTCGTTGATGGCCGTTTGCCGATGTTCCCCGAAGCAAGGACGGCAGTGACGCTGCTGGATTTTGAGACCGTTGGAAAAGAGACAGGTTTTCCCGCCACTTTTGTCGTGACCGCCGTCAGAAAGGCGTTGCCCTCGTCTTCAAGTTGGTTCAAGTTGGCCAGAGTTCTCTCCCGTTGGATCAGAGAGTTGATGGGCCCGTAGCCCGGTGGCAGAAGGGTCGACGTCAAGCGCTGGAGAGAAGATTAAACCTTAAGGCAGGGGTCGGCAACCTGCGGCTCGCGAGCCGCATGCGGCTCTTTTGATATCAAGATACGGCTCTCCAGCTCCTTGAACAAATACTAATAATCTTAATAATAAAATAAAATATTTGAAATAAAAAAAAATATGTTAGTGGCTCTTTAAAACCAGGGAAATTTTGAAAATTGTAACTTTTGGCTCTTCCGCTTCAAAAGGTTGCCGACCCCTGCCTTAAGGTACCGTGCACAGATCTAACACACACATAGAACACGATACCCGACCTTCAGAGGCGTAGCGACCCTTCCCGGCGCCCGGAGACAAACTTCGATTTGCGCACTCCCCCCCCCCCCCCTCAAGATTTCGATTTTGCACCCCCCCCCCCTCAAATCAATCTTTCGATTTGCACCACCACTCCCCCCTCAAACTTTCGATTTGCACCCCCCCCCTCAAGATTTCGATTTGCACCCCAGCCCCCCTCAAACTTTCGATTTGCACCCCCCACAAACTTTCAATTTATTTTTCCAACCCATTTTGGCGCCCCCTAAGGTCGGCGCCCGGGGACATATGTCCCCCCCCCCGCCCCCCCTCGCTACGCTACTGCCGACCTTACCCCATACAACATTGTTTAGATCGTCATCTCTCATATGGGACGGCGTGATCGAGTGGTAGAGCTCTCAGGGCCGGCGCTACATATAGGTCTAACTAGGCGGTCGCCTAGGGCGCCATCCCTAGGGGGCGCAAAAGGTTTAATCTAATAATAGCTTTAAACCTAATAATTAATAACTTTTACAAAGGAGTAGCGATCTATTTCGGCACCCAGGACGAACTATAAATTCTACACCCCATCCCAAAATTAGGTCTATAATTATTCGCTATGGTTAAAATGCAACCCCACCTCCCTAATTTGGAAAGGTCGGGGCGCTTTTTACCAGTCACTTTTCCTTTTTAATTTGGTGTCACAAAATTGATGTAGAAAACGATTAAATACGTTCGTAATTTAAATTTCGAACATTTCAAACGGTTATCTAATTTTAATAGGGTTTGTAAGTCTCGTTTTCTCTGACTTTGAATTAGAAATCTGACCTGATGTAGCCTATAGAGTTTTGTAATGACGGGGGTGTTCAAAGTATTGTACTTGTTTGGTGAGTTTTGATGAATCGTTTAGATTTGGGAGCAACGGCGGAAGGCTGTTGCTGATATGGTTTCGTGGGTATAAAGTATCGAATTGTTAAAGTGTCATAATTTTTATTCGGCTGTTTTGTAGTTGAAGGTCTAGTGAAATCTGATTGGTAATAGAGAAATGAGAATGCATATAATATGATGAAGTATCGTAGTTCTGGAGTTCGGGAGTATTGATTCTTGTGGTATTAAGGTATCGAATTATATTAACTGTTAAAGTGTAGTAGTAGGTCCAGTGAAATCGTTGTTGGGAGTACCGTTTGTAGAGCTTGGTGAAGTTAAACGAGTTGGTGTCGTAGCTCTGGAGCATCGAGTCCAGTTATGTTTAAGTATCGAAGCTTGATATGTGTTGTGAATGTAGTAGAGTATATCGTGTACGTGTAGTCGAGTTTATCGTACGTAAGATGATTTCAATTCAGTTCAGAACACACTACAAAGAAAGGTAGGCGTTCTCTAGTTGAAAAATCTTTAGTTTTTTAGGAATGTTACCACTCTAAAATTATTAATATATAATATTAAATGGGTTGAAATTTATATCTAACCGTAAACTTTTTTTTTCAAATTATAATTTTTTTATATTTAATTAATAATTAGAGCAATGTCTAAAACAGTTACCCTTGTTTGATTTTATTGAAAGAAGTCCCTTTATTTAGGGGATCCAAAATTTAACGTCAGTTATATTTTTCCAATATAATCGTTTGTATGTAATCAAAATTGAATAGAAGTATGTTATAATATAGCTACCATTTTTAGACTTTCAAACAAAACCCACAGTTAAGTATTGAATAGGTAAAATATATTGTTTTTACAACGTTACATAACTGATAACTATTATTAAAATACGTAATGAAATTTAGAGCGTTTCATTGTATTTTTCGAGCATGTGTTAGTTACACTTAGTTAATTTGGCTATTCTTGTGAAAGTTATTTCCCTTGAATAAAATGTTGATATTTGGATTTTCAAATGGGAGATAATTCGTTGCTTAACTTTACATTCATTTCAAATTCCTGCACCTTCGGTTGACCGCATACATATAAACAGAGTTTCTTTCAGGCATCTTTTCGGGGGGGGGGGGGGGGCGAAGCCCCCCCCCCCCGAAAATTTTTTACCGCCCCCCCCCCCCCCCCCCCGAACGAAATGAAATTTATATAATTTATATAGAAAATATATACTTTTAACAGTGTCCGCCCCCCCCCCCCCCCGAAGAAAGTTTACCGCCCCCCCCCCCCGAAAATTTCAAGTGCCCCCCCCCCCCCCGGAGAAAAAAGTCTGGAAGAAACACTGCATATAAATACAACTTTAAGTTATTATTTGCTATAGTAACAATTATATAGAGCTTAAGTTCTAAACAAAATAGTTTGGTAGTTTTGTTTTAGCATTATTAAGTTGAAAAATAAATACATCAGCAGCCGTTGTAGATTGCAAAACTTAATGTTGGTAAATTAAGCACCTAATTATTTGTCTATTCATATTTTTCACCCTCTCATAATGGATTCATATATAACAATTTTAGGCTGGAATCTGTAACATTTATTTAAATTTTCTATGGGGGAGGGGGAGATGGGGGGTGGGTGGGTGGTGTTTGGGGGGAGCACTTTAAATTTTCTAAGGGCGGAAGGGGAGATTGGGGGGGGGGGGGGGGGGGCTATATCGTAAAGTGCAAAGTAGACTCGTGGACTTAGCAACAATTTCAATAAAATGTGATTACGCTTGCCAACTGGAATTGAAGGAATTAGTACAAACTTTTGAGACGAAGGAGGCAAGTAAAATTTGATTTTGATGTCTACTTATAACGTGTATGCAATTGATAATAAAGTTTTAATTAATTGTTTTCTTATACATATGTTTTAATAATTAATTTGTGTGAAAGGGGGCGTTTTAAGAAGTTTAGTCTAAGGCGCTAAATAACATGGCGCCGGTAATGAGAGCTCTGGACTGCTAACCCAAAGGTCTCGAGTTCGGATCTCTATCTTAGCTCTTATGAGTACTGGAGATAATATTAAGCTATGAGGTACCCTGCACAGATCTAACATACGCATAGATCACGTTACCCGACCGTACAACATTTGCTTAGATTACCATCTCTCATTTGGTACGGTATGGCCGAGTGGTAGAACTCGGGACTGCTAACCCGAAGGGCTCGAGTTCGGATCTCTACCTTAGCTCTTATGAGTACTTGACTCACGTTAGGAAAAAGTCTGTCAATACAGACTATGCTGCAACTTCGTTCATCGCTGGAGATACTATTAAGCTATGTGGTACCTTTCACGGATGTAACATACACATAGAACACGTTACCCGAACGTACACGATTTTCTTAAATTACCATCTCTCATTTGGGACCGCATGGCCGAGTGGTAGAACTCTGGAATGCTAACCCGAAGGTCTCGAGTTCGGATCTCTATTCCAGCTATAGATCTAATACGCGCTTGACTCACGTTAGGAAAACAGCTGTCAATACAGACTGTGCTACACCTAACCTATAGGGCTGGTAAGTAGGTCAATAAACAGTTCTATGGCTCATGCAGGTTTTATTGAGCCTACTTATCCCTAGTTCTACGGTTCAATAAAATCTGCATTAGCCATAGAACTGGCTGGTGACCTACTTACCAGCCCTGTAGATATAGGTCTAAAAGAAAGGGGAACCTTGCCATACCCCATTTTAATAGAAAATTCAAGGGAATCCCCCCTACACTTTGAAAAAGCAGAAATAATGGTATTTATGATTTATATTATGAAAACACAACAGTTAGTGTCGCATCTTCTTTGGAAACGATTCCAAGTTAACAGGGAAAAATGTAACAGAGTACTTAAACTTGTATATAGGTTGATTTTGCCGAGGGAAATTGCTAATAGGTTGCATCAGAATGTCCAACTATCAAGCATTTTCGGTTTGATGTCACCCTTCTCCGTTACTATTTTAACTCGATAAAACATTATTTTGACGTTAAATTAAATTTTTTGCTGTTGTCACACCCTAAATAGCACACTGTGGTATGCCCTTCTCTCCCCCCCCCCCCTTCCCCCCGCCCACATCGTGACGCCACTGTAACGAACATTTGACGAATTCGGGTCAAAATTAGATATATCGAAACTAATTTTGTTTTGCAGTTTTCAATAAAAAATAGTTTAAAATGAATAAAAATAGGTCACAAAAAAGTCAGAATTTGAACCCAATTGAAAGACGTTATTTACGGAGAGTCTTTACAACAAATTTTAGCTTACATCGAAGTCCGAACGATTCCTTGTAGGTCCGCTAAATGGCTTACCTCGAAATGCCCCGCAATCCCATGTTTGGCCAGATAAATTTTGACGTCATCCCGGTCGGCGTGCATCTGAGAGGGGTAGGTCAGACCAGACGTGTTGGCTTCAATTGTTCGTGGAGGTTTCAGCTGTTTGAGTTTCTTGGCTCTCTGGGTAATAGAGAGGTGAGTTAGAGAGGCAGGTTAGAGAGGTTAGAGAGGCAGGTTAGAGAGGTTAGAGAGGTAGGTTAGAGAGGTTAGAGAGGTAGGTTAGAGAGGTTAGAGAGGTAGGTTAGAGAGGCAGGTTAGAGAGGTTAGAGAGGTTAGAGAGGCAGGTTAAAGAGGTAGGTTAGAGAGGTTAGAGAGGTTAGAGAGGCAGGTTAGAGAGGCAGGTTAGAGAGGTTAGAGAGGTTAGAGAGGTTAGAGAGGCAGGTTAGAGAGGCAGGTTAGAGAGGTTAGAGAGGCAGGTTAGAGAGGTTAGAGAGGTTAGAGAGGTTAGAGAGGCAGGTTAGAGAGGTTAGAGAGGTTAGAGAGGCAGGTTAGAGAGGTTAGAGAGGTAGGTTAGAGAGGTTAGAGAGGTAGGTTAGAGAGGCAGGTTAGAGAGGTTAGAGAGGTTAGAGAGGCAGGTTAGAGAGGTAGGTTAGAGAGGTTAGAGAGGTTAGAGAGGTTAGAGAGGCAGGTTAGAGAGGCAGGTTAGAGAGGTTAGAGAGGTTAGAGAGGCAGGTTAGAGAGGCAGGTTAGAGAGGTTAGAGAGGCAGGTTAGAGAGGTTAGAGAGGTTAGAGAGGCAGGTTAGAGAGGTTAGAGAGGTAGGTTAGAGAGGTTAGAGAGGTAGGTTAGAGAGCCAGGTTAGAGAGGTTAGAGAGGTTAGAGAGGCAGGTTAGAGAGGTAGGCTAGAGAGGTTAGAGAGGTTAGAGAGGTTAGAGAGGCAGGTTAGAGAGGCAGGTTAGAGAGGTTAGAGAGGTTAGAGAGGTTAGAGAGGCAGGTTAGAGAGGCAGGTTAGAGAGGTTAGAGAGGTTAGAGAGGTTAGAGAGGCAGGTTAGAGAGGTTAGAAAGGTTAGAGAGGCAGGTTAGAGAGGCAGGTTAGAGAGGCAGGTTAGAGAGGTTAGAGAGGTTAGAGAGGTTAGAGAGGCAGGTTAGAGAGGCAGGTTAGAGAGGTTAGAGAGGTTAGAGAGGCAGGTTAGAGAGGTAGGTTAGAGAGGTTAGAGAGGTTAGAGAGGCAGGTTAGAGAGGTAGGTTAGAGAGGTTAGAGAGGTTAGAGAGGTTAGAGAGGCAGGTTAGAGAGGCAGGTTAGAGAGGTTAGAGAGGTTAGAGAGGTTAGAGAGGCAGGTTAGAGAGGCAGGTTAGAGAGGCAGGTTAGAGAGGTTAGAGAGGTTAGAGAGGCAGGTTAGAGAGGTAGGTTAGAGAGGTTAGAGAGGTTAGAGAGGTTAGAGAGGTTAGAGAGGTTAGAGAGGTTAGAGAGGCAGGTTAGAGAGGCAGGTTAGAGAGGTTAAAGAGGTTAGAGAGGTTAGAGAGGCAGGTTAGAGAGGTTAGAGAGGTTAGAGAGGTTAGAGAGGTTAGAGAGGTTAGAGAGGCAGGTTAGAGAGGCAGGTTAGAGAGGTTAGAGAGGTTAGAGAGGTTAGAGAGGTTAGAGAGGTTAGAGAGGTTAGAGAGGCAGGTTAGAGAGGTTACAGAGGCAGGTTAGAGAGGTAAGTTGAGGTAAGTTAGGGAGGTAAGTTAGAGTGGCTGGTTATATAAATAGGTTAGAGAGGCAGGTTAGAGAGGCATGTTAGAGAGACAGACTAAAGATACATCTTTACCAAATGTAGGATTTTTAAAACACACCAGCAGTAACTCTACTAATGTTATTTACTAATATTTTAAAGTAATCCAACACAGCCCTACCCAATCGGGTGCCTGATACTATCTTTGTACAAAACCTATCGCCCACCTCCTTACACGATTTAAACAGTACCTGCAACAACATCGCCGTGATCTCTATCTCCCGTGGGAGACGGTTCATGGAATGCTTCTGTAGTTCTTTATCAAAGTCCCAGCCCGTGAACATGGGCCTCTTCGGTTTAACCTCCTTCGGTTTGATCCGACGCTTCAATTTCTTCTTCTTCTTCGGCTTGACCGTGACTTCATCAGGCTCTGGGTCTACGATTGCCTGCGCAGTTTCCTCGTTCAAGACAGACGAAGGATCTTCTTTGACGTCATTTTCGGATGCTTCTTCTATGTTGATCCCAGGCAACGATTCCGAATCCACACTGCTGCCGTTGTTGGAGTTCATGTTTTGCAAGCGTCGTCCGCTCATGTTTGGTTTGGTCACTTTTTTCCCGACGGTTTCTGAGATCTCTAAGCCGTGTTTCTTTTTGATTGGTTGTTTTGGGGATTTGGCCTTGACCTTTTCGAGCTTGACTTGACCGTCGCCCCCGGAATTTTTGCTTGTTAACTGAGGATGGGTCTCCGTTAAGTCAAGTTTGAGCGCCGTGTTGGTGACTGTTGTAGTCTTACGCGGGTAATTTTTTGAGGTCGAGCGTGTTTTGCGTTTTTCGCCGCTGGAGAGAAGATCCGGAGAGCTTTTTACTTTCGACGTGATGTGCTGCGGTTTGTTGCGGTGAAGTAGCTTCTCGTCGTTTGTGGCGCTAGGGGTTAGTTTCGGCTGGGTCACTTCCTGTTTGGCAGACGCGGTGGGTGTGGTGACTTGCAGCTCCACGGGCAGGGTTAGGGGTGATTTCGTTGGCTTTTGAGACGTCGTCTGTTTTTTGTTAGCAGTTAGCTTTAGATCTGTGGATTGTGATTTGTTAACATTTAGCTTTTGATATGCAGATTGTGATTTGTTGGCATTTAGCTTTTGGTCTGTGGATTGAGATTTGTTAACATTTAGCTTCTGTTCAGTGGATGGCTGCTTGTTAACATTTAGCTTTTGATATGCAAATTGTGATTTGTTGACATTTAGCTTTTGGTATGTGGATTGAGATTTGTTAACATTTAACTTCTGTTCAGTGGATGGCTGTTTGTTAACACTTAGCTTTTGGTCTATGGATTGAGATGTGTTAACATTTAAATTTTGTTCGGCTAATTGCTGTTTATTGATATTTAGGTCCTCATCTTCGTTAGGCTGATTTTTTTCAACATTAATGTTTTGATCTGCCGGTTTGTGGGGTTTGGTTACATTTATTTTTTGGTCAGCTTGCTGGTGTTTTTGATTGCGTTTCTTTTTTATAATACTCTTCGGTGAATATAATTTTGGGTGAGACTTGGCACTTGGAATGTAAACATCAATTTTTCTGGGATCGATTTTCTGTGAGTTGAAACGGGTTGACGCAAAGTTTTTGTTTAGCACAGGGTTAGGTTTACCAAAACAATGGTTTCTCGAGGCATTGGCGTTTTTGGACAGATTCACGTGGGATACCGGTATGGAATTGGCTGAGCTTTGGGGCGTGGCTTTCGTTTTGCCGAAGTCTTTTCCCCCGGCAACAGCAGACGTCGAGATCTTGGCGCGCTTCGGAGATGGGTCAACTGGAAGAGCAAAGGTTATGACGCGCGCATCCGGATTTGACTTCAACACACGAACGTGAACTTGGTTCCCGTCGGCGCTGGTTTCCGTTTGTTTGAGGGCAGATTTCTTTTTGCTGACGGATTTCCCATCGCTGTGTTTTCTAGCTACGGCGTCTTCATTTTTCGTGCAGTACGAGGACCGAGCTCTGGCTGTGGTCGGTGTGGTATGTGACGCTAAAGGAAAACGCGGGGCTTCACGCATTGGGGAAGTATGGCCAGGTGTTTTAATCTTCAAGGGCGAAATCGATAAAGTAATTTTTTTCTGATGTGGCGTGGTTTCTCGAGTTTTAGGCTGGCTTGGACTGGTTTTGATATTTTTAATTTTGTCAGGTCGCGATTCAGCTACTGCGTGCGTTTCAGACTGAGGAATTGGAGTTTCGGACAAGAGAATCAGCGTATCTCCTATAGATGGATTTGGATCCAAAGATGTTACTGTTTCTCTTTTAGTTAGATCATTTCGTTCCGGTATAAAATTCTCGTCCAAGTTTTTTGAAGGGGAGTTCACTCTCATCTTTGTTTCCACCTCAGCTCCGTTTGTCACGGTCGTGTTTTCTTCAACTTTTGTTTCGTTTAAAGTCTGATGAGAGTTTTTAAAGTGTTTATTCCTTATTTTGGAAGGAACGGCAGACTTGCATTTCCGGATCTTCGGTTGCTTGACCCTATGTAAAGTTTTAGATATGCGCGCTTTCATCTTTTGAAGTTTGTAACACTTTTCCAACTTCCAAATGTTTTCTTTTGATTTAAAAAAAATATTTTCTCGAAGTTATGCGCTCTTGTTCATAATATGAGGAAGCGTCTCGATTATCTGAAAACTACAGACCACACGAAAATAAATCATCTGGGTTAGCTCCTTTAGTTTAATTTAAGGCCCAACAGAAAATGGCATTTTTAAAAGTATGCTTCATTTATAAAACAATCAATAACACGAAAAATGGATTGGGGATTGGTCAAGAGATATAGAACTCGATAGGTGTCGAGTTTGGTTCCCGATTTCGTAAAACGTCTACATGGCTCTATGGAACGGCGTGGTCGAATACTAGAGCATACAAGTGCTACTCGAGTTCGAATCTGGGGGTCAAGTCCGTAGAACGTCCCTGAGTCCACTAAGCTCTGATGGGTCTCTAACTCACGCAGTGTTTCTTCCAGACTTTTTTCTCCGGGGGGGGGGGGGGGCACTTGAAATATTCGGGGGGGGGGGGGCGGTCAACATTTTTCGGGGGGGGGGGGGGCGGACACTAGTAAAAGTGTATTCGGGGGGGGGGGGGAGAAACTTGGAAGAAACTCTGAACTCACGTTAGAGGAATTAAAGACAGTTGGGCATTGTGCTGACCACACAATACCTTTATATCCCGAGTCACAATAACAGGCGGACTCTACTTCACTTGCAACATGGACCATTAGGGTCGAAAACTTACCTTTATTACCTGCTAGTCGTAGTGCTGACCACACAATATATTTATAGCATTACCATAACATTTTATTAACTAGTACCATAGGAAGGCTAGTTTATCAATAACAATTCTTTAACCCTAGAGCTAAACTCTGACCAAAATCTATGTTTAGTAAAAAGAGTTTTAATGAATATTTCAGGGTTATGGTGGGGTAGGGGGTGGTGGAGGGGGGAAGGGTCAAGCTTAATGTTCGTGTTAGGTCAGAGCTAGACAAATGTGAAAAAAAAAATGTTTAGAATAAAAATTAAAAGAAAAGACATTCCTGCCATAAATTTCTTAGTATATCTAACATGTCATTCAATTCATCAGTGAAAGGCACCGCCTGATTTTTATAGCGCCGTCTACAGCACACAACCTCATGCCTCAAATCCTCAGCCAATACCTTAAAACCTAACCCTATAGGTTCTATCACCCTTTTCTGAATGTCTAGTCCTGGTCCAAAATATAACCAATTAACCAAAATCCAAACGGATATTTTTTTCCCCAGATAAGCTCCCACCAAAAAGTTAACCCCCCCCTGCCGTCACACAAAAAAGATTATAAGAAAGAGGTTATGCAACTTGTAATGTTACTTTTTTTTATTGGAATATGTTATTAATAATTTGCACGAAACATCTGTATTTCGGTACCTTTAATCCTAACACTAATCCTCAAGGTTGCGTGCGTGAATTAAGTTAGAGCTCGCAAAAAATGGCGGGGCTTAGTTTTTCGAGAGTGCCCTTTTTGCATAAGTGGCGGGGCTTATTTTAAAAAGACCCATCCAAATCCCAGCCCGAATCAAGATTTGTTTAATTGAACACGAGTTACCCCTGAACGTTGTACATTTACGGCCTCACACAAACGATGAACGGATGTTTAAGTAACCTTCTTGCAGTCTATCACATCGAATGGTTGTTAAACTGTCTGCAGGCTTTAACAGGCAAGATGAAGTATTTTGGTTGGCCTTGTTGATAAGCCACGACATTTCGCATTGCAAACTTCCGGTGCGCAAAACTTCCGGGGAAAAGAATGTGCAAAATGACGTCATTAGAAAATGTTGATCATAAAGTATTATTTTTAAATGTAGATTATTATGGACTTAGTGCTGATTAAAAAAAAAACAACAACAGATCACATAATGTTATTTTCTAATGTAAATTATTATAGACTTATTGTTAATTAAAAAATTATAATAAAAAAACAAAAAAACAAAGCGAACTAAAACAAACAAACCGACAAAGCTAAAACTCCCTCCCACAAAGAATGAATACTTTATTATTTCTTTCCGCAACTTTGGCTTTAGCGCATAAGACACCCTACTTTTCGTTAAGCAACTGGGTTTGATGATTTCCTCTTCACTTAAAGCCATAACATTTCAGCATTCTCCAACCTTCTTTTCTACTGTTCTTTCACAGTCAATATTACTCTCCCGTTTTTTGCCCGCAATTTACAATATAATTTGTTCCTATTTACAGTTTCATTTGGTTCAATGAACACTTTTAATTGTTTTGAATTTACATTTTAATGTGGTTCAGCGTACACTTTTAATTGCTTTCAATTTATATTTTCAATTTGTTTCAATGCACAATTTTAATTTGGTTTCGATTTGCAGTTTAATATGGTGTAATGTAAAATTTTGATACGTTTCAATTTACTTTTTTGATTTGGTTCAATGCAAAATTTTAATGGTTTCAATTTATCGTATAATAGTTTTCAATTTAAAGTTATTAGCTTCCAATTTGCAGTATACAACGGCTATCAATGAAAATTTTCATAGCCCTCAATTTAGTTATTCCATAGGGGTGTGGACCACGCCCACCACACCCTCACCTATGACCTTCAGTGTGGGTGGGGAGCCCATACCCCAACACATACCCCACCCCACTGAGACCACAGGTACGTAGTGTTAAAGTAAACATTAGCTTGAACCACAGAAAATAAACACATCCGCTCCCTTGTTACTTTCGCTTCCCCCCCCCACTCCACCCATCCTGACCTTATCAACATTTTCTATCCAAAGGATACAAATTCGAAAAAGATAAGGGACGGACTCATTAATTTTTTTTTCTTACGATGGTTACCTCCCTTTGATTTAAGTGTGAAGTGGTGCGTGGGCGCGTTCATTTGACGAATTGCTCTTAGAGTTATGGGAAATTGATTGTTTTAATCAAATAATTTGTTGTTTCTTTTAATAATTTTAATCAAACTTTGGGGAAAGATTACATGTATTTACAGTTTAAAAAAATAAAATGACGTAGCACAATATGCTACTGTAATAGTTATCTAGTTGTTATGATCAGAGTAAGGGTTGGAGATTATGGTAATAAGAGGTCATCCATAAATGACGTCACATTCGTAGGGGGGAAGGGTCCGTAATTTTGTGACAATGTGTGATGAGGGGGAGGGGGGGGGGTTCAGATGTTGCGACGTCACATTTTAGCATTATAAAAAAGCAATGTTAGAAAACGAATTTTAGACGCTATTTCGCGTTTTAGATAACTGTTTTAATAAATTAGAATAGTTTAGACAAGATTTTAGAAAAATGTCGATGTTTTAAAAAAAATTCAACTGCAATTTTGAGGGGGGTTGTAGGTTGAGGTGTGACGTCATTTTAGGGAGGGGGTCTGGTTTTTTATGACGACGTGTGACGGATGGGAGGGGGGGGGGGGAGGAAAAAATCGTCAAAAAAGCGTGACGTCATTTATGGATGACCCCTAACAAGGAAAAAGGTTAAAGGTGAATGCTATGGTTATGGACAGGGTAGTGACACAATTTAAAAAAAAAAACAACAGCTATGGGAATCCTGATTTACCATACGATGACACAGCTGATAGGTAAAACAGAGTACACAATGAAAATGTTTAATGGGATTAGTAGAGTTCGATCATCGATAATGTAACATGACTTTAGCCGTCATATGACTCCCTCTTCAATACAGAAATTAAGCCTGACCTGCAGAGTAAATCTAAGGGATCGTACAGAAATGACGTCACGCTCCTACTGGGGAGGGGGTGTAATAATTTTTTAACAACATTGTGACGAGGTGAAAAGAGTGGGGGGGGGGGGGGGGGAAGAGTCAGATGGTGTGACTTTCACACTTATGACTTTTTAAAAAGCTAGGTAAGAAACTGAATTTTAGCCGTTGTTTCGTGTTTTAGATAGTTGTTTTAGTACATTATAATAGAAATTGGTTAACTACCCTATGCTGATCGCGCTAAGCTAATTTTCTAAGAAAGAAATCGATGTTAAAAACAAAATTTAACTGCAATTCGAGGTGGGGGGGGGGGGGTTGTAGGTGTGACGTCATGTTAGAGGGGTATGGTTTTCTGTGACGATGTATGACATAGGGGAGGGGGAGGTAAAACGTTAAAAAAAAAAACTTGAAAACATTTATGGATGACCCCTAACTCACGAAAGAGAGCATCGTTTTTTTTTTACCTTTATTTTTTGTTTCTAACGACTATAAAAAATTTCCCATATCACATTTTAAAAACACCCCCAGCCCTCCTCAACGTCTTTCATCATCACAAAGCTCTCCTCCCCACGTGACGTAACGTCATTTGAATTATGACTTCTAAAACTAAAAAAAAATCTCCTCCACAAGACCCCCATATGTATTCACTCACTACCTCCACCCCTGCCTACGTTATTGTCTTATCTGTAAGTCACTCAGTCCCTGGCCCATAAATAAAAACCACATGTAGCCAACAACAGTTTCAACCTAGACACGCCTTTTCATCTCCTGGAGTCAAATCAAAGCATGGTCTAGTGACTCCCCCACCCCTACCCTACTCCGAGGTTCGCACGCGTTCTTTTTTTTTCTTCAAAACCTTATTTCTCGCGCGAGTTCCGAAAAAGAAACACCAGCCACTCTTGCGCTATCACTAACCAGGAGATTACCTCCCCGTCTGGCTGTATCTGATGAATACCCAGTATTCGAATGAAGGGGACGCCACTCTGGATAACTCTTGAATTTATAACAACAAAACAACGCCGTCTTTTTTACGCAGTGTTCTCCCCAACTGTTGCACAGAGCGCCCGTGTGTTGGCTCGCCTGTCTGGGATATAATGCCTCTACCTCGGTCTCGTTCAGAATGCACAATAAAGGTCAACCAGGTCAAGTCTGCTCACGTGCCAGGTGGGAGCGGTGCCGGTGGTTTATCCGTGAGCAGCCCTGAGCTGAGGTCTATGTTGGTGAGTACTGTACGTGTGTGTTATGTCCCCGTAATACAGTGAAGTTATCTCGTAATGATTGCTTGTTACCTTCGTGTTGTGTGGCCGAAATGTGTTTAATTAGACCAGGTGAAACGTTTAATTGGATGAGCTTAGTTAAGGTGCAGATGTTGTGGTACACTGTGCAAACAAACGTAGATTTGGTGTGGTTCTGCTCAAGAGGAGCAGTTCTATAAGATGGGTTTCTGATTTTGTCACAACGCAATACGGTGAAGAGAGAAGTCGTGTTACTTATGTTTTATTTGTTTTCTAATTTGTCTTGAATCCATTTGTCTCGAGCGGTTAAGTCACGGAACCATATACATAAATATAGAATATTATATATATATATATATATATATATATATATATATATATATATATATATATATATATATATATATATATATATATATATATATATATATATATATATATATATATATATATATATAGGTCTACATATATATACATACGTATCAATATATGTATATATAGTCTTTATATCTATATCTATATCTATCTATCTTATATATATATATATATATATATATATATATATATATATATATATATATATATATATATATATATATATATATATATATGCCATTGATTTAGTGCATGTGTACTCTGATCTAAAACAATTTGATAAAAAACTTGTTTTTCCCTCGAATTGTCTTTTTCGGGATTATATCCTCACGGCGTGTCAGTCGTATTTATTGTTTTTGTTTTTAAATGGGGCGTGACGTAACTGCATGTTTTGGAGGGGGGCGTGGCCTGTTACTCAATGTGTTTTTTAAATGGGGCGTGACGTAACTGCATGTTTTGGAGGGGGGCGTGTCCTATTACTCAATTTGTTTTTTAAATGGGGCGTGACGAAACTGCATGTTTTGAAGGGACGTGGAATTTGACTGTATAATATTTCATGCCACTTAAAATCAAACACGATTTTTGCGTGGCTAATCAGCTACTCGACGCTAACATTGATATTTTAGGTTACTCCAAGTCATTTAACGCTACTGGCCTAGTGACGTTTATCATTCTGTTGTAAAACCTGTTCTCATTGCTAAGCGCTGTGGTCTAATATATGTCTTGTATGCTTATGTCAAACTACAAGTGTAATATCCATTCTCACAATATTAAGATGTCTCTGTTTTCATATGTAAAACGCAGGTCAATCGCTACACTCACTACTGCAACACTATGCAACCGCCATAAATGCCATGGCCATAAAACCATTTAAACCATAATTCTATAGCCAGCAGCACTGATCTTCGTTCTACCGATTCGATAGGCTTATTTATTTATGACGTTTATTTTCATATAGGCCTTGTTAAAAAAAATTCTCAAGAAAATGCTATTAAAGTGCTTGGTTCTTAATATATTAAAGAAAACAAATTTTAAATTTAAAAACCTTGTTGAGAACATTTTACTTAAGTAGACTATATATATATATATATATATATATATATATATATATATATATATATATATATATATATATATATATATATATAGGCATATATATATATAGGCCTATATATATATATATATATATATATATATATATATATATATATATATATATATATATATATATAATGGCCCGCCGGTATATAGAGGAAAATCTATGTGGGTCACAGGAAAGTGCTGTAATAGTCCTGTTAGAGTTAAACATTTTTTCCCTAAAATTCAATATTTAATAGAGAAAAAATGCATAGTGAAACTTTCACTCAGAGTTTGGGGGCCCTTGTAAATTTTCACGAGGGTTCTTGGACACAGCCATTCCACCCCTGTATATAATATGATCAATATATTGCAATGTTGAAAAATAGAATTATATGACATTAAATATTTTAATACTATTGTCATTTCCATTTAAAATTTCAAATTTTTAAAATGGGAAACAACCTATGGCTATGTTCTAAAAAAATTGTTAGAGTATAAAAAAATTATTAAATGGTATTTTTTTAAAAATTAGGTTGATTATTCGTTAATAATACTTTTAAAATATTAAATATTCTATTTGAAATAACGTCCGATATATATATTATAGATTTTTAATTTATTTTTTGGCTCTACTCTAATTTAAAAACTTTTAAAAGTATCGAATATTTAAATTGAAGACACGTAAAACTCCAGATTAAAGAATACAATAGGACTACAGCACATTAGACAAATATTATTTTTCAAAATATGCGACAATTAGCGATTTTAGCACCCTATTTTACATCCAGAGTATTTTTCAGGTATTTCTTCGGGCAGAGCCTCCCCCCCCCCGACAGCAAGTCTCCTCCCCCATCCCCTAACTAAATATAATATATATAAATAATGCTTTAAAAATTAATTGAGCACCCAATTAAGTCAAATTGCATTGTCATGGGATCTTGACAGACGTGGCATTTGAAAAGAATTTGTCATATAGACGAAATTTCTCTCGCCCGTTTCGACTCATAAAACAAAAGCACGAGAAAGCAAGTTAAATAAAAGCTTGTAAAAATATGTGCTTTAACCAGTCTCCGTCCCCCTCCCCCGGAAACTTAAGCCTATTCCCAAATCCGTCGACAGCTTTACGAAAACCAGCTCTAAAATTAAATACACTACTGGAGAGATTTTAAAATTCTTAACTTGAGAATAGTTCTATATTGTTCATTTTGCTTCCCTACCCTGGCCCTCTTGCTCACAAACTCTGGCCATCCTGCTCACAAACCCTGGCCATCTTGCTCACAAACCCTGGCTATCTTGCTCACAAACCCTGGCCATCCCGCCCACCTATCCTGGCCATCCTGCTCACCTACCCTGGCCATCTTGCTCACAAACTCTGGCCATCTTGCTCACAAACTCTGGCCATCTTGCTCACAAACTCTGGCCATCTTGCTCACCTACTCTGGCCATCTTGCTCACCTACTCTGGCCATCTTGCTCACCTACTCTGGCCATCTTGCTCACCTACTCTGGCCATCTTGCTCACAAACTCTGGCCATCTTGCTCACAAACTCTGGCCATCTTGCTCACAAACTCTGGCCATCTTGCTCACAAACTCTGGCCATCTTGCTCACCTACTCTGGCAATCCTGCTCACCTACCCTGGCCATCCTGCCCACCTACCCTGGCCATCTCACTCACCTACCCTGGCCATCCTGCCCACCTACCCTGGCCATCTCACTCACCTACCCTGGCCATCTCGCTCACCTACCCTGGCCATCTCACTCACCTACCCTGGCCATCTCACTCACCTACTCTGGCCATCTCACTCACCTACTCTGGCCATCTCACTCACCTACCCTGGCCATCCTGCTCACCTACCCTGGCCATCCTAACCACCTACCCTGGCCATCCTGCTCTCCTACCCTGGCCATCTCGCTCACCTACCCTGGCCATCTTGCTCACCTACCCTGGCCATCTTGCTGACCAGCCCTACTCACCCTCAGGTAAACCTGAACACAACAGTACCACAGAACCTACGCCCAGCACAGCTGTCCTCGACACATCGTCCCAGAACACGGAGCCGGTGCCAGACTGTCTGCCACACCTGCTGCCCTGCCATGTCGCCATGCTGTGGGATTCGTGTCATTCTTGTCATTTTACAGGTGAGCTTTTTTTTACACACCTGACAGGTAACATAACAAATGCCAAGCTTGCTATTTTACAGGTACAAGCAGGTAAAGTAGATGTAATTATTGTTATATTGCAAAAAATACAGGTAAAATTTAATTTAAAATTACAGGTAACATAGAGAAGCCATTTTTAAAAATGTAATTTGTATATAAACACATGTAACACACATTGGTGATCCAGTATATATATATATATATATATATATATATATATATATATATATATATATATATATATATATATATATATATATATATATATAGTATATATTTATATATTATATATGTATACACACACACATATATATATATACACACACACACACACACGCGCACACACACACACATATATATATATATATATATATATATATATATATATATATATATATATATATATATATATATATATATATATATATATATATATATATCAGTTACCGATATTCTGGCAAACTTAATGTCATTATTTATATTTGAGATATAGATAGTAAAGTATCACCCTTCTATCTTTATTGTCGACCTCAGAGCTCCATCAACACTAGTCATCTGGCGACAAACGTGAAAAAATATCTGGCAAAAGGCCAGTTCACCTCGAGCTCCCGGCAGACGGCACGATAGCTAATTTAATCTATCACTGCTTAATGAGCAAACAAATAAACTATCGGTGCCGGGAGGGGTCACAGGTAGGAGCGATGTTACACGGACAGATGTGTAAATAGTCCGACAACAGTAACTTGTAAATAAGGAAGGCTAAAAATAGCCGGAGAACGTCACGCAAAATGTAACACTTCAAACAGAAATTCACAGCTTAAAAGTAGACGTATTTTAAAACCATTTAAATACATATTATTTATTTCATATTGGATAAGTTTTGTTTCCTGGTGTTTATTAGTTGGTTTTTAGGTTGAAGCTACAATTGTTTATTTTTAGTTAACTTTCTTCCTCTGTAATGCTTCATCAATCCGTCATGTGTGGAAACTGGCGAGCGGAATTTCGATCATTTATACCCGACCTATTTGTTTTAAACTTTGCACAGATGTCAAGGTTCGATGACAATGAAAATTTAACATCATAGGCTTGAAAAAAGCGGGTTCCAAGTGGTTCCAAATCGTTGTTGCCAAAAAGCATATTTTTCAACTAAAATTGAATATTTTATGACATTTGTGAAAGAAGTACGTAATGACTTCCCGTTTTACTAAGGCATATTCAAACAAGTAATTACTAGTAATATATAATAGTGATTTAGCTAACAGTTTTATTTTTAATTTGGATTAGTAGAGTCAGGGTGTTGTGGTGATAGGGGATTTTATATTATTTAATATAATCAAGTACTATTGACCGCTATTGTGTAATTTATAATGAAAAACATTTGTTGTAGCCTAACTTTCGTTGTTTACTTTCCATGGCCACTCTGGTTTATTACAAGTAGGGGGTTGATGTCAGTTTTTAAAAAATAATTGAATTGATAAAATAATTCAAACGGCTTTTCAACGGCTTTTATTCAATATAACAAAAAATGAGAATGAGTATAACGGCTTTTATTTTGTTTTTAAAAAAGGGTAACTATAATTTTATCGCTTGCCATATTTTTTTAAAGTTGTTAAATAAAAATTTAGTATAATTACATAGGCTTTTAATTAGTTTAAAAAAAATCAACTAAACTTTTTTATATAAAGTACAACTTTCTGTGCCTTTGAACACAAATAGTTTGTGTTCATTTTGTGTAAAATAGTGATGCTTTATTACATAGTTAAAAAAAAAAAAACCATTGTATATTGATTCTTTTTATGTTTTTTTTTATTAAAAATTATCCTGCCTTTTTAAGGTGTTCTATTGGTTGAAGACATTTACTAATCAGTTCGCGATTAAACCTCTCCAATATTAGCATTTCACATTTTCCCATTAGATAACTTCATTCACTGAAGGTTAATGCATCATATCATTGAACTTCATTTTATTTTTGAAAAAAAAATCAAGGGAAACAATCTATAAGTGTGTTCTCAAAATTTTAAAGAGTAGTTAATTCAATGATAAAATCATAAAAATTAGATTATGTTGTTTGTTATTTATCAAGATATAAGTAGAAATATTTCGTTTTGAATTATAGTCAAATTGATTTTGTTTTTTCAGTGTGAAGGTTAATATATTTACCGTAATTATAATAGAAAACTGTTACATGAATCGAATATCTACTTTGTATTTGAGTAATAGCTCACTCTAATGTTATTGCTTATCCGGAAAACACGTTTCTGATTTTCAAAGAATCTATATGCCTCTACTTTCGCTTCAAAATATATTTACAAAAAAAAAAATAAAAAAAATAAATTAATTAATTAAAATTAGATAGCATGTACTGTGTATAACAGTGGCGTAGGCAGGGGGGGGGGGGTTAGGGGGGGTCATAACCTCCCCCATAGACCCCTCGGTATATATATATATATATATATATATATATATATATATATATATATATATATAAAGTATGACGGGGTGCAAATCAATCGAAAGTTTGAAGGTGGGGGGGGGGGGGGTGCAAAATCAAAAGTCTGAGGGGGGGGGGGTGCAAATAGAAAGTTTGTCCCCGGGTAAAAATTGGAACTCCCCCCCCCCCCCCTTGAGACGATCCTGGCTAAGCCACTGATGTATAAGTAAACCATGTTCAATGAATGAAAGTACATGTACGAACGACGAATACAATTATAGATCTGCACTGGTCCTGTACTGATAAAAAATGAAATACTAAAGCTAACACGGCAAAGCAAACTGACGCTTTAAATTGCATGTTACAATTACATGTCTTGTATGTGTGTGTGTGTGTGTGTACTTCGCTTATTATAATCTCTGCTTGTGTAGCAATCCCTCTGTAACGTAATGGTGGTTTCATGTACATCTATCTAGGTAAATTTCACTCGCGTAAATAAATGAAAAAAAAAATCACATTTTTAGACATTGCTGCGTGAACTACGTTTTTTTTTTTTAGTTGATGGTGGTCAAAGTCTTGGCATCATTTAAAGGGTTTAGATTTTTGACTTTTTTTTTTGGACGTGCGACCAGAGAGTAGTGTTTGCTAACGTCGGCTACAATTTAATATATACACACACACACATATATATATATATATATATATATATATATATATATATATATATATATATATATATATATATATATATATATATATATACACAAGACTAAAGATCTATTCTTCTCGAGACCATCTACTCCCAATCGACTTAATCATTACCATTTGCGATTCATCTTGTATCTTGTATATACAACCTAATCGCGACCTCATTTATCGTCTGCTAACCACCTTTCATTCATTACCCCCTCAGATCTGTTTGGGATGTTCCATCACGGCACTGGTCACGTACCTGCATCTCTTTGTGCCCGCCGTCAGGATGCGGGAGAAACCATTTTGGGCCGGAGTTCCGGTAAGCATTTTATTTGTCTGTGTTTAGACTTCATACCCGCGTTTGTTTGTGCATTAACCAGAGGCGTAGCGACCCTTCCCGGTGCCTGGGGACAAACTTTCAATTTGGCGCCCCCTCGGGAGCAAATTTTCAATTTACAACCCCCCCCCCCCCCTCTCAACTTTTCGATTTTCACACCCCCTCCTCAAATTTTCGATTTGCACCCCCCCCCTCTCAAACTGCAAAAATGGCAGCTAAATTGACATTTTAATTTGTTTTTACAACCCATTTTGGCGCCCCCTAATGTCGGCGCCCGGGGACATATGTCCCCCCCCCCCCTGCCCACCATCGCTACGCCTCTGGCATTAACTATTCTGCAAAAACAAAATTAAGTGTTAGATGGGACGGTCTAAGTTTGAACGTGGCCCATGGCTGAAAGTTACTAGGGACCCCTGCGACTATTAACGATTTTACAAGGACGGTTTAACCATTAGGGTTTAACCAGAGATTAAGACCTTACAAAATTGGGTCTAGGATATTACCCCCTGCCGTCAATCATCCCCGGACATCCCCCCCCCCTGATTTACCCACCTGAGTAATTACCCCCTTGTCAATTACCCCCTTGGGAGATTACCCCCTTCTCCCATGCTCAAGAATCCTGACTCCAACTCAAACTCTAGATCAAAATATTACCTTAATCCTAACCTTAAGAAAAAGAGAAAAAGACTAAATCTAAGCATTCACTTCAGCCAAAAACTAAACCCAATCCCAACCCTAGACATTCGTTTAACCCTAGCCTTGACCCTAAAACTAACCCTAACCCTAACGGTAACCATAACCAAAACTCAAACCCAAACTCTAACCCTAACCCATACTGTACTTAAAGCTATGATCGTGTGTGTTGGGGGGGGGGGGGGGGGGGTAATGCCCCGTTCCCTAAAAAAATGTCCCTCTCCGCTGGTTCGAGCAGGTCAGCCTCCATATTAATCCCCAACTGGGTATTAACTTGATAGTTGCAGACACTTGTCAGACAATGGTCAAATAATATTTAATCTTGTCAACCCAGACATTAATTCTAACCTCAACTCCACAACTCCAGCCCAGTTCTAAACCCCACCGTTAAACTAAGGATCTATAACTACAACATTCAGCAAACTTTGGCTGGAAGATTTCTAGGGCGGAGAGCGGTGAGACGTTTAAGTTATTGGGTCCTTAGTCAGAGGCGTAGCTAGGGGAAGGCGGGTGGGGCGGCCGCCCCGGGCGCCGACCTTAAGTGGGCGCCAAAAGGGGTAGAGAAATTAATTTGAAAGCTCATTTTAAGCTAAAGTATTGAATTATACACTGTCAAAGCTTCGAAAAATAAACGACTACAAGGCTTTACACTGATTTAACAACTTTGTGAAACCGAAATAGGATAGTAACTGGTAAGAAGCGCCACAAACCTCTCTAACTGGGGGGGGGGGGGGCGCTTTTTCACAGAAAATAAGGGGGAACTTTAAATTGATAGTCCGCCCCGGGCGCCGGATTAGGTCGCTACACCTCTGTCCTTAGTTCAAGCCCTAGTTATCAACCGATCGAATTTTATTTGTTTCTGTAGAAGTGTAAAGCCCATGGTCATTTGCGTAAGACACGTGAGGCGACTTTCTGAATGACAACAATCACTAACTCACCTAGCCTATTGATATTATCAAGTTTTGGCATAAAAAATGCAATTTAAAAAAAATAAATTCTCTATTAACTATGTTGATTAAGATTTAATTGATAAAAATAGTTAGGTATAGGATAAATCAAAGACAAGTAATGCAGTCACTCAGCGCTTAAGCGTACCTGGCATTCATTGGTAGGGGTGGATGTATTAATTTTAGCTTGACGTAGTAATGACAAGTGTTTTAAAGTGTTTGACGCAATGTTGGCTCAACAGCTAGTATTTTATTTTCCTTTTCTACGAATGTATCAGGTAGAAACGACAGGTGGAAGGGTGAAGGTTGCGGGAGGGGGGGGGGGGGTTGGGGGTTGAACCGCTGTTGAAAGAAAATATTAAATTCTATTGTAACTTTAAACCCAAATTCCGGGCACATCATTAATTAATCATAACTTAGTCTATCTAAAAAAAAAATAGCTCAACAAAACAACATTCGTTTTCCTGGAGTCTTTAATTTGTTTTTCAAAACCAAGCATCGGAATAAATGTATAATAAAACATTAAAGTTGTAAAAAAAATAATAATAATAAAAACAAGAAAAATAATTAGCACGCGCCAGCCATTAATTACCCAAGCCAGTGTTATCTCTATGATCAATTAAACTCCTTATTACCACCGTAACTATACACCACGCTCAAACCTGTTCTCTTTGAACTCGAGATAACAAGCTTCCCGTACAAAGTAAAGTACGTAACTTAGTGTTTCGTCTGCAATAACCTTTGATAAGTGTTCCTATGCAGATTTATTGTACATTCGGCCAACCTGCCTATCCACCTTTTGCCTGATATATATATATATATATATATATACATATATATATATATATATATATATATATATATATATATATATATATATATATATATATATATATATATATATCAATGTTGATAATAATTAAATAACATTGAATAGTATTGGTGCTCATTTCAAAATAATGAGGGGAAACAACCTATATATATATATATATATATATATATATATATATATATATATATATATATATATATATATATATATATATATATATAAGAGATTGTAATTTATGCCCTTGTCCTGATCTAACACTTGGAATTAACTACTGTTTGGATCGGTGTACGGGCAGATAACTCTGAAGCCGCTCATGTTTGTTATTATTACCTCCCCTAAATCTACAAGGGTATGAGTGGGTGAGAAGGTAGAGGCGTTCTTTTGTTTATGGCCCTTTGTTTATTTCCACTTAGTTACCGTCATAAAACACATTTTTCGAATAGCACACATCAACTTTTTTTCAGGCACCGTGAAGTATTGGTTATAAACTTTGCTAAATATAACGCACGGTAAAAAATCCCACCACAGCCACAATTTACAGTCAGGTGCAGTCTAACATAGACAGTGAGCGAAAAATAAATGTGTGGTGACAATCAGTTTACGCATAAAGAAATACTTCAGAACAGTTTTAATATTCTTAAATTTAAAAATAGATAAATTGTAATATTCGTACGGTTGGTGGCTTAGCGGTAGAGAGCTAGACTGATAACCCGAAAGTCTCGAGTTTTAATCCGCGTTTCTAGTCATAAGAACGTCCCTGAGTCCCGCCCCCCCCCCCCCCCTAACTCCCAGCTCTGACGGGAAGCTAACTCACGTTAGGGAAAGCAAAGCAACTGTGCATAGTGCTGACCACACTATCATATGCCGAGGTATCTGAAACAGATGAACTCTACTTCATCTGCCCCCATGTGTGTTGGGCACGAACGGGAAAAGATGATGATGATGATTCGTACGCCGTTTCAATTAGTAAGTGATGACACGTGGATACGATTTTAAACGTAGAACGAGCTATACTCAGCTTTGCTCCGAAATACATTAACTGCTCAATGTTTTGATTAAAATGTTAAAATGCGAACACCATCAGAAAAGTAGCTTAGACAATGTATATTTTTCACAAAAAGTCAACACGAAAGAATATTTTAATCTTTTGAGAGCTTATACTTTTTTTCCCTTCGTAATTTCCAAAATCCCCTCACCTCCCACCCCTCCCTCCCCCCCCCCCACTCATCAGTCTGTGAACACTTGGCTCACCCCGTTAAGGCACGTAGCTAGGCCCACACAATGTTTCCACTTTATCACAGCCCGCGGCCATATTCAGCTGGCTGCATCAGTTTAGCGCTTGTGAATCTTCATCCACCCCACCCGCAACCTTAGTCCTTCTCAAACTGCTTGGAATTCCTGGAGCTCTTCTTTCTGGGAGTCTTATGTCAGTTCAGAAGGTTTAAACAATGGCTATATTTAGTGGTCATCCATAAATGACGTCACGCTTTTTTTTCACGATTTTTTTTACCTCCCCTCTCTCCTCCGTCACACATTGTCACAAAAAGTAAGACCCCCCCCCCCCCGCTAAAATGACGTCAAACCTCAGCCTACAACCCCCCCCCCTCCAAATTGCAGTTGAATTTTTCTTAAAACATCGATATTTTCCCAAAATCTTGTATGAACTCTGTCAACAAAGATTATGTTAATCCATTCCTATTACAATTTGTTAAAACAGTTTACTAAAACGCGAAATAATGGCTAAAACTCGTTTTCTACTAACATTGTTTTTTTATAATTTAAAAAAAATAAAAAATACAAAAAACAACAACAATATTTTTAGCTATGTTAACGAGTCAAATTTTATTCAAAATTTGGTCATAAAAAATTAATAAGTTTAAAATCGAGTACTTTAAAAAACTAAATAGTACTTTCATTCTTTTTTATGTGCCCCCCCCCACCCCACCAAAATGACATTTGCCTCAGACGCCCCTGCCCACGTATGTACCAGAAAACATCCAGACTCTAGCCGAGAGGTGGTCGCCATCTCAGGTTTCCTGCTGCGGTTAAAAATCGCTTCCCTTTACCTCACAGGGGAGACAACCACAGCGCTATCCCAAATTTTATGTCAGTTGTCTGATACTTATCTTCCCCTGACAGCAAACTCATGCCGTTTGCACAGGTTCTCATAGTTTTATTTTAAAATGCCCCTCTCAAAACTACATTCAAAATTAGGTTTTGCAAGAGATATTGAAACACAATTAGACCAAAGTGCGTATGTTATTTATATACCAAAATATGTGTTATATTCCCTCGTTCGGAGCCTTGCTGTATGTCAAAATGTGCCCAAATATCGTTCTTGTTATGTCTTTTTAAAATAGTATTTTTCTTTCTATTTTTCAACTATTGTATAATTATGCTAAAACATCTCTTTTTTTTAACATATTAAAAAGAAAACAACCCGATGAATTCAATCGCTTATTAAATTTAAAACAGTACTTTATAAGAAATAATTAAGCATCCAATTAAGTCAAATTTGATGTTACATTGCATCGTCATTGAATTTGGATCTATGACTATGGGCCAAGCTAGGAAAAAAAATCGGACTGTTAGAGGTAGCCGAAATTTCGACAGCACGTTTCGACTCATAAAACAAAGGCCAAACAGGGGAAGAAAGTCAGATTTAAAAAACAAACTTGTAAACATTGTATTCATTTACGCCTGAAAAAAACTTGCCAATTCAGAAAACATTTTTTAAACATTTTTATTCACGGTTATGGTGTATAGTTAATTTATATGTTTAAGCTTTTAAGTGTGTATACATGTATGCACGCGAGCGTGAAAGTGCGTACTTATAAAGTGTATGTAAACAACTGTAACAACCTTTTTTTCCACCCCCCCCCCCCCCCCCCCCACAGCTTCTCCTAGCCGGCCTGAGTGGAATATTCTTCTGTGTTCGAGAGAGAAAAAGCGAAGACGTCTCCGTGACGCTATTTGTTATCAAGGTAAGACAACCGGCACTATTGAGAGAAAATAATGTTTTTTTTTCCTGTATCAGAATTTTTATCAGAGAAGTAACACCAACAAGACGAATGAGCTGACTCAGGTGTATCAAGTACTCAGCAACATGTTTTTTTTGTTTTTATATAATTTTTTATTCATTCTTATTTGTTTTAGTCATTATATGGTATAAAATTAATACGCCACATAAAATAGCCCAGCGCAAAAATTAAATTGTTTGAAATTTGAATTATACAAACATTCGAGTTACCACCCCTTTTTAGCTTTGGGGTTAGTAATCGGGAGCTCTACCGCTCAGTCACGCCATTCCACATCAGTATAATGACCAGGATATTAAATTTAAAAAGCTGACATTATGAAGGTTAAAAAACAAATGCTGAAAATCTTTAGATCATAATACCTACTATTTAGAATTTTGCTGATGCACTGTTGTTTATAAAATACATTTTCATATTTCTTCCGGGTGGGGGGGGGGGGGGGTGTAGAGGAGGTAGAAGGGCTGTGGACGTGCTAGGGGTTGGGAAGCAAATAAAGAGATGCCTGAAAGAAACTTTGTTTGCTAAAAAACCCGCAAGTTTGGTGATTTAACAAACTAGAACAAAAAAAACTATGGATATAGGTTGCAAATATGGCTATTAGCTTGTTGGTTGAGAGTTGAATTGCTGCGGCCTAATTATTGTAACTTTTTTGTTAGGATAGTAGTAAATGGGGGAGGGGATGGAGGGGGGTCAGTTAAGTGGCGTAGCGAGGTCGGGTGTCACCCGGTGCGGCACTTAATGGTGTCACCCCCTCAGAGGCGTTGCGACCCTTCCCGGGGACAAACTTTCAAGTTTTCGATTTACACCCCCCCCCCCCTCAAACTTTCGATTTGCACCCCCTCAAGTTTTCGATTTGCACCCCCCCCCCCTCAAACTTTCGATTTGCACCCCCCCTCAAGTTTTTCTCTATATATATTGCTATTTTTTGCCTTGGTGTCACCCCCTAAATGGTGTCACCCGGTGTGCTACGCACCCCCGCCCCCCCCCTCGCTACGCCCCTGGGTCAGTTAATAATTTTTTAGACAATTTTTAAACCCTGAATGATGATATAGACCTTCCGGTTTTTCATACCCCAGAATCAAAGGGTTATCTTATACGAACAAGTCAGCTTATTAGAGGGTTTACGGTAATTAGGCTACACTCGTCAACTACCCATAACAGGAAGGATTCTAACATTATGACAGCTGGGATTCAAATGCAGCTGCTGTTGTTTTTAAAAATCTGGCTAATTAAAAATTAGAATCTTCTTTTTAAAAAAAAGTTTTTGTTTATCTAAGTTTTTCCCAAACACAAAGAGGACGTCTGTTGAAAACAGTGGCTGTTTTATAAACTTAGACAAACTTTTTTTTTTAATCGAGAGAAAGAAAGCATGTGTGTGTTTGTGTGTGTGTGTGTTTGTGTGAGTGAGAGAGAGAAAAATGAAATTTGAGATTTTGGTTTTTATGACGGAAGATTTACCTGACAAAAAAGATTTCCCAAAATAAGCGTTTGCATCCCCTGAATATTGTTAGATCTAGTTGAAATAAAATAAATAAATAAGATAACAAAATAAAACGAGAGTTGTGTAAAAAAAAATATCACAAAATAATTGCGATATGGGAGGGTTTGGGTAATTGATATTCTTCGGCAAGAAAAAAATAATTTAGAACGCGTTGGGTGTATTTTCAAATATGGCGTCATTAAATTTATAGTGAGTTGTGATAGCAGCCGACAGGCTATGTGCCGTTTTGAACAACCAGTTGAACTACGCATGCGCCGCGAACTAAACCCGTTTACAGGCCCACCAGAATCAGTTTTCTATCATTTTTTTTCTCTGCCGAACGGGAACGTTTTATCAAACTTTAAGAAGAAGATAATTAATATGGAAACAGAAACATAAGGGGGGGGGGGGGGAGAGGGGAGAGGGTGTAGTCCATCATAGGTATTTTAATTTCAGTCGTTTTTTTTAACCCACTCAGACACAGTACAATAACACGTCTTTACAAAAACCGTAGGCTTCCCTCGGTGAGCAGAAAGATGCGCAACGGAAAAAGCGCAACGAAAAAAAAGCGCAAAAAATGCGCAAAGGGAAAAAGCGCAAACAGAAATTTGCGCACACAGAAAAATGCGCAAATAGAAAAATGTGCAACTCATTTTTTTTTAATTTGCCATCACAGCTCCTCCTCTTCATATACTCGAAAATCTAGAGCTCACGACTGCTGGCGCACAATTTGAGTTCAAATGATGTGTACTTATCCATCTTTTGGACAGCTAACTATTTAGAATAATATAATAGCTAAAAAATAATGTTTTCCAACTTTGTATTTAAAAACGTGTTAGGGGTCATCCTTAAATGACAATACACTCCTCGGGGAAGTGTAGCCGAAGGGAGGGGGGTGAAGTGGGAGATGTAACTATTGCATTTTTAAAAACTGAATCTTAGCACAAAAAAACTAAAAATATCGCATTTTCAAAAACAATTATAGCTATTATATTTGATCAGGTTATCCAATGTTGAGAAAACAAAATCCGTTTAAAAAGAGGCTTTTTTGACAATGTGTGCCAAATAATGCTGGGGTGTAAAACCATTAAATTAAAAAAAAATCAGACTCCGATATTATACAAGTTTAAAAATATGTTTTATTAAAGCACCAGCTTATCTTCATCTCAATGTTGCAGACGCCATTTGTTTACCAGATTTTGTGCAATACACGCAAGTAGCAAATATTAGACTGTGTTTGTATTGCTTTTGTTTTTTTAAGACCGATTGTAGCATTTTTGGCAGCCACTTTTATCTTTGTTTGTCAGACCCACTTCCCCCCGTCCGTCATCTTCAGGGGAAATAACCTACTAAAAATGTTTTCAGCTGTATGTAAACATTGTCTCAGACATCATGTTGCATGTTGCAGCCATCTTGATCTTCGTCAGGCCCACTTACCCAACCTGTCATTATCGTGAAGGGAAATAACTAGAAAAAACAAATTCCCACAAAAAAATGAGTTTATAAAACTTCGATTGTATATTATTTGTCTCACTTGTGTAGATGCATGTTGACAATTTTAATGTAAGTAAAAACATGAATAAAATGTCTTTTTAAATATTTGACAAAAAAGCCGAAATGCATTTTAAAATTTTTTATTGCGGCAATTCTACGCATACACGGTATAATACGCTGTTTCATCGTCGGATGGGATCAGAAGCGTAGCCACCTATTCCAGGGCAAATCTATCAATTTTGCGCCGCCACCCATTTATATATCGTTATCAGTGGCGTAGCCAAGATCGTCTAAAGGGGGGGGGGGGGTTACAATTTTTACCCGGGGACAAACTTTCGATTTGCACCACCCCCTCAAACTTTCGATTTGTACCCCCACCCCCTCAAACTTTCGATTAGCACCCCCCATACTTTATATATATATACCGAGGGGTCTATGGGGGGTTATGACCCCCCCCCCCCCCCTGCCTACGTCTCTGATTGTTATTCACTTTACGAAAATGCCCCCCTCCCCCCCCCCCCCTCCACACACACATACTATTTTCTCAATTAAAAAAGGCTGGGAGCACTTTTTTACCATTCGTTATCCCTTTAAAGTTTTATTTTTATTTTATTTCACATAAGTGAAGTAGAAAACAGTTAAATCAATCTGCAAAGCCAAGTAGCTATCTATGTTCTTAACTTTGTCTAAATCAGTAATGTACCTCAGGAGATCCGTTTTATATTTCAGACCTTTACTAGCTGTCAAAGTACTTATGTTTTATGTTTTAGACAGTACGTCTAATAGTCAACGTACTGTTGGTTTATCTTTCAGACAGTTTTTCTAGTAGTCAACGTAATGTTGGTTTATATTTCAGACAGTTTTTCTAGTAGTCAACGTACTGTTGGTTTATATTTCAGACAGCCTGCAGCATTTTCGCCGCCATCTCTATCTTTGTTTGTGTGACAGCAGCTGTCTTCTGTGGGATAAATGCTGGACAGCTCTTCATATATGACAGCTGCCAATTTCTGGATAACGGCTGTCTGTGTTTCTACACTCCGGACGCGGCAAGCAGGTAGGTTGTTGTTTTAAATGACCATGAGAACAGAATTTCTTCCAGGCATCACTTCCGGGGACGAGGGGGGGGGGGGGACGGGACGGGGGACGCCCCCCCCCCCCCCCCCCCCGAACGAAAGGAATTTATATAGAAAATCTATATTTTAACAGAGTCCGCCCCCCAACCCGAAAATTTAAGGTGCCCCCCCCCCCCGTAGAAAAAAAAGTCTGGAAGAAACACTGCATGAGAATGATCTGGGGAGGGGGGGGGGCGAGGAGGGGTGGAGGAAGATGGGAGGTAGGTTTTTGTTCTTGTTTCAGTGCCTGTGGCCATGAAAATCCCTGTGACAAGGGACGTCGTCCGATGTAAGTAGGAGGGGGGGGGGGGGGGAGGAAAGGAAAGGCGAATCAGGTAATTTCTTGTTCTTTGCCTACGATCAACGGTGGCGGATTCAAGCGGGGGAAGGGGTGGGAGAGTCTGTTAGTACAGCAGTCTAGGGACTCCGATTTCCCAGATTTCTCTTACAAACGATAGTTCGGCCTATTCATTCATTGCTATCGACTTCTTGGTTCGAATACAAAAGTGAACGATTAGTGTCCCAAACATGCTGTCTTTGGCTGATTTAGGGAGGGTAAAATTGTCAGAGGAGATCGGTCGAAAGAGAGATGGGGGAGTCTGGATTGTAATGGATTGAGTTTTAGGAAACAAAAGGCACAAATTGAGTAAAATTGCCTTAAATTTGTAAATAGGAAGCCAAAATAAAAGGAAAAGAAGACGATTTTTAATCTAGTTCTTAGCAGTGCAAAATCTTTAGTTTCAAATCTTGTAGATCTATATAGTATATTAATTATAGATGTATTATATTATTATGTATATCTTTTATAAGTTCCTTGACGCCGTTACTACATGTTGAGGCAACAGTAAGCAGCTTTAAGCAGAGGGAGTTTTGAAACAAGCAATCAAATGCCACTCCCTCACTCAGATGATTGATTTTATTATTTGTTTTCGGTGCATATCAGAGGGTGAGCAGGGGTCGGCGTGGTCGAGTCGGTAAAGCTCATGGTTGCTAAACCGAAAAGTCTCGAGTTCGAACCCTCGGGCAGATGAGGCTCGTTAGCTGGGGACAGCCACTCTTCTAGGAGAGACAACTCCAAAATTTAAAAAAACTGCTGCCTTGTAGTTTGTTCTTGGTTGGACAAAGGCTATGGAAGCAAATCCAAAAAGAAAAGCAGGCTGAAATCGGAGTCAATGGCCTCAATGGCGCATAACCAGTTGACACGTAACGCTTAATTGTGTTGGAGGCGTGGTCGAGTCGGCAAAAAGCTCATGGTTGATAAATTCGAATAAAGTCTCGAGTTCAAACCCACTGGCAGATAAATCTCGATCCCCTTCAACACTAATAATTAAGAACGAAGAAGAAGAAGAAGAAAGAGGGTGAGCTGTTAACACAAAAAACGATTTTTGTAAAATGTTAATGTCCCATGAGAGCTTAGCTTGAACTATGGCACGAAAATAATCACTAGTTTAAAAGTATAGTTACATTAATAATTTTTACTATTAAATACTCAATATAGACATTATGGATCTTGTAATTATGTCACAATTGTTCAATTTGGTTAGAATCAGTGCAAAGTTAAAAAGTATTTAGATTGTCAATTATTTCCCTTATATTTATTTCATTCTTTAAAGGGAAAGCATTTGTAAAGTTGTTCACTGAATCGTTAAAAATACAGTCAAAATCACCAGTGATAAAAGAAGAAGTATTTATTTTATTATTTTATATATACATATATTCTACGCTGTGTAAAAATGGTGTCTAATCTTTATAGTTTTAAGAAATTAGAAATATTATTTGACTCAATTTTTAAATAAGAAACTATTAATGTTATTAAATTATTATTTTTTTAAGCGTAAAATTTCAGTTAGATGAATGCTCACATGTGCAAAAAAAAGTTCTTTTTATTTTTAATTTAATTAAAATGAAAAAAAAAAGCTTAAATAAGTTCAATCAATCAGAAAAAAAAGAAAAAGACATTTAATCGACTAAAAGTTATGTAATACGTAAACCCAATATCATACTTTCACGATCATTTCTAAAGTTGGTTTTGCTGAGCAAAATGTCATAGAACATCTCACTACTAGCAAACATCTAGTGCAGGGGTCGGCAACCTTTCGATACGCAATAGCCAAAAATTACTATTTACAAACTTTAGCAGTTTTTAAAGAGCCACAACATTTTTAGTTCAATATTCGGTATTTGATTAGGATTAGGTAAATAAAGTTGATTTGTTATTTAAAATAAATATCTTTAGGGCCTAAATATGAAATAATATTTATTCATATAAAAACATAGACAAGTTTCGCCAGAATAGTAAAGTTAGTAATCAAATAATATTATTCTAGGACTATCTCAATTCACTTTAGAAGCTGTTAATTTTTATTTTATCTTTACGGATATCACCGGCTCAGGAGGTGTCTCCCATTAGCCAGTCAGGCCTCAACACGGCAAACGCCTTCTAACTGGCTTTGATATCGGTTTGAATAACTTGCATCGTTCGCTTCTATACTTTGGTTCTCACCAGGCTTATCTTCCATCCCACTGAACGCAGAATAAAGTCGTACCCCACCGTCCAGTACAAATGAATTTATATAACCAGTGGCGTAGCGAGGTCGGGTGTCACCCGGTGCGGCACTTAATGGTGTCACCCCCCCCCCAGAGGCATAGAGGCCCTTCCCAGGGACAAACTTTCAAATTTTCGATTTGCACCCCCCCCCCTCAAACTTTCGATTTGCACCCCCCCCCCCTCAAGTTTTCGATTTGCACCCCCCTCAAACTTTCGATTTGCACCCCCCCTCGAGTTTTTCTCTATATATTTTGCTATTTTTTGCCTTGGTGTCACCCCCTAAATGGTGTCACCCGGTGCGGTCCGCACCCCCCCCCCGCTCGCTACGCCTCTGGAAATACGTATCTTATAAAATGACTGCGTGGCAGGTTCAAAACTACTGCGTGATCACTCCACCTTGCAGCTTAGCGGTCCGCACCCCCCGCCCCCCCCCCTCGCTACGCCCCTGTATATAACTATTAATATTTGTGCAAGGAGCTGGAGAGCCGCATCTGGGCATCAAAAGAGCCGCATACGGCTCGCGAGCCGCAGGTTGCCGACCCCTGATCTAGTGCTATTCACTGAAGTTTTGAAGAAGCAAGTATTACAAACACCAACAGTGGGGTCAGTGGCGTAGCGAGGTCGGGTGTCACCCGGTGCGGCACTTAATGGTGTCACCCCCCCCCCCCCCCCAGAGGCGTAGCGACCCTTCCCGGCGCCCGGGGACAAACTTTCAATTTTCGATTTGCACCCCCCCCTCAAACTTTCAATTTGCATCCCCCCAATCCACCCTTGTCAGGATTTGTCAAATTTGCTCTTAAAAGACTTCTTAACACTCGAATTAATCACTTAATTAAGTGAAATTATCATTTTTCTGTATATATTTTGCTATTTTTTGCCTTGGTGTTACCCCCCCTAAATGGTGTCACTCGATGCGGTCCGCACCCCCCGCCCCCCTCGCTACGCCTCTGAGCCCATCTATAACATAACCGCAAAAATACAGTCAGTTGACAGGACGGATACTGCCTACTCCCTTTCATCAACGTCAAAGAACGAAGAAAACACAATCAGAACACGGAACAGAAGCCACCTGCTCAGTGTGTGAAACCAAGTTCGAAAGCAGCCACCTAGCCGGACATCCTGCGAAACTACACACGGACATCGCAATCTACGAATGCAGTCACTGCGAAGCTAGATGCAAACAATTCGATTATCTATTTAAACACACACAAATCAGTGTTTCTTCCAGACATTTTTCTCTGGGGGGGGGGGGGCGACACACACACTGTTAAAAGTATATATTTTCTATATAAATTCCATTTCGTTCGGGGGTGGGGGTGGGGGCTCCTGAAGAGGTGCATGGAAGAAACTCAGAATTACTCAGTCCTCATGAAAGGGTCGCTTGTAAATGGGAACAGGGCATTTCCCCCCTGTCAATTACCCCCCGCCCAGTAGGACATTACCCCCCCCGGACAGGGTTAGGGCTAGGTTTAGGTTTAGGGCTAGGGCTAGGGTTAGGGCTTGGGTTAGGGTTAGGTTTAGGGCTAGGGTTAGGGCTAGGGTTAGGGCTAGGGTTAGGTTTAGGGCTAGGGTTAGGGCTAGGGTTAGGGCTAGGGTTAGGGTTAGGGTTAGGGCTAGGGTTAGGGTTAGAGCTAGTGTTAGGGTTAGGGTTGTGTCTAGCTTTGGTTTTGGTTTTGTGTGAAGTTTTAGGCTAAGGTGGATGCTTAGGTTTTGGTCTTTTTCTTAAGGTTTGGATTAAAGTAGAATATAGGTATAAAATTCTAGTTAGAGTTAGGATTTTAACTTGAGGGGGGGGGGTTAATCCCCCGGGGGGGGGGAGTAATTGACAGGGGGGTAATTGCTCCGGGGGGGGGGGGGGGGTAAATACGGGGGGGGGGAAATGTCCGGGGGGGGGGGAAATATCCAGGGGGGTAATGTCCTGTAACCCTTGTAAATGGATCTATTCAACACTAGATTCGGACAATTCTCGACAAATCTACCGTGCAAATAAAGACTTCAGGTACTTGACATGGGAATAGGCCAAGTACAAAATATCATCTTCAAACCACTGTCGTTTAGAGAAATACAAAACCGCTCCACCCAACAGAAGTAAACATTTCACGTTTACTTTAATAAAAATGCAATTCTTGATGAACTTACACAATATATGATTATATGCTTAAATAGTGCTTATATTTAGTGCTTTTAATTAAATTGATGATATTACGGATTGGTATAAAAAAAATCTAGAGGTTTTAAATGCTTCCCTAAAACCCTGATTATAAATGCTGTTGATATATTTTATTTTTACAGCTATTTGGCATTTTGAAGCAGTATTTCTATTATTACATTTAGTGGAATTTAAGCTCTTGAAGACATTTATACGGACGATTACACACAAAGTGCAACATACTTTTCTTTTCCTGGGCTGGAGTTAAATATAACATAAAATCGAAATTTAAGAAGTTAGGTGGAGATTGAGATGAGTAATGTCAAAGTATTTAACCCTTCTCGATCTTACCTCCATGAGAAAGAAGGTGAAAAAATTATAAAGAAATAAACATGACCTTTGAACTCTGCGTGGATACTATGTGGTATGGTGTAGGTCGCAGTGGGGGTGCCATTTGGGCGAGAAGTATGGGACTTAACCACAGAAGACGATTGTTTTATTCACTAAGGCTGGGCCTAGGTGAGGAGTGGGTAGCACCTTGCAAATCACTTAATCCGGCTGATGTAATGTATATATATATATATATATATATGTATATATATATATATGTATATATATATATATGTATATATGCATATATATACATGTTTGTATATATATATATATACACCTGGTGTGTATGTATGTATATAAGTATACAATGTATATGAATACAATATGCATATGAATTAATCCTGTACTAATTTCTTTACAAATCTACAGGACCTTTTTGTATACACCAGTAGAAGACTGCTCCAGTTTTTTGTGCCACCTAAAAATATTCCTGCTGGTAACCGGAAGCCTATGTGCAGCCGGAAGTTTAGCAGCTTTTAGTTTCGTTATCTCTATATGGAAGTCACGGTACAGCGCAATCACAACAAGTGTGTGACTGTTGGGTGGATCAGGCAAGGGGGTAAAATTAGATGTGATAAACTGTTAAATACTGTACAGATTATTTAATTTGTGTATGTTCTACCGCATTATGTCAATGAAAATGTAACTCAAATATTTTTACCATAAAAATAAAAAAAATATAATAGCAAACTACATTGTTTTTATTGCCAAATTACTGTTTTGACATTTTTTTTTTTTTTTTAGGTACACTTACCTAAAAAAAAAAATTCACAATATTTTGATAATTATATCAGACATTTTTAAAAATCAAGAGACTAAAAGATTAAATCAGGTTTATTGGATATAACCTTTAAATATTAATTTTTTCATAATATGTTAAATTTGGTTCATACACTTTCAAAGCACTTTGATTACCCATATTATAAATATATTCAAATAAAAAAAAAAAAGCTAAACATTTCAAAACACTTTATTTTGACTTGATGTAAACAAACTATCTCTATATAGAAAACAAAAATGTTCTGGACACTGGTAGTCAAATTGATCATTTACATACACAAATAGCAGGAATAAACAAAATGTTTAACCTCTATTCAGATTAAAACAAACATGAAATGAAAGGCCATGAGAACAGTCAGATTTCAATAGTATAATATTTGGCTTGATAGAATAAATTATTGTACAAAACTAGCTGTAAGATTACACAAGAACAAAGTGAGCACTTTATACAGACACACACATCAAAGTAAACATTACTGAGATGAAAAATTGGACCATAGAGGAAACAATAATGGAGTAGATAAGGTTAGAAAAACTAATCCTTTTGATGTGCACACTGTCAATGATTACTTAGCATATTTGACAATTTAATTATAAAAAAAGCAATTTGACTTACATGGACAGTAAAAAAATATACTAGAATAATTAAGAAAATTATTGTATCTACCTTTAGACATCCAGAAATTAAAATAGCTCTAAAATCAGCATGTGATGACATTATTACTACCTAAATGTAGGTAAAAAGAATAGTTTGATTCTCTGAAAACTAATCAACACAGGCTTGGCTCAATTAAAAATCTAGACTTTAAAAGTTAAAGCAACACATTTCAAAAAAAAAATCTGGTCACCAAAAAACAGAATTGCAGACAAAATTTCAAATAGCATGTCAGCATTACATGCAATGCAAGTTGAATAAAAGAAAAAAATTTCTAGAGCTGAGAAACTTGGAGAAAAAGTAAACAGTCCTGGCATACATTACATTTAATTGATTAAGTAGCTTGCAGTTGGCTTTAAAGTCCAGAGGAAAGAAAAAAAAAACATTATTTGGCTCCTTAAAAATTCAGAAGAATGTGGTTAAAAATAAGGCCGATGCTAGCCGGAGTAAGGTACGCATGTGCAATGGAGAGAAACTACGACTTGCCATCGCGGCGATGTTTTCGATGGTACTGCGCATGCGTGGGTTTACAACTGCAGAACCCTAACACCAACCCTAATCCTATCCCTAACCCTAGGTCATTGCGCATGCGCAGAGCTATCTTTTGCAGACTAAGTGGAGACGTTAGGGAGAAAAATCTTCAGAGTAGTCACTTCGTAAAAATAATTCAGTAATCTAATTTGGTGGGATTTTAGTTAAATCTAGTAGTGCCTGTCAGAAGTAGTTTTTTTTTGACAAGAGTGGTTTTGAAGTTCTTTTAAAAAATAGGCCCAAAAAAAGATAATAGTAGTCTTTAATTGATTCACTAAATGTGTATCACAGCCATTTGGACAATTTGAAATTGTGCAGATAAAATAGTCACAATAAAAATGGTCTTAAAATAAGTGTAAAAAAATAGTTCAAAGCAAATATAAAAAAGATAGCTGATTTAGGTCACCTAGTTACATAAATTAACAGTTAATACAGGTTTTTAAATTAAAAACAACTGATATACAAAAGGATAAAGTCTTTAAAAAAAAATTCAAACATTTTCAACTAAACTTAAAAATCTCACTTGAAAGATTTCAGTACAGTAAATGCCCATTGTATAAAGATAGATTAACTGATTCCTTTCTTACTACTAGCTTTTAAAAACATTTTACACAATCATTACTATTGGAATTCAAACTTAGCAACAAATACTGAGTGAGCAACAGTTATTGGGTGTGTATTGGGGGAACCCAAGAATGATATTTGTTCCACGTCTTATAAAAATTATTTAACACTGAGCCAGTTCATAAAAATACACAATGCTGATAATTTTCAATATTTTTTACATATTTAAAAAAGGATAAAAAGTACAACTCAATAGCATCAGAACACTATTTTAAATAATACTCCCAAGATAGATAATCAACCTTTTTTTTCTGGATATACTTAAGAAAATTAGACCAAGGTAAATTTTTTTTTTTTAAATGTAGTTTCCTTTTAAAATACTACAGTATCAAATTGTCAGAATAACACCACTAATACATGTGAGGGCAGTTAGACAAGCCAAAAATAATATTTTGTTTTAGCGAAACCGGAGAACATGGTCATTATAAACATGCAGAAAAAATGTTATGAGACCAGCTAGAAATATTTGCTGAATCAGTCTGAATTTAGCTCTACAAAATCTATATACCAACACAGCTACACTTTCTCATTTAGCCAGTTTTCATTTTAGACAGTATTTATGCATCTATATTGCAAATTATTAATTCTATGGCACAAAATCTAGAGAAATCTTAGGGTAAACACAAATGGTGTTTTTAATGGGTAAGAAATAAATCAAAGAGTTGATTTAAAAAATCAATAACAATTAAGCTATTTAAAATAGGTAAGCTTTTGGAAAAAAATTGATTATGAAATTAAATTTCATATCCTGCACAACTAGATTAATAAATCTTACAATGATGTTACATTTTGTATTACATACAACTACAAATAGAGACATCATATTGCTGCAGTTAGAGATAGACATGAATACATTAAAAAAGGTTTTTGTGAAACTAAACCCTTAAAAAGATAATTTTTAATTACTTTCTTTTATACTGCTTGCACTACTAGAATTTCATGTTAATATGAATTTTTAAAAAAAGTAAACATATTTTTTAAACTTCTGACAAATTAAACTATTTGAACTATCTCAACTGGAAACAAGGTACCAAGTAAATATAGTACATTAGTTATTTTTTGTAATGTTTAGTATGATAAAAGGATAAAAGAAAATATTTATCATTCTTTACTCTTGACTAACCAGATTTTACATTGCTTGTTTAAAATGTGAAAAACTTTCTAATCTAGAAAGTTTTCAAGTGCTTAATTTTGCTTATTTAAAGTGTAGAAGGTATACATTTTATAAATAACATTAAATAACTACAACATTTTTCTATTTCCTTATTGGATCCAGTATACTCAAAATTTCTGATGTTATCCACGAGGGTTAAGTTAATCCACTTTCTTTGTGCTGCCGTTTGTAAAGCCATTTTGTTGTTTGCCGTTTCTCTGCGAGGCTTCCTTCTCTTTCTCAAGGATCTGGTCCATGGGTCCAGTGCCCTCAAAGGAGCTTGGATTCCTGTACGAGCCACCTATTCTATCCCATAAAGTGAAAAACTGACCATAGTTATAGTTGTAGAAGAGATGGTGGTCCATATGGTGAGCGCTGCCATTGACTACAGGCTTCAAGGTCTCCGGAACTCTGTAGTCCCCGTCATGGATGGACACTGTCCAGATGTTGACAAAAACGAACAGACCTAGGTACGTCACCTAAAATATTGAAAGATTTGGAAAAAAATTATTTTTTTTAGAACACATTGATATCCTAATAATGAGCTTTATTATTTTATTCTTGGGCTAGTGTGGTGGAGAGGTAGAACTTATCTAATCCCAAAGGCTGAGTTTTATTCCCAGGCTTATGTTCATAAGAAATACCATGATCTACCTAGCTTTGGTAAATATTTTTTAGTTACCAAAGCATTGTTTCATTATTTGTCATACACAAAAATGGAAGCAAAAGTCATTTCGAATTCAAATGCTGGCTTTTTTTTAACGAAGTGACTAGTTGGAAGAAGATTTTTCTCCCCAATGTCTGCACTTAGTCGGCAAAAGATAGCTCTGCGCATGCGCAGTGACCTATGGCTAGGGTTAGAATGAGGGTTAGGGGTAGGATTAGGGATAGGGTTAGGATTAGGGCTAGGATTAGGGCTAGGGGTAGGATTAGGGATAGGATTAGGGTTGGTGTTAGGCTGTTAGGGTTCTGCGGTTGTAAACACACGCATGCAAGTCGTAGTTTCTCTCCATTGCGCATGCGTATCTTATTCCGGCTAGAATCGGCCTTTTTTTAATGATAATTGGTGGTTACAAAGTATACATTATCAAAATGTGACTTTTTAACATATATACTGTCCCATAAATGAGCACACCTGCATAATTAAACTGTACAGCCTATAAAAAGAACTTTGTGTAGCATAACTGCTTGCATCCTTCATGCTTATTAGTCACTCTGCAATTTATTCACTCGCAGCGCATACACAAAGTTAGAGTGGTGCCACAACTTCACAAAAACCTGCAGACAGCTGTGACATAATTAAGGTGTGTTGGGGTCATGCTAAAAGACCAATGCAACAAAAAGCTCTAGACAATGGAGCTGATTTTAAGGTACACCAATAAGTCAGAAAACTAAAGTTGCCAGGAAAAAACACAGATTCATTTTGGAAGACTGTCAAGGAAGACTGTGAGCTGTGTGTTTATTATCTTCAACAGACTATCAACATTTGGGTCTCAGGCTAGATACTCACCTTGTGTAGTGGGAACAGGAAGGGGTATATATGATAGGGAAGGCTCTGAAGGAAGCCATCCAATGGGTGGAAAGCATGACTAGCAAATGGTGTTGGCACCTATAAGAATAAAAAAACAACTTTGTATAAGCAGCTAATATAAAGATTAACATATGATAAACATGTTCATAATATAATATATTATAGACGTAGGTGGATGTACAGAGAAATTGAATTTGTAAGTCAACCTAAAGTTCATCATTGATACCTTACAACATTTTACAACCACACAGTGTGTGTTACATAGTTAAAAAATGTGGCAAACAAAAATAAGATGGAATCCCTACCTTCCACTTGTGGTGGAGCTTGTGTAGGTGCTTGTAGACATGCTTGTGGTGGAGGAAGCGGTGGATCCAGTAGATGCACATGTCAGTGAAGGCTATGAAGGTGAACATGCTGATAAAGACACCAGCGTAACCTGTGTGACAACAATAGGAATCTTAGTTTATGTACAATAATTAAACACATTTTACAGTGATAACTAGGCAAGATATGTATTCTATTCTGTAATGTCTGTCAACCTTAAGATCACTGCAGAGGTGTAAACATGGGACGGCATGGCCTAAAGGTAGGTTGCTAGACTGCTAATCCGAAAGTCTCTAGTTTGAATCTGGGTTAAAGTTTGTATAATGTCCCTGAGTCCACCAAGCTCTGATGGGTACCTAACTCATATTAGGGAAACAAAGATGGCTGAGAATAGTGTTGACCATACTATCCCTTCATATGCCACGGAAAAAGATGAGATGATAGGTGTAAACATGCTGATAAAGATTTCCAACATTAACTGCATGACAACAGTTGAAATAGATCTTTATGTTCATCCCCATAGTAAAACATCTGTGCTTACTATAGACAAAATTTATAGATATACACAGCAACTTTTTATCCATTTCCAACCGAAAGACACCTGTTATGTATAGTTTATTGGACAGTCACTTTTTGAACAAGTTCTTTTCTATCCAACATTTAAATTTCAGCTTTAAACAATTTTCAGCTTAATACAACAGATGAAAACCATACTATTTATCTTATTATTTTATAAAATACTTTTTTGAACACAAGAGGATTGTGTGGTCAAGCAGTACAGTACAGCCTGCAAACAGAAGGTCATCAGTTTGATTCAAGGCCTCAGTACTGTCAAACACCCTCGAGTCCACCCAGCTTTGATGGTTGACTAACTTATGTAAGTGAAAGTAGAGGCACAGTGCTCAACATTTTATCTGTCCTATCAACTATCACTGGCTCTACAGCTTCAAAAGGCTATACGTTGGTTGCAACTTAGGATGTCAGGCGTAGGATGTTTTCATTGTCTTTTTCATTTTTTTAGCACATAATTAACTGGCACTTGGCCAGTTTGAGACAGGTGGTAGCTAGCTCCACCTGTTGAACCCCTATACCAGTCAAGCAGAAGGCTAATAACCGGTTAATGCAAACCCTACATCATTTCAACAGCTGGTTCATAATTTGTAATTGCCACTTCTAATGTTTTGTCAACATTGAATAGTGAGGCTGGCAAATCCTATCCAGGGTGGAAAGCCTGGGCAGTAAGAGGAGAGCTAGATGCTACTCAGTTACTGGCTAATTAAAGAAGGCAATGATAGATTTAACATAAAACAAGCCAAACTGGCAGGTTGATGCATCAAGTCAAATAGAATAGAATACAAGTTTTACTCTTGTTTATAGTCCCATAAGTAAGTGCTATACAAAGCCGAACAGAGATTTACAAATCTTAAAGTATACAAGTAACTCACCAAGCCTTGTGTCCCCAACACTATCGTAGAGTTTACTGTAACCTCTGACCTCTAAGAAAAACATAGCCACGGTTGGTATGCTCATAAATGGCACTGAAACAACAGTGCAAACTATTTCTTTCATAACTTGGTTCTGAAAAGAAATTTTAAAGTAAGTGATAGAATCAATTCAAGTGGCAACATTAAACTCTTGAGTTAACAACTTGAATGAAAGATCATGTATAACTGCAGATTCAATATATAATTATATATATATTAAAGAGTCTCTTCAAAGTTATATTTCCTACAACTATGAAGATGCATATATATTGTGAACGTGAATCAGACAAAACTGAACACCACTGACTTTCATACAATAAAAACATTGTTGAAAAAAATATGGGGAGGGTTTCCTAATGTTTAACCTTTGTTGTTTTATGTTTATCACTTATAAAGTAAAACCTTAAAAAGGAAAATAAAGCCAGAGTCCATGTTTTTCCAAATTACTAAAATATCTCACCAAACTTTCATTACACTTAAACATTTCTATTAACTACAATTGATAAGACAACAAGCAGGGCAGAGTTAACTTGCTTACACTATTGAGGTTGCTACTTTAGTTGTTCTATCTTGTTAAACTTACTTGAGTCAAAACTACATACATACACTCCCCATATAAATAGGCTAAGATAAAGCAGCATGCAGAACAGAGCCTGCATAAAATTTTAGCCCCTATCTTTTGGTTACATTAGCAATGCAACATATCCTTATGTCAGGGTATCTTTTTTAATAAAATCAATACTTTGTTATATGATCTATGAGATAAGTTTCAGGCATGAATAGAGATGACTTTTGTTTGGGAAGTAACTTTGTAGAATAATTACTTTGCATCTGTTGAGACCCTAAGAACTTTGTTTGGACATGCTTTAAATAAACAACCCATAGGAAATTTCCGCTAGTCATCATAATCATAAAAGACTCTGTTTTCCTATATTAGATTGCTGTTAAAAATATTTCATACAAATTATATTAATTTATATGACCAATATTTTTACATTTCTTCACTTATTATTTAAATATATACAGATGCTTAACAGGCCTACAGCTAAATTAGATGTAAGGAAATGCATCCTATAATAGTTTGACATGAAATTTTATGTGCTTGCAATACTTCAATAGATTCTTAATATATACATATACCCCTAAGCAAAAGCATTAAAATATGTCTCAGATCCAAACATTCAAGCACTGTAAGAATTCTCATTCAAATCACTATAGGGTGCCATAGAATTAATATTGTACATCAGGTCCTTGACAGGAGATCTAACAGAAAGCAGTGCATAGCCAATAGACTCAATAAAGCATGTTTTAAATCTTTCATAAAATTTTAAAAAAATCTGCTACAGCATTTTAGAACACAAGCCCCCTTCATTTAACAACAACGAATTTTTTTAAATATTTAAAATTTAGTACCTACCTCTAAAATAAGTGGATGCTTTAACAGCCTGTGGTCAAATATGAGAAAATAGCTCAAACTGGCAACAATAAAATACAAGAGGTACCCTCCTATATTAGCAATCACTAACAAGGATAAAATTTGCCGAATAGGATCATTCTCTTTCCATGTGTTGGGGTAAACATAGGGTGTGAAGAAATAATAGTCAGTGTATTCCAGAACAACATCCATTGTGATGTTTATGAGATCCCACAGTTGCCAGGTAGTTTGTAGCTAATGTAGGTTAAAAGCTGGTGCTTGGCTGAATCCTTCAACAAATGATGATTCAAAATCAAATACAAGTACACCAAAGAAATACTGCCAGGTCTGAAAGGTTTTAACTTCTTAGGATCCTGTTAGAAGTATAAAAAAAAACTTTAAAAAAAAAAAAAACAACAAATTTTACAAAACAATTCTATTTCTGAATACTCATGGGAAGTATAATCACAGAAGGTGACAAAACAATAAACATGTGATAAGCTCTGAGATGTGAATTTTCCCCATGCTTTATCTACTGATAGAAATCAGTAGGCCAAAAATAGTTCAGCTATCTCTAACACTGCACATAACTCAGGTCTGTTTATGCTCTATAAAAGAAATTTAAAAAGCAAAAGGGTTTTACTCTAAAGTTTCTAAACAGTAGGCTATAACATTTCATAGGCCTGATAATTTCAGATAAAATAAGTGTGTTGGTTTGTTAGTAATAGTAGTTAGATCTAGTATTACAGCCTATAGCAATCTTGAATATTTTTATGGTAATATGGTTAGAAAGTAGGTAAGCATATGGGTAGGACTATGATTAGGGTTGGGGTTAGCGGTTGGGGATAGTATTGTGAATAGCATTGTGACATTAGGAAGCCATGTGTGTATTTTAGACTTAGTTAACAACCAGTAACCTTAAACCCCTTTTTTAAGAAGATTCTATTTGGTTACTTGAATCTATCTATTCTTGATCTAGAATCTTATCTAGATTGAGTAGGGTCTCTCTATCAGCCTAGCTATCATCTAGATTCTATAGTAACAGATCCAGATTTCTAGATGTAGTGTCTGGTATCACAAGGAAGACAACCAAGTGATAGTGACAAACAGTAGAAAAGAAAAGCTAGGTAAGAATTTTCGGTAAACCTCCATTTTAGCATTTTTTATTCCCCGCTTCACGTTCACCTCCAGTTGAGAGTATTTTATAATAAACACAACAGAAACACACAAAAACGTTAGGAAAACACTAGATCTACTTTTTACTTTCTCGTATATACGTAGTATAGAAAAAGTATTGTAATCGTGCAAAAAAAAATAAAATAGAGATTTTTACAAATCTCGACGTTTTACACCTCACTGATACGGAAAAACATAATTTTGCAATCTTGTCCGTATGTCTGTGTGTGTGTGTCTGTGTGTGTGTCTGTGTGTCCGTGTGTAAACACGATAACTTGAGTACCGTTACAGCTAGGTTGATGAAATTTCATATATAAGTATTATATCAAAATCGTAGATCCGTATCAACTTTTGAGCGATTTCCGACAACCGGAAGTGGTACTTTTTCTACTTTGAATTTTTCAAAAGCCTATAACTTGAGTACTATTTCACATAGATAAATGACATTTCACATGTAAGTAAAAGATCTAATTCTCTACCTTCTGTTAAATTTTGAGTAATTTCCGTTGACCGGAAGTAGTAATTTACGCTACTTCTGATTTCTCAAAAAACTAATGTAAATTTTTAAAGTACTAATACTATTGCGCACTATTATACACACCTTTATTAGGCGTTCGCTTGGTGCGCAATCGTTTTTTACTGAGATTCTATTCTATTTTTAAAAGTTTCAGTAGGCCTATTTAAAATGGATTAAAAATCATAACTATATCCCCAGTTACCATCCCCTGTTGTTTTATATAAGAATATTCGAGAAAGTTTAGGGGAGATCGCTACCGGTTTATTTTATGAATGTGATTTTTAATTAGAAAAGGTAAAAAAAAAATAAAAAAGCATTAGAACTGTTCCAATTAAATATCGTGTGATCGTCAGCGGGAGAAAAATCCTTACTGTCACGGTTTCACATTGACTTTAATTATCAGCATACGTCATAGCTCGGGCAATGGCTGTTTGAAATTGTGTTGGCCTCAGTTTTGGGGTCATTGTAAGTTCATAAATGTTTATTTATAGTCTCTTGCCTGGGAAATACTTGTAACAATACAAACTTAACCGCCTTGCAATTGTGAGTTACGTTTATGTACTTCACCCATTGCCATGAAAATTCAAACTGACACACGAACATTGCACATTCAATTTTCTAAATTTGGACTTTTCTCAAGTTTTGACAAAAGTAAATTATAAAAATCTAAAACAAAGTCAATCTCTTTGTTTTTTTTTTTTCATTTGTTAAAACAAAAATACAATACAAATAAATAAATCGTGTTTTCCTAATGTTTTGGTGTGTTTTGTTTGGTTATTATAATAAAATACGCTCAACTGGAGGTAAACAAGAAGCGGAGAATAAAATACACTAAAATGGAGTTTTACCGAATTTAATTTAGATCTAGACTCTAGATCTACCTAAAAAAAACAACTTGTTTTAATATTTTTTTTGGCAAGCAAAAAAGTAAAAACACTGATCTCGTCTTTCACTTTCAATTCAATTCCACAGATTAGGCATAAAAAAGCATAACTACACTGAATTTTTATTATTTCATATCTATTAGACTTTATCTAGATGTAGATCTAGAACTTTAACAAATAAGAAAGTAAAAATGCAGGTTTACATACATTTTAACAGCGATTTATTTTGAGTTTCTCTGTGTATGCAAATCATCACCTCACACCACTAGCAACTGTACTAGCATCAAATCAAACTCCGCAGCTGTTATCGAGGCTGCCAGATAAAATCTTGAAATGATGTCAGCCAAAGCAATAAGAGAAAAGAATGAAAGAATATGTCGAAGTTAAAACGCTTTTGATTTTCATTATGTAATTAACAAGAAGTGGTGATTTTCATATGTTGATTAAAGTTTGAAACGTACACTGTAATATTTGAAAAGAGAGAGAGAAGACGAGCGACTAATACTTGAAATTGGTAATCCCGATATTAAAGCTCACCATTATTCCTATGATATTGGTTCAAAATAACTTTAGGTCTATAAATAATATGCATGTTCCCTTAGAAAAAGATTGTGAATGGCTTAGTATTAAAAAACCATCCATTTAGGCATAAGATTAAACAGAATAGATAATAATGGCACATGCCACTATCAGAGTACTAAAGTCTGTATTATAAAAATGAAATTAAATATCGGCTAACTAAGCTGTTATTATTGTCCAACAATTCCTAGCAAAATAAAAGTAACAACACGTTTTTGAGAATTAACAATAAGATATTTAAATGTAACGGCATTCTCGTCTTTTAATAGATTATACTGCTTTCGATCACAATAATAAATAGATCTAGTGGGGTTGCAAGTTTAGTTTTGGAAACAGTGTTAATTTCTATAACATTAGTTGAGCTGGGTCAGCATTAGGTCTCCTGTACATACACATTTATAAAGTGCATTTAAATGCAAAGTAACTTTTACATTTCTTTTTTTAAACAAATCTTTTAAATTGTAAAAACTTGATGTCACACTTTCTCAATTTCTGTACTCCATTTTTCCCACCCAACTAGTGATACAGGCAGTGTTTCTTTCAGACATTTTTACCGGGGGGGGGGGAGGCACTTCTTAATATTCCAGAGGGGAGAGGGCGGACACTGGTTACAGTACGAATTTTAAATATATTTTAAATATAAAATATGTTATTTTCTATTTAGTTCGGGGGAGGGTTACTTGGAGTAGAATCTATTCGTTTCTATAAACTCGGCATTTGTAAGAATAATGTGGTCAGCAAAAAGACCAACCGCCTTAACTTTCACCATCTGAGATGATGAACTAGACACTCATTTACGGAATCAACTGCCGACGATTGTATTTTCTAGTTTAGCTATTATTTTGCCAACCTGCTATGCCTGTTCACTGTACCGCTTACATAATCGCCGGCACTAGGAAATCCTCATTCATTGGATAAAATAAGTGGACCGAGTGGAAGCAATTTTCTATTTTTAGACAAATAAAATAAAATTGATCTTCGTCTAAAAGAGCTCCAAAGTTACCTACTTCCTCTGAACAGACAAGATGGCGAAGGTCGTTACTTATTTTACAGCCAGAGGGAAAAGTAAGTACATTTTGCTTTACTGTTTTTGAATTTATTGTCTGAAGCTGTTAAACGTATATTTGACTTTTTTTTTTCTATAAGCATCTTATTGATTTCTAATCGTGAGTATTTTTGGGGGCCTACATCTAGATCTAGAATCTACATATTTAAGATATTTATTTTTTAGTTATGCCTTGAGTGCTGGAGACGACCTGACTCGACATTCGACTGCTAGTGCTACCTGACTGCACAATGAACTCATTGACATTCTCATTCATAAACTTAAGTTACAGTATTATTATTCAGTAATTAATGTTTATGGCACTCTGTCTGGTAAAACTCCATTTTAGGCTTTTAGCGTATTTTATTCGCCGCTTTGCGTTCACCTCCAGTTGATCATATTTAGTATTTTATTATTAACAACTGAAACACATAAAAAAACGATAGAAAAGCACTAAGAAGATTAGATGATAAGCTGAAGATCAACTAATCTTTTTATGAATGTGTGTTTTAATTAGAAAAGGTAAAAAAAAGGGCCGATGTTAGCCGGAAAAAGATAAGCATGCGCAATGGAGAGAAACTACAACTTGCCTTCAATGCAATGTTTTCGATGCTACTGCACATGCATGTGTTTACAGCCGCAAACTCCTACCCCTAATCCTAGCCATAGGTCACTGCACATGCGCAGAAATATCTTTTGCCGACCAAGTGGAGACGTTGGGGCGAAAAATCTTTTTCTGAGTAGTCACTTTGAAAAATGCTTATAAATAAACATTACAGTACCAATTAATAGCGTGTGATCGTCGGCGGGATAAAAATCTCGAGGATTCACTGTGAGTTCACATTGACTTTAGTTTAATAATCACATACGTCATAGCTTGGGCAATGTCTATGGAATTGTGGTGGCCTCAGTTTTAGGGTCATTGTAAGTTCATATACGTTTATTTGTAGTATCGTGCATGCTAGATACTTTTTTAACAATACAAACTTAACCGCCTTGCAATTTATGAGTTTCTACTTTACACTGCTTTACCCATTGCCATGAAAATCTTAACTGACACGAACATATTTTCAAGAGAAAAAAAGTTAAATCTAGATTGTTAATCTAGATCTAAAATGTGCACATTAAATATTCATTAATATTCCAAATTGGATTTTCCTAAGTTTTGACAAAATTAAATTATTAAAAACTAAAACAAAAATTTATAAAGAAATAGGCCTAGTGTTTTCCTAACGTTTTTGTGTTTTGGTTGTTATTAATAAAATACACTCAACTGGAGGTGAACATGAAGCGCCGAATAAAATAAGCTAGAATGGAGTTTTACCCTCTGTCCTTTGACAACCACTCATTGTAGGAATTTTCACTACCATGGGGCGTAAGAGTTCCTCTTCTTAAAACTCAAATTTATTCCCCACTTTGAATAGGCCTACAGTGTAAAATACAGATTTTCTCACTAAATCAAAAATTTACTCAATTTTCAATGTAAACATGACCACTGGATCACAGGCATACATTTTTAATCCATTAGGCACTAATTTTGAAATTTTTAGTTCGTTTTAAACTAAATTAGGCTACTTAATTCAATAGTTATTATAGGCCTAAAATAATTATTGTCACTCACTGCCATACACGACACACCTCTCCATGACAACTTTTGTTATATCACTCTTATGTTTGAAGCAAAGGCAAACCAAGAATCCAGTTCGACTGAAACCAACTTTTGAATTTAGCCTCCATTCTCAAAACCAAATTTTTAAAGTGCTTATCTGGCATATATAGCCCTGCCACCTATGGTTTGTTTTTATAATGTGAAAACCCCGCCCTTTTGCGCATGGTAAACATTTTAAACAGTAATTCTAAGAAGGTCACTGGTGTTAAGAAGAAAAATCGCCAGAAGTCATGTATCCGGTGTGTACGCCATATTGTTGTTAGCAACCGGCCACGCCTCCAGGTTAGCGAGTAATACTACAGTAAAATGAGTAACATTGTCACCACTGCTAGTAGGCATAATTTATAGTATTGCTTGCTACCCTGGAGGCGGGGCTGGTTGCTAAGAACAATATGGCGTCCACACCATGTGTAGATATAGAAATCCCCATGTACTGTCCCTTTGATAATTCCTGACATAGCACATCGACCTCAGTGGTCACAAAAATGGTCTTGCCTTTGTGAAATATATATATATATATGAGCCGACCCGCGGCATATCATATGCCGCTATTTAGTTGTTTTATTTTCTACTTTTCAGTAATTCATAATTTGTGAATTCGACAGTACCAATGCTGCCACTAAAAATATTTGCTTTAAAACACTATCAGTAGGTTGTTAAGAATGATACTACCCCCTCCCTCCTTTCCCCAACCCCTACCCTCCCCCCCCCCCCCCCGGTGAAAGCAGCCCCCTCTTAGTTACCTCCCCTAAGTTTAAAATCGTTTCCAACTAAATTATCTGCCCCTAATAGCCGTCACTAAACCCTGCTCTACGAATGTAAACATTTTTAGCGTGAACCACAGCTCACCAGATCATGTAGGGGTGGGGTGGTAGGGAGCACGCTTACAGCTTGTTTTCTAGCGTCTCCCAGAAGAGAATTATATATGTATATATATATATATATATATATATATATATATATATATATATATATATATATATATATATATATATATATATATATATATATATATATATATATATATATATATATATATATATATATATATATATATATATATATATATATTAAAAAAAATTTTGAAATACAATTCAGTGGGTTTATTGATATTTAAATATAAAGATAGTGGGCAGTAAAATAGAAAATATTTTTTTTTTACTTACTAGTATCTAATCTTTAATTGTGACCTGTTTGCTTTTAGGTATTGTTGCCTTTGCCCAGCCCAAACTGTCAACAGCATGGAGGTATGCCAAAGCTGAAATGGGTCCACCTTCAATCAAAGATCTCCCAGAGGTTCAGGCAGGCTTCAATAAATTGATAGTTGCTGCTAGAACACAACAGTGGAAAAAGCTGACAGTCAAGGTTTGTCATTTTTTTGTTGTATGACTTATTTGGCCATATAAAGTGTCATGATTTCTACTGTCAGAATTGTGAGAGAATATCAGTTTCTGGGCTATGGCTGTTATAGTATAACAGAAATCTGAGAACAATGAGACATATTATATTATAATTAATAAATTGTTGATTAAATAATCTTAACAAATAAAGAGATTTGTTATAATAAAGAATAGTCAGTTATAATATTTTAATGGGGTGGAGCACCAAATTAAGCTTGATTTTTTCCATTTTTTTTTCTTTCCATACATTAACATCTTATTAACCAAATGCTGTTATTGTTTTAACTGAAAATCAATATATTGGCTTTATCCTGCTGTAGCCTGAAGTGGAAAGTCTAAATCATTATTCTTGTAACAATGCAACAGGTTAAATGTATCATCTTATAAAGAAATTGTATTCTTATTTTTTTTGCAGGAAGCTTGGTTGAACACACTTATCGGAGCAGAAATTGCTTTTTGGTTTTTCGCTGGTGAATGTATTGGAAAAGGAAGTGTGATTGGTTACAATATACCCGGAGCTGTAAACTTTGACATTCATTTCTAAGTTTATAATTTTCATTTAGTTTAAAATAGTGACGTGGATGTTTATCTTGTGAATGTGGTAACAATATGAGAGTAACACTAGCGTGATAGTTTTGAACTTGTAATATAAAAAAAAATTAAAGGCACAGTCTAGTACAACTTTGGTGTGCTGATTAATAAATATCTTGTTTTAAGGAATCTTTCTCTGTTATTTTGTTCTAATGTATTGTAAAAAAGTGTGTTTGCTGTTAAGTTAATGTGTGAGATACATAATAACAAAAATACAATGTGTCAGTTTCCATAAGCCCAAGTTGAGGCAACTCCATTAATTTCACAGTGAGTTGTTGACTATTGGTATCTATAATATTTGTCAAAGAAAAAAATACTCTGTGTAGAAAAGAGAGGTTTCATACTGACAAAGATGCTTGCTCATTAGAATGAAATTTAGAAGTTAACACAAAATAAACAGAGGTAATGAATATTCAACAGTGCATGGCTTTTTCCTTACACAGGGAGAAAACTTCAAAAGTGTATTTACAGTAATTAATTAAGAAAAGAAAAATCACATAAATTTTTAATTATGATTGAACAAATTTATTGGGTGAATGCATTTCTGTGTTCTTTAGTTTTGTTGTCTTTTTCCATAACTAAAGCTCAAAGTTGACACTGGCGACCAGGAATAAAATGTTATCACGACTAGTTCCTGTGTAATAATCCGTGCCATCCCTAGATCAGAGCTTCAATTTCATAGTCATGGTTTCTTCACTACTGCAGACAAGATGTATGATTGCCTTGGTCAGTCCACATCTCAACTTGGGTATGGTGGGAGTGAGCCAGTATGAGGTCATGGTTATCTCTTCCTGAAATTGAGTTGGGTTGTCACCCTACTAAGTAACCCTAGGATGCTTATATTGCTGTTGGTGCTTCCGTTCCGCATCTTTCTGTTGTATATACAAATACTTCTTCTGTATGTCCAATAAATGTAGATTTTACTTTCTCGTATACGAAGTATAGAGGAAGTATTGTAATTGTGCAAAAAATTGAAATAGAGATTTTCACAAATGCCATTTCCGATTTCTCAAAAAAAAAAAAACGAATATGAATTTATAAAGTGCTAATATTCTACACTATTACTATTATACAGATACGAGCCGGCCCGCGGTATAACATACGCCGCTATTTAGTTGTTTTATTTTCTACTTTTCAGTAATTCATAATTTGTGAATTCGACAGTACCAACGCTGCCACTGAAAATATTTCTTTAAAACACTATAAGTAGCCCGTTAAGGACCCCCCCCCTACGTTTAAAATCGTTGGCTCTGCTTGTAAACATTTAGAGTGAACACAGCTCATTAAGACCATGTAGGGGTGGGGAGGTAGGGAGCACGTTTACAGCTTGTTTTCTAGCGGCTCCCAGAAGAGAATTATATATATAGATTGTTTGCCTTTCACCTGATGTGCAATTATTTTTTTCTACGAGATTCTATTCTATTTTTAAAAGACTAAGTAATTAAAAATCATGACTATATCCTGAGTTGCCATCCCCCGTAGTGTTATCTAAGAATATTCGAGAAATTTTATGGGAGTTCACTCCTGCTTTATTTTGTTTATAGTCTTTATAAACATATATATTTATATATATATATATATATATATATATATATATATATATATATATATATATAACACATATATGTACACACAATTACCTGTCAACTAACATAAGTGCACTTACAAATGAAATATAGAGATGAAAATAATTCCAATACAGGCACACCAGATTTAACTGAACTTAAAAATACCAAGACAGTGAAATGGCTAGTCCAGGAATAATTTCAAAATGAAGAGCACCATACTATAAAGCTAAGGCCATTGAGGAAATTCTCTCTAAGCGTGTACACAACTAGGGCAGGGGTCGGCAACCTTTTGAAGCGGAAGAGCCAAAAGTTACAATTTTCAAAATTTCCCTGGTTTTAAAGAGCCACTAACATTTTCTTTATTTCAAATATTTTATTTTTTTATTAAGAGTATTAGTATTTGTTCAAGGAGCGGGAGAGCCGCATCTTGATATCAAAAGAGCCGCATGCGGCTCGCGAGCCGCAGGTTGCCGACCCCTGAACTAGGGGAATAACCCAATGTAAGAAGATTCTTAAAATAAAAATCAAAACTAATGAAGCAGTAATTCTCTGAAGGCCGATCTACAATTAATAACTGCAGGCACACAAATACAATTAAGGTGCTAAAGTTTTTTTCTTACTACAGCACTTTTAATAAATTGAAAACAATACTTTTAACAAATATTTTTAGTTGACTAAATATTCTTGTTTATATTATCATAAAATATATACAATAAAAACAAATCGAAAGTTATATTTTAACAATTAATTCATTTATTTTTATTGACTTTTAAATAAATTGAACATAATTGCATCCCTTTGTACAACTGTCTTACATTATACGGGCGATGATGGATTTCCTTGACAGCATGATTTAATGAAGTTGTAAAGACAGATTAAATCTTTCACCCTAAGTAGAATTGATAGAAGTAATAATTGAACATCAATTTGTTTGCGAGGGGATATCCCAGTTTTCTATGTATATAGACTAGTTGCTTTTCTATATATATTTCTAGATTTCGAGGATACCATGATAATAAGCTTGCAGAGAGGGACCGGGATTTTTTTTATTGACAGGGAAAAACTTTTCGTGTGTATTTTCTTATTAGTAATATTAGCGTTGCATTTGTAAAAATAATAACAAAAGCAATATCAGTGATATGGAAACAAACTGAATTCAGATACCTTTAAAGAATTTTACATTTCAAGGGAAGTAATAATGTAATAGACGGTTTCTTTTTTTAAACAGAGTTTTCTCCCTTGCATTATTTACTGAAAATAAAATCCTTGTCAGTCTTTAGCTATTTTAAAAAAAAATTATGAACCCCGAATTTTATCGTTCGTTAATTACGAAACATCACGCAAGTTCAAAGTTAAACTTCTTTTTATTGGCAAATATAGAAATAAATAAGCAGATATATTGGCTACACGCCTTTTCAGACTACATAAATGTAATAAAAGTACCCCCCCCCCCCCCCCAAAAAAATAAATAAAAAAATAATGAAAAATGAGAAAATAAAAAAGAGCAAATAACTACACAACACTACCAAATAACTGACAAAATGTAGCTACGACATCCAAATGTGTATCGAATGATGCTTTGACGATTACCCGAGGGATCGTCTGCTTTAGACGTCAGACCATAAAATTCACTTCAGTGTTTACCTCCGTCCCCATGTTCAGTCCCCTTCAAGGAAAGTAGGTAGCCCAAAACAAACATAGTCAGCTGTCAGTGAATCAGAAGCAGCCGGAATGACATGGGTCTAACTTGGAAGAATTGCCCGAGAAGGAGAGGTGTGGTTGCTTCCCTTTGCTCCACAAGGGGTCCACGTCAGTGGCGTAGCGAGGTCGGGTGTCACCCGGTGCGGCACTTAATGGTGTCACCCCCCCCCCCCCCCCCCCAAGAGGCATAGCGACCCTTCCCGGGGACAAACTTTCAAATTTTCGATTTGCAGCCCCCCCTCAAGTTTTTCTCTATATATTTTGCTATTTTATGCCTTGGTGTCACCCCCTAAATGGTGTCACCCGGTGCGGTTCGCACCCCCCCTCCCCCTTGCTACGCCTCTAGTCCACGTGAATGATAATGATGACGAACGTGATTAAAATCCATCTTTATTTATCATATTAAAAAATGTTACAACATATAGATACTACTATACGTAAACCTAATGTATCTAGACAAGATTCAAAACTCCTCCCCATCTAGGAGAATGTTGTCTATAATCAACCACCACCAGTGGCGTAGCCAGGATCGTCTCAAGGGGGGGGGGGGTTTCCAATTTTTACCCGGGGACAAGCTTTCGATTTGCACCCCCCCCCCTTCTCCTCAGACTTTTGATTTGCACCCCCCTCATACTTTATATATATACCGAGGGGTCTCTGGGGGGTTTATGACCCCCCTAACCCCCCCCCCCCCCCCTGCCTACACCACTGACCACCACCACCCCTTACAAGATTGACGTTAAAGTCACAAGACAGTTTACTCTCGCCTAGTGATTAACCTACATCAATCTTCATTATATTATCTAATTTGACTCGCACAGTTCCCGGCCTGGGATCGAAACCCGCTGAGCCGAAAGTAACAAACCGTTAGTGGTGACGAATTTTTTTTTTTTCGCGCATGGAAAACCACATCTCACAGACGACCCTAGCTAGTTAACTTGCCATTGAAAGTGAATCGCTCCGCGTAGGGGAGAGAAAATATTCCCAAATGATGGTGATTTGATTTTACGGGCTAGTACTAAAAATTAACGTGACATAGACGGAGTGAACGCCGTTCATTACATACAGAATAGATTTCTAGTCCACACATTTTTATTTGCGTGGATTGGTTGATTAATTCTATTCGATTCATTTTGGGCCAGAATCAGTAGCGTCACAAAAATGTGTGATGGTGGTGGCGGTGGGACTTGTGTTCCATACAGGATTACATCATTTTCGAGGCGATACTTAATCGAATAATCATAAAACAATAACATATTAGGGAGAGAGGGGGTGACACCTTACTAAAAATTCTAAATTGATATGGGGGGGTCAGCATCATCAGTTACCGACCGGGTGACACCTGACCTAGCGACGCCACTGTTTGAAATACATCAGACATACTAAGCCAGCTAAACCTTAGCTTGAGTTAACCCTTCCATATCTAATATTTAACTTTCTCATCCGATAGTTAGCCCCTATTGTCCTAATATCGAACCCAGCCTATTACGACAGTTAACCCCTCATTCCTTAACAGTGAACCCATACTATATCAACAGTTAACCCTTTCTATGCCAACTGTTAACATATCTACTATTAGTTAACCTCGACCCTATTACCCTTCCGCAGGCTATTTCTACTCTAATATCTAGTTAACCATACATTGAAATTATCTCGGAAGTAAGTTTCATCTTCCTTGAGTCAACTCAGTGATAATGAGTACCTGGCACGAGCAGGCAAGAGTAAAGCCCTCTGTGTATAGCCCAGTTCAGACATGACAATCTTTTTATACACCCTGTCAAAGAAACAGATAAAACTCTACTTGCTCAAAAAAAAACAACAACCGCCAATCAGAAAGTATACCCTTGAATCAAAATCTGC